GTCAAGACGTTTACCTATTTTTTTTTATTTTCTTATTTGCTTAATATACTTACAGATTGGTCTTATAGAAATTTTATTAAAATCTATTTACTAGTTTAGTTTTTAAATCAATATAACTTTTTTTGCCACAATTAGAAATCGGTTTTTTGTTTGTCGAACATAATCATACATATAGAATATAAAGTACCAAGTATGAATCATTAAATATTTAACATGAAGTATAACTATTATGGCTAAAATTAACAAGTACGTAGGTACGTAACGTAAAGTGCCTTCTTCGATTGATAAACGAAAAGTCCCGTCCGTGAGTCAGATCTTCCTCATTGCGTCGCTTACGCTGAAATTAGTAACTTACCGTGACACACACGCACACGCGCACACGCGCACACACACGCACACACACACACACACGCGCGCACACACACGCACACACACATACACACGCGCACACGCACACGCACACACACATACACACGCGCACACGCACACGCACACACACACACGCGCGCACACGCACACACACACATATACTGTATCATGCATAGATGTCCAAATCCATATGTACCGAACAAAACCTTTAGTATTTATTAATAAAATATATATACAATTTTAAACCACATTCTAATATTGTTTAGGTGTGCATTATTTTTTTTTTCTGTGTTTCTGTGGTTTTGCCAGTTATATCTACAATTTGCCTTTACTTCCTTCCATATCTAATATGCGATAAACCATATTCATATAATCTTTTATAATATATACAGTCAGTGGGTTATTTTATGACGAGTCGTACGAATGTTACATTTAATTAATATAATTAATGTTTTTTTTTTGTTTTTAAACCAAAGTAATTTTTAATTTAATTTGTTCTTACTTTTTTTTTATTTGTTCTTTTTATACAATTTTCAAATTTATTTTATAAAAGCAAAAGTAATTTAAATTGTTCTGTGATGTGTCATTTGTTGAGTTTTCCATTTTCATTTTTAGTGTTTTTATTTTGTTTAACAATATTCTAAGTGTTATGGAATATTCGATAGCAAGAAAAACACAGTAACGATACGAGGTCCGGTTATTACTAAGTTAACCAATTGTGAATTAACTATCTAAGTATTTAACCGTTTGAAGAATGTTTTCTTACATAACTAGTTATTTCTCAAAAGTCACAGGTGAGTAATTTACACGCTCATATTTACAAAATTTCTTACCGTATTTTAAAATGTTTAGATTAGCTAATCTAATTTTTATCATCAAACTTTATGCTTGGGAATTAGTTGTATTTATTTATTTAACTCTTTATTGCACCAGTAACATAAAATAAAGTAACATAAAACAATTCAAGTAAAATACAGTAGCATAAAGTACAGATTAAAATATATACATAAAGGTACAAAAAGTGGTCTTATTGCTAGGGCAATTTCTTACAGACAACATTTGGTTAAAGGAGAACAGATAGAAGTGGGCAGGTGGCGCAAGAGTTAATTAATATTTTTTGTGCATAAAATACAAAAACCTATGTTGCACAAAAATATCAAATACTACTTATTATGTTATTATAATTTTTGGGCAAGGTTTTGTAGCAGGGGCAGGTAGCGCAACTCGTGGATACCTTATAGAGCAAATTTTCCCTGGCGCCCAATTAAAATGCGTCATTAAATCAGCGCTTAAGTTTTTTTTTTTAAGGGTATTGATGTTAAATGAGAGCATAATTCTTTAGCTTTCGAATGCAATATCATTTTTATAATTGACATTTGTCGTTTTAGTAAAATCAATGCATATGTGCGCCGTCGTGGGTTGGGTCGATTTAGTTGCTCGCGAGTGTAGTTTTTAGTTATTATATTTCAATCAATTGTGGCTCAGTTACTTTAAAATATATATATCAATATATTGTCCATTAATCGTATGCGCCTGGCAATAGGTACAAACTCAGCTTTTGCTGGACTGATGTTCGTTCAGCGCTGATTTTCAGTATATATATATATATATATATATAATTTTCAGTTTTATTATATCTAATATACACGATATATCACATATCATATACATGTACATCACAGCATCACAACTGTTTATATTTCAATATGTAAAGCATATATAAAGTGCCTTATATAAACTTATATAAAATACCACAATCAACTATTCAATTAAGACTATTAAATATATAAAATATATGTTGTTCACAGCTCGTATAAGCTTTTGTATGTTATATAATAGTGTGATATTGTTGATTGTCACCACTCATCTAAGCATTGTCTCCGACAATATTTTGTTTTTTATTCATAGCACGATATCTCAAATGCTAAGTTGGGTGTACTTTAACGTAAATATAATAATAATAAAGCCAAAAATATTAGATATGGCAGTGGAAATATTATATATACATACATTTTAATTATATACATATGGATATATTACGTGTAATGCAATTTGGAACTTGACTTCAAAATTGTTTCCGTCCGTTCTTTATGCTACTACCCATATCTATTATTTCGTAGGCTTATGTATCTCGTCCAAAAGGTGAAATCAGGGGCATTTCAACCGACTTCAAAAAAGGGGGTTCTCAATTCGATCGTATTTTTTTACTGTGATGGATACCTTTACTTTTAGTACATCTATACATAGTTGGTCCTAATATTTTGCTATGCCGTCCGTTCAGTAAATTGAAATAAGTTTTGTTATCAAATATTGATTGCCCTGTTCTAGTATTCTTAAAAAAATCATTTCTAATGTTAACGCTTATTGGATATTGTATTTTATTGTAATGTATTTAGAGTGTAGATTGAATGTTAGCATGGCCATTGTACTTATATGTAAATATACTTTGGTAGTAATTTATGCATTTTTATTTTCAATCCAACGCAACACCTTCGCTTCTCGCTTGGTATATTTATGTATTTGAGCAATGGTGCTATGTTGCTGGCTTCGAACCACAGAGTAGAATCCTACATGGGCATACAGGAGAGAAAATATTAATCACTTTTACCAGTGCGTCAAATTTAAAGCAATTTCTCTATAGCTATAAAGGTATCTTTATTAATTATAAATGTATAATTCTAACCAAAATTAAAAGGAAATTGTGTGTTTATGTCGAAAATAATTTTGTTATCTATGCAGTCTATAGTTTGAAGCCCGCTATGTATTAATGCTTGCTTTTGTTTTGCTATATATTCAATATTTATACTTAGAGAGCCAGACCAATTAATTTGCAAATCTAAAAACTAATTGCCTGCGTAAACTAGGGGCAAAATTGTTTGCGGACATGATTTTTTTTATACAACTTAGAATGGCAAACAAGCTGACGGCCCACCTGATGGAAAGTGGTAACCGATGCCTATAGACATGAGCAGTACCATGGACATAACAGAGTATACTGTTTCGCCCATGATACCCCCATGTGTTGCCATTCCTGAGGACTCAGGTGTTATTCCTCTGTACCCTGTAAATTCACGCCATATCCCACCCTTCGAACCGAAACACAGCCATGCAAACACAACTGCTTCACGGTTGAAACACGAATGGGACAGAGGTACCCAAGCACACGGCTTTACCCTCAGTTTTAAATACCAACGAGGGACAATCCCAGCGTAAATTCTAGACTAATCACCATCATCTTCACCATCATATCCGCCGTTAACTGTCCACTGCTGGATGTAAACGTTAACTGTCCACAAGCCTTCCCCAGCAGGGAAGTTTTGCCGGTAGTTGCCACGCTTGGTATGCAAGTTGGCAAACGCAGTTTGGGTTTTGGTGAAGTTTTAAGAGGGACGCTGCCGCCCATTTCCCATGCTGCGCATGCCAAGTTCTCTTAGTCACCTCTTACTATACCCACGGGAAATGAAGAGGTTGCTTATTCTATGCCGAGACCTACACACCTAGAATATTCACAATAAAACCCCTAAAATAGCATGCTGTAAAGCACACATGTTGTGTAAGCAAAAAGCTTACACAAAAAGAAATTTTGTCCGTAAAAAAAGTTTATTGACTAGCACTTATGTAGGCCTTAAGATTAAAAAAAAAACTATGTGTAGGATTAAAAAAAATAGTGACTAACAAGCTAACGGCCCACCTAATGGACAGTGATAACCGTCGCCTATAGACATGAACAGTAATATGGACATAGCAGAGTATACTGTTTCACCCATGATACCCCCATGGATTGCCATTCCTGAGGACTCAGGTGTTATCCCTCTGTACCCTGTAAATTCACTGCCGTAGCGCACCCTTCAAACCGAAACACAGCCATGCAAACACAACTGCTTTTACTGTAAAAACACGAATGGGACAGAGGTGCCCAAGCAAACGACTTTTGTACAAAGTCTCCCTCTGGTAAAAAATAATATCATACTCATATCCTTAACCCTTTGCACTCTAGGCCTTTTTCGCTTGCGCGAACCAGCAACTCGAGACGATTTCGGCCTTCGGAGAAAACTATCTTATCGCATGTTGTAAATAAGGAGATCCAGTTACAAAAGACCGTAGCGTCGTAGCAGCGTAGTTCGATTTAAAGTTTTAAAACACTCGGGCGCCGCTGCAGCGCCGTTCAAGTGCTAAGGGTTAATAATTTTATAAAGGTCAAAGTGAGTTTGTTTGTTACCTGATAGCGACTTAACGACTTAACCAGTCACTACGAAATTTTATATATACGTATTACATAGGATGGAGAAGGATATTTTATACAACTTAGAATGGCAAACAAGCTGACGGCCCACCTGATGGAAAGTGGTAACCGTCGCCTATAGACATGAGCAGTACCACGGACATAACAGAGTATACTGTTTCGCCCATGATACCCCCCATGCGTTGCCATTTCTAAGAACTTACGTGTTATTCCTCTGTACCCTGTAAATTCACTGCCATATCCCACCCTTCAAACCGAAACACAGCCATGCAAACACAATTGCTTCACGGTAGAAACACGAATAGGAAACGACGCTTGTACAAAATCTCCCTCTGGTGAATTACAAATAGGTTATTTTTAAAGCAACTTCGTATTCCTTCCCGAACAGAGCAACCGATCAACTTGATGACCAAGTCGCTGACGACGTCCCTGCAGCAGGCGGTGAACACCATGCGGGACATCACCCTCGACCAGACGGTACCCTACATCACCAGCGTGCTCGAGCAACCCATCTCCATCTTCACGACCAACGACGTTGAGACCGGCGTCGTCGCCAGTGCCGAGGAGTGCTTCGAACTGCCGCCCATCAAGCACCTACCGAATGATATCTCGAATAATGTGTTGGAATCGATTATAAACGAGTTCAGAGACGTCTCCGCTGATGACGAGATCAGACGAGCTAAATCTGAGGAATTGCAGAGGAAGCTGAAGTTGTATAACAGTATAATGGAGAAGAAGTGTGACGAGGAACTGATACATAGCCGGAGGAGCAGGAGGAAAGACGGCGGCTCCGGGGCCAGTACTCCTCGGCTTGCGACCCCCGTGAGGAAATTGGATAACGTCAGCTATACCAGTCCATGCTTGATGAACGTCAGCATATATGAGTATGTATTATCATTATCATCATATCAGCCCTTAAGGGATTGTTAATAGTGCGAATATCGGGGGGAAAGGGATTGTTAGTAATGGAGACTGAGAATTCTATTGTTAGCAATATACCCAACCAGGTCAACCTCCTCGCGGTTCCCCCTGGAAACTATCATGGTTAATTCCTGATGAATTCATCACAATGGGCTAACTGACCTGTTTTCATTCTCAACTATCACCTTTCACTGGTGCCCGACCAGCGTATCCCGTTAATGCAGGCAGGGTTACCATACCATTTTCACCCATCAAAAAAGTGTATGCCGTTAGCGCAGGCGGGATCACCTTTCCATCATCATCTATTAAAAGGAACAAGCCCATTGCTAGCAATATAACTTGTCAGGTTGACCTCCACGCGGTTCCCTTTGAAAACCGTCGTGCTGAGTTATCGTTAAATTCATCACGAGAGGCTAATTGACTTGCTTTCATCTTCAGATTCATTATTATCTTTCACCATATATCGATAGCGTAGACGGGATTACCATTCCATTACCACCCATAAAAAAAAGTGTATAGGAGGTGTATGTGTTAATTTAAATTTGTAACGTTTAGTAAAATCGTCCCCGCTCAGCGTTACGCTGCAGCCGAGGAACTACAGCACTGATTTTCAGCGGGAGCCCTTCGTGTAAATCTTAGTTTTATTTAAACTGAGAATTTATTAACATAAACAATGAATGATTTCATTTAACTTTCCAGCAATGCACCACCAAACGACGAGCTTCTAGAACAAGAAATAGAGGAGAAAGAGAAGATTCTAGCCAAGATGCTGAACCTCGAATCACTCAGCATCACCGGTCACAAGCCGCAAGAAGATGACGCAGTACCAAACGATATTACCGTAGTACCAACATACAAACAAATTGACGTACAACCGGTAAACGAAACCGAAAAACCGGTTACACCGAAACACCTAAAAGCGGATGTGAAAAAAGAAAAACCGGTTAAAATAGATCGACCGGTAGAAAACGTTAAAATAGCAAAAACTATTAGCCCATTCAATTTAGTGCCCAAACTGGTACAGTTACCGAACAATTGGAATCTCGAAAATATTGAACTGAAATTAGAAAAGCAAAATGGTTTGAGCAAAAATAATGTACAAAATATCATATCTCCAGACGATAACTTCGAGAGCGAATGGGAAATAATCTGATATAGTAAGAGACCAAAGTAAGCCATATTGGTCTTTGGTTTGGTAATACCGTACCATAGGATTTATTTAGTAATTCAAATGAGGCAACCCAAGACACATAAGTTTACAATTCTAAACATTTCTTAACACTTCTTTGCATAATGGTGGAAATTTCCATCATAACATTGAATGCTCAAAAATTATGTAAAAGAACTAGTTCACTTTAAGTTGATCGTGTATGGATACCTTTTTAATGTCCATTGCAGATAAAAAAACATAGCTGTCAAATTTATTTTTTTAACCATTTTTTCTTTAATTTTGAATATGATTTTTAACCTTGATTTATTTCACCAATAAAAAAAAATCATGCAAAGAAGGGTTAAAGATTTTCGTGACCTAGTTGTCTTACAAACACCCAAGGTCATGAATTCTAATTGTAGCCAGAACTAAAAAAAATTGCGTATCTGTTTGCATTTCTAGCTAACTCTCCGGTACTACTCGTGTAAAGTTGTCGCCCTCTACCGTCATTTCTAGACTGCCTTCGTTATACGCGAAGGATTCTGACGTGGCTTATCGAACCACGGTTATACCCTCCAAAGCAGGAATTAGGTGAAAATCCTTACTAAAATTATAAATGTGAAAATGAATTTGTTACCTTCTAACGTCTTAACGGTTTAACCAATCGCTATGAAATTTGATTGTACTATATGGGATATAGGCGACTTTTTATTCCAACTAGTAAACGTATCCTGGTCATGTGGACAAAGTCGCGGGTAAAAGATAGTCATTTATAAATGGTCTAAATATGGAAAATTCAATAATTTAATATCTATACGAAAGTATTTATTTGGTGTCCATATACTATATGGGATATAGGCGACTTTTATTCCAGCTAGTGTTTACTAGCTTTATCCCGGTCATGTGGACGAAGTCGCGGGTAAAAGATAGTCATTTATAAATAGTCCAAATGTGAATTTAAAAATTCTGAATTTCAAAGTTATTAGAATATATTAGAGAGGGTTAAAATAAACGGGTCGTTAACAAGAGGAGCAGCGTGTGTGTGTATGCAATTGTATGGAGCTCTTCACGACTGTATCGTGGATTTGCATGTAAATTCAAAAGCATCTGATTGAAACTATGTATGTATAATATTTAGCTGTTTGTTTTTTTTTTATTGTGATGGAAAAATAATACGATATGGTGCCTGCCTTCAAAATATTAAAATACAATTAAGAATGTGCATTTATTTAGAGGCTTCATTTTACACACATATATATATATATATATATATATATATATATATATATATGTATATATGTATATGTATATATATATATAATGCAAATTTCTATATATTTTTCTCTCTCTCTCTGCAGTTAAACCGAATTATTTGTATTTAATTTAGAAATGTGATATTATTTTTAATTTAGCTATTTCTTATTTTTGGTTAAGTGGAAATTTATAATATTAAAAAAAACACGATAAACATATTACCATCTCCTTTTTTTAAGGTTGGTTAAACAGTAATATAGTATAAAAGTCAATAGCTTTTCCACAACTTAAAGCACGCTTTAACTATATTTTCTTTATTATTATGTTAACTACCTCAAATTTCTTTTTTTCTTTAATTATTTTATATTTTTGTGTTGGTTTGATTTTTATACGATTTTTTTAGTTTTTTTTTTATTTATTAATTAATCTTCAAAAGTTGAATATAAAAAAAATATTTCTAATCTCAAACTTTTTTTTTATGTATAACTCTATAGGTGTACTAACTCGAAGGCGAGCGAACATTAATGCTTTATTGAAATTATTTATATGATTATTTATATTGTACAAAATATATAAATATTGTTCTCGAATTTTCGAATACTATTTATTATTCTGCTTTTTACGATCATCAATAGAAAATATATATATAAATAAAAATTAAGTATTATATAATAATATAAAAAAGTAAATAATAATGCATTGATCTCGATGAATTTTGTTTTGTGTATTAAAAGTATTGTTTGTTACATTTGGGTTATTAAAATAATGTAAGTAATCGGTCGTGTGCTTCGAGGGAAAAGGGACGGAATCGGCATGCATGTACACTAGGCATATTTAATTTGGATACCGATCTGATATCTATATATTGGGTTCCACTGGACATTGACGACGGAAAATAGGTCATCGCCCATTTCGATATCGCCCATATCGGTCGGATATCTATTTTCGAATGTGTTAAAAGTCTGTGATCCGATATTTTTTGGATAACAAACTTTTACAGTTTACTTTTACTATTACAAAATATTTTTTTTTTTAACAATGTCTATACATAATAACTTTATTATATATAAATTGTTATTTGGTTTTAATAATTTTGGTCAATTGGCTCAGCAAATAGTTATATTTGTTTATTTTTGTTATGTTATATTAGGACTGTGTTTATTATTTTACTAGAAAAAAAAATCTTAGATAAAAATATATACCATATATGAACTTTATGGACTAATAATTTTATCAACTAAAATGTGATAATGTGGTTTTCAATGGGTGATAATGGAATGGTAACCCCACCCGCGCTATCGGTATACACCGGCGGGGCACCAGTGAAGGATGATAGGTGGGGATGAAGCAGGTCAGATAGCCCATCGTGATGAATTCAACAAGAATTGTTCACGATGGTTTTCAGGGGGAACCACGTGGAGGTCGACCTAATAGGGCATATTGCTAGCAATGGGGCTGTCAAACTCCATTGCTAACAATCCCTTTCTCCCTGTGATAATGTGTTATCAACTCTTAATTTTTGAATAATTAGAAATTTTATTTCATAATAACTGTAACTGAATAATGTCTCGTCAATGGGTGAATGTGTTTTAATAGAGAGGTAAATACGCAATGCATGAGCGGAAATATGCGCCTTATAAGTTAATTAGACTAGTAGATTAAGAGTATTGTCACGTGTGAGGTGGCGGGCTTTATTGGCACTTTTATATCACAGAGCACGAACTGAGAACGTTTTAAGAGCTAACAAAAAAAATAATAATTAATTATTTATTTATTTTTATTTATTTACAGGAAAACTAGGGCTACACTAGAGCAAAAAGTACAGTTTAGGATCACAAAATAAGCCACTAATAGGTTTTCACAAGTAGCAACAATATAGATACAAGGCGCTGTACACAAAGCAACAAAAATAGGAGTTAACAAAAAAAGTGAAGTTAAAAGCTTGAAAAAAAAAAATGAACAAACAAGATCGAAAACAAAAAAAAATTATGAATGCAATACAAAGTAAAAATTAATTACAAGTATTTGATTTAAATATGGCCTCCTTGTCCATACAATAGCTATTCAAACTGACTATGAATAAACAATTGCCTACTCAGTTGGTCTCCCACTGATATTATGTTTTTCGAAAATAGATCTATATTAAGAGTTTTAGAAATAGTATTAAAGTTATTGCTAGCTCGCCAAAGGAACGAATTTTGTCTATAATTCGATGACACTGATAATAACATATTTATACAAAAGTAGTACATTACAGAGTTTATCTCCTGTCAAGCAGAGATTGCTTGTGTTAGGTGAAACCGCTCTTTCATAACAATATTTCACAGTTATTACAATGAACTTTTTTTTTTATAAAATGAATGTCATAATTAATTAATATACAGAAATATTTATTGTATTTATAAGACCACTCATGGCCGTACCCAGCTTTTGGCCTAGGGTGGGGGGAGGGGAGGGCCAAGTAAGATTATGGCGATAAGTCTGAGGTGGCGGGCTTAATTGGCACTTTTACATCACAAAGTACAACTTAATGTTCTGGGAAGTTAAGTTAAAAAAAGGAATGGGTGGAATACACACATGGGTGTAGCCAACTTTTGGGAGAAGCGGTCAGGTCAGGTTTGTGGCGATTGTGATGCTTGCTTACAGTTTTTCAAAAGATAACACCTTAAGGGGGCGCTCTTATTTATTTATATTAAAATTCTTATCGTCATATCAGCCTTTATGTCCACTGCCTCCCCTTTGGGGGGGGGGGGGATATCATATCATCTGTCATACATTCAGTGCTGCAGTGCTGAACCTAGGCCTCTCTCGTAATGTGGGATTATGTCAGTAGTTGCTATGTTTGCTTTTGAAACCGCTGTAAGGCTTTGGAGATGTTTTAAGAGGGAAGCTGCTGCCCATCCCTCGCCCTCCCTTAGTCGTCTCTTACGATACCCACGGGAAAGGAAGCGGTGGCCTAATCACACTTATTAGTATTAAAATCATATTACGATTCATTTAGTATAATGCATATGTATGTATCTCATTAAACTAGAAAACTGTGAAGCTCATCCAGTTAATGTAGTAAATAAATAAATAAAAAATAAATAAGTTAATCATAGAATTAAGTATAATTGATAATTAAAAAATATTAATTCTATTTTATCAAAAATATCGAATTTATCCATCTCATTGTTAAATATAATTTTGGGTAGCTTTTATTTTTTAATAAATGCCTATCTAAAACACATAAGCCCCCCTCCTGGGGGGCGCCAGTAATTGCCATGCAAAACCCATAATGCAATGGTACAATGACACGCATTTATATGATTATAATAGTTTTATATGCTATTTATTACACGTAATATAGTACTCGGTTTTTCATTCGCGCTATTTCAGTGTTCGATGATTGCAATATACTTTATTGTATTGCAACAAAATCGAAATTGGCTTGACAATGAATTCAATTACAACTTTCATATATATATATATATGTACTCACGTATGTGTGCCTCGGCTTCGCCTCGGCCCAGATTTGCACGTTCGTCCATCAATGCCTCAGTTGCTGGCTGCTGCAGTAATGTACTATTATAACATTAGGGGCAAACGAGCACGCAGCTCACTTGACAGTAAGTGATTACCGCCGCCCATAGACACCCGCAACCTTAGAGAAATTGCAGGTGTGTTGCCGACCCTTTAAGAAGGAATATACTCTTCTTGAATGTTATATATATATATATATATATATATATATATATATATATATATATATATATATATAAATAAACCAAATAAATTAATATATTATATATGACACTTTTATACAGTATAAGAATCTACATATTAATATAAAGAGACAGCTGTGTGTTTTATTTTTAATTTTGTAAATGTCAACTTATATTCATAAATAAATGTTTCAATTTATATGATTGTAAATATCACTTAACTAATCACTCTATTTATGAAAAGTTTTTTTTAATGTAATTTAGAATTAAACTACTGGGCCCATGATACCCTTCATGCGTTGCAATAAAAGACTTTATTAGTTAAAAACTTATTGCTTTATTACATTTGAGCGTTACTTTTTTTTATACCATTGAGGTGGCAATCAAGCATACGGCCCACCTGATGGTAAGTGGTTACCGTAGCCTATGAACACCCGCAATACCAGGGGCATTACGCGCGCATTGCCGACCCTGAAGAAACCTCTATACCTCGCTTCGTCATAATTGTAGAATACTGACGGATCTTTATATGTAATCTTTGTCAGATCCGTCAGTATTCTACGACTATGACGATTTTGAAGTAAAATTTGGTTAAAATAAATATATAAATTAAGCAAGTGGTAAATTCTAACAGACTTACCAATAGTGCAGGAGTTTAGTTTTGAAGCGGTATAACGGATTTACAATACTTAAATAATATAGGATCCTATATTATTTAAGTATTGTAATAGTCCTTAGGATTGGTAGCCAAATCTCCAGACATTAAAAGTCTAAATGCTAAATAATATTACAGGGTACAGAGGCATAACGCCTTAGCCCTCAGAATGGCAACGCATGAAGGGTATCAAGGGCGACATTTACCACTGTCCATGAGGCAGGTCGTCAGCCTGTTTGTCATTCTAAGTTGCATAAAAAAATTATGGTATCGCAAACAGAGCGACGAGTTTTTTTTTTTAATCGAATAACTTAATAATGTAGACATAGCTATATTTTTTACGTCTGCAGCTGAAAACCCGCTTGTGATGCTCAAGTGAAATAATATTAGTAATAATTCAATGACGTACCTATTAGCATACGAGATCAAAAGTTTGTGATGTATTGTATTGGTTGCTTAATAAATATTTACCACCACCAAGTTGTTTTTTTCCTTTTAATCAATTTAATTTTTAATTTAAAATAATTAATTTAATTAGAATAGAATAGAAACATTTATTGCCGTACAATTACAATATAAAATATAAATAACATATACAAAAAGTGTCCCATACTCGGCGAAAGGAACCGGCTCAGCGGATGCTGTGAGTGTCCCAGCGCAATGTGAATAGCTGCACAGCGCTGGTTTTAGCCAGTCCCTCTCTTAACAAAACAACCAAAGTGCAGGGTGCCACTGTAAATTACTTTTTACAAGAATTATTTCTCAATACTAATTAAAAAAAAAAAGGAAAGAAGTTATAGTATTAATTAATTATTTATTTATAGTATTATAAAATACAGTACAGTTTATGTTTGTCATAAAGAAATATATTTTAATACTGCTGACCGGGAATTGCATCATGGTTGAAATCTTTGGAATTAAACTAAAATTGTGATTTAACGTAAATACAAATAAAGAATTTTTTTGGTAATGAACGATTTTTTTTTATGGCTGAAAATGGTATGGTAACCCTGCATGCGCTAACGGGATACGCTGGCGGAGCACCAGTGAAGAGTGATAGATGAGAATGAAAACAGGCCAGTTAGCCCATCATGATGAATTCATCAGGAATTAACTATGATAGTTTCCAAGGAGAACCGCGAGGAGGTCGACCTAGTTGGGTATATTGCTAGCAATGGGATTCTCAATCTCCATTACTAACAATCCCTTTCCCTCCGGTAATGAACGATTAGTAGTTCAAATGGTCTTGCCCATAATGGTAGGAGAACGTACTTACACGCTATTGCAATGACCAGTTTACTCGTCACCGCTCAGCAACGTTTGGATATGAAAAGACGAGTTAAATGACGAGTGCGTGGGCGCACGCACGCATGTGCGTGCAGCGTGCGTGTACTTGTGTGTGTGTGTGAGTGATATAGCCCTGACACTAGTCAGTTTTTCGGAGCCCTTTGGTCGACGCTATCACTTCACGTAAATTCTACCAAATTTATAAAAGTCAACGTTTAACACTCAAATCGTGGACCGGTCATTGTGACCGGTCTTTTAAATTCATAACTTAATATCACCGAAATTTGTTGTTATAAAGTGCTGAGTTTTTGTGACTTTTCATTTACCACCTTTTACCGCATGATGCGAAAATATTACAATAAATAAAATATTATAATTATCACTTTGTGGTTATACAAACCACATGTAGGTATACAACCTAGAACTGCGGAAACAAATTTCGGTACGATAACTGTATGGTCATTTCTGACAGAGTAACGATATAAGATGGGGGATTAGAATCTTCTAATCTATCTAAAGATTGTATCTACAATTCAACTAGTTTGTATGAAAATATTAAAAGTCAGAGAGGTTTATCAGGATAATGAGGCAATATGTGGTATCCTAAAATATTGTGTTTTGTGACTAGAGAGGAAGATATAATAATAATTAATAATATCAGATAGGACTTTTGTGTATGGTGTTAGATTAATAATTGTCATACTATTATTATTATTGAAAGAACTAATTCTTATAAGTGATAGGAGTTTTAAGATTTTTTTGTAGCGATGTTTTTTATCTCTTCAGGATACAGAGTGTGTTTTCCAAAAGAGATATATCGTTTATGTATGAGTGGGCTATAGTCAGATATTAAGTGTTGCGGGGTTTCTTCCTCATTGTGACAAAATCTGCAAACACATTGGGCATAAACCTAGTTGGGCCATGTGCTTGTTTAGTTTGCAGTGTCCAGTGATTATTTTTATTTTTATTCGAAAGAATTAATTTCTTAGAGTTACTCCTTAACCAAGACTATCGAATTATTTACTTCTGGCAACAAGAGCCAGCTATTATTTGCTATTTCTAAGCTTGTAAGAAAGACGTATTGTCGTTCTATACCTTCTAGTTTACTATAACCATTAGTATACTATTTATGTAATTTTAGCTTCGGATATTAGTTCTTGGAGTTCTTCGTCCAAGATGCTTCCTTCTAGGTATAGTTTCTCTATATCTGTGTTGTGTGTGGCCTGTAGCCCACTTCATACGATATATCTCATTTGAAAAACTCACTATATTCTGAGGAGATAAAAAAATAGCTACAAAAAACATCCTAAAATTCCTATCATTAATAGGAATTAACAACGAACTTTAAAAAAAGGCGAGCAGAAAAAAACATGGAAAGGTCGCAGTGTCACAGGTTTTTTTTTTACCTGAAAAAGCCCGTATTTCAATAATAATAATAATATGTATCCCAACCAGTCAGGAACAACATCTCAGACGGTTGGGATTCCGAGGCGGCTCACTCCCGGGAAAGATGCAGAAAGCGGTGCTCCTAGATACTGCCCGCATTGTACGCCGGTTTCTCTCACTGGGGCCCTGAACCCCGTCCGACTGTACTTCTGCCGGGGGTTAGTTGCCATCTCCTCTCCTTCAGAGGAGAGATGACAATTTTTGTAAAGTTTAAAAAATAATATGTAAAACTTCTTGTACTCAATGTTTTAGGGGATATAAATAAAACCAATTGTGACAATACACATACAAACTTTATTTAGATAACACGATGTTCCTTATCGACATATCGAATATATAAACAAAATAAACAAACAAAACTGAAAATTTTGATCCTCAACAATTTGAATCATATAATCATTTTATTTAGACTGGCCTCCCTTGCCACTTGCTAGTAACAAATCACGGCTATGGGTACTGAGAACGTTACATGTTTTTTTTTTAATTTTATTCAGTTGCAAATACAAAGTTATTCGGAATGAATTAACCCAGGCTTTACCAGTAATAATATTCATAAAACTGAATAAATTATTCTGATAATAATCAAAAAATACTTTTGAATCTTTCATACAAAATCAGTCACGAGACAGCATAGTTTATGTGGAGAATCTAAATACAATTTTGATATTCCCACTATGGCTGTTTGTGTGGGAAATGTTGTTTACTATTATGACCGTTAATAACAGAGTTTGGTTGGACTTGATATACCCATTACAAGTAACACTTTATATGGCAGTATTATGAGTTAGTTATTTGATTAATGAAACAAATATATAGTAAATTTGAAATTATATTTGGTGAGAAAGTTCATAAGAACAAGATCTAACGAGCGTAATTGATTTGCGTCGCGTAATTTACGCGGCATACACTGTACAGCATAACACGTCTCTCAGCCATATGAGGATAACATCAAGAATACTGTGTTACGTTTCAAACATATTTCTATTTATGCGATTGAAAAATACAACTATATATTTTACATATTAGAATATTTATTTGTATTTTTCAATATACCTATAATCTATGTATATCTTTTAAGCATCACATTTTCTTTACGTAAAAGTTTTTACAGTAACTTGACGTATAAAAACATAAACATCCATCAATGCACAATTCAGGAACAAAATCAACCCATGACTTAGGTAATTATATCTTATTATAAATTATTTATTATTACCAACCCATGAATAGGTGAAGGTCGCATTTATTATTGGATCACGCTGTGTGCACATGTTGTGGCAAGTTTACCTGATCAATACATTAATGTACTTGCATGTTATAATTTAAGTTTGTATTTGTAAACTTCTGTTATGTGCGCCTAATAAATAAAATAAAATAAAATAGAATTCACCAATCGACCCTGTAATCCCTGCATTGCTTGACGATTTATATAGTGTGATTGTTCTCAGCAAGGTGGGTAGGCAGTAAAATTTAAATACAACAAAAACAAAATGGAGGATATCGTCAATTCGCAGAGAAAAATAAACTATATTAATTTTTAAACTAAAAAAAAAACCGACAACTTTATCTAAGACAGCACTAAAAATAATAGGAATATTAAGTACTTAATCTAAGTTTAAAAATTAGTCAGCGTAAAGCCCGACCTTACACTAAGTTACGGGGAGAAGCTACGCAAATTCGAACTAAGTATTTATTATCGATTAAATACACGCAAGAAACTTATAACCAAACTAAGATTGTGTGGTGAACACAAAGTTGAAGCCGATAAAGATCTTACATGACCTTTCGCGTATCTTCCATCTCACTTGCATGTAGGGTTACCAATGCTAAAAAGGATTTTTCCGAGATTTCCTGGTGTCGGTTCGACATCCGGGATTTTGTTTTTCATAGAACGGCAAAAGGACAAGTGCATTCAGCTTACCTGATAAAATTCGACTCTTTGAATAATGTCAAACATTTTATTAAAAACTTAAGGTTTAATAATCAATGACCGTCATTGCCAAGGTTCCGAAATAAAATTATATTTTCCAGGATAAATGGCCTTGCTCAAACATTGTGCGGGACAATCCACGACTTATTTTGAAGCGGGACATCACAGAAAATCCGGATATAATCAGATCGGATTCAGATAGAAATAAACAATAGCGACTTATCCACCATCTATCCCACTTACACGCAACAGTGACGGTAGAGACAGAAGATATGACGTCTTTCAAGCTTCAATTCTGTGTTCACCCTGCAATCTGTCTCATATACACCTAGATAGAGCGTCTAGAAATACTATTACAGTGAACGCTCTATATAAGCAACTCATTTGAACCAATTTCAATAAAAAAAAAAAATCAATTAGAAAAAGTTCCTTATAGGGAAAAAAGGAGTATAAAAATACTTTACCGTCTGGAGAATATTTTTTCTTATTTCTTTTACTAATTAAGCTGAGTGGAATAAATAAAATATAAAGAATGTTGCTTGTAGAGAGGTTGCTTATATAGAGCGTTCACTGTACTACATTTTCAGACTTACGCATAATTTGAAAAAATACTATTCAACAGTTGGTTGACCGTTTTTGGAACGTTTTTAACAGTTATCGCACCATCTAGGTATATATGTATCCATTTTGCTTTAAGTTCCTTAAAAACACGTCCAGCCACCGACATATTGTTCAAAGCTAACAGAGCTGCACTTGTTAAGTATATAGGTACATGTTACATAGGTACATGTACATATAAGGTACATGTTAGAACTCGACCAATATGTAGCCACTGTCGACAAAATACGCAAACATTTGACAATACGCATACAAAATAAGGTCAAACATTTGGAATATTTGCCCATCATTCGAATACAACGCAGTCAATAGAAATCGACAAAATCAACAGAAGCCATCAAGCTCATTAGTTTTATAACAATTTATTATAAGTATCACAACACATTAGCGCAAATTAAGCCGTATACAATGAAAATAAGCTGTTACAGGGTCTGAGCACACTATTTTTTTTTTATATACAAATTGTCACAATCATATAATAAATTAGAATTAATACTTCACAATCATCAATCAATCAATTTAACAGGATCACCACACATTTGTCAACAGAAAATACTGTTGATACATATACAGTTGAAGGCGATTACGCGTCGACAAATGTGGGAAAAACCTTACTTAGTCAATGAGAACGTAAAAAATAAATAATTAATATAAATAAATCAATGATATCATTTTGAACATTTAATACGTTTGGTAGGACCTATATACCTTATTATCGTCATTTATAGATCAATGATGACTGCCTTGCGGTGTCAGTCTTCAGTTCCTAGTGTGCGCAGACCCTTACAGGGCACCCAAGCTCAGCTCGCTGGCACATACAAACTCGTCTTAATACTGTCTTATAAAGGTTTCCAAAATTCACTAGTCTTGTCCCTCAGTCTTTCGTACATTACCGACTGATATTTACCTACTTCATAAATACTAAACACTGATTCAATGTTCCACGTTATTTGGTGATTATAACACTGTACGCACACGTTGGACTATGCTTTGGAACCAATGTTGGGCGACAAGTTTTCAATTATTATATCTAATATTTATCGGTAAATCGACAATTACCTCTTAGCTAACATTTAAGAATAAGAAATTCTAAAATACAAGTTGTTTTAGTTTTTTTTTATTCCAATTTGTCTACACCCTTCTTTATGTCACATAAAAACATTTTTACATGAATGTATAGAGAATTAATTAAAAGCAATTAATTTACATTATGGTTTCTTTATATTTGGAATATATTCAAAATTAGAATTTTTTTTTTTTTATTTAAATTTACTGTGTGTTCTGTAAAATTTTATCCGTGTTAGGAGATATCCGAGATTAAACGTTATGACGTAATTGGAATAGTGACGTTCTATGTCGGATCGACTAAGACCAAGATTAATATCGAGTTTTTATAAATAACCGATATTTATCGACAAATTGGTACGTTGGCTCCAAAACTACAAAGTTGATTCAAATAGGTCCAACATGTGGACAACATGTCATAGTTTACATTAAATCAGTGCATTTAAATCTAAGGCTCCACGTTTTTGGCAGTGTCACATTTCTTTACATCACAATTTTATAAGTAACCTATGATAACACTTCCCGCCGTTATATCTACACTATGATATTCTATGCCCGGTTTACAATGGTCAAGTGTTTAGTTGAGTGAGTAAGTAATAGGTAAGGGCAGCAACGTAAACCAATTAGTAACGGAACAAATTTGCAGAACAAAATAATGACTTCCAATTTTATACGAAAAAAAAAGTCCCACAAAGCAGTTATTTTTTCTCTTTAAACGAATTTGTCAACATAGGTTATGTTAACTAAAACATTTGTCACTGAAAAACGCCACTTGTCTAAGGAACTGGCGCTAGGCACTATACTAAACACTTAACTAATATAAATCTGGCATCTGAGTTGTCTGGTGCCCTTACATATTCGTGAGAACGAAAAGTGTATGGGCATTGGCCATTACGATTGCAAAATTTGAAACTTTAATAGCGTAGAGACGAAAATGGCGGAAAATATGTAAATATATTATAAAACAAATATTCATTTTTTTTTTTAATTTTTGATACAAGTAATTTCAGTGCGTACAGATATGCATTACACATCCAACTTGCATTATATAACCTTATAAAGATACAAAAAATACTGAATAATATTTTCTTAAGATTTAAAAACTCGTAGAAACTAGGCCATGCTTTCATATTTGGCTACATGACTATTATTAACGTTTTACGATTTTAGAAACAAATCAATAATTAACTAGAGCTTATTAATTAGAAATAATTTAACAATAATTTAGAATTTAGAAAATAAACACGTGTTATATATGTATGTATAGTTGCATAGTCAGATCAGCTTCTAGACAAAGTACATTTCTATAAGCGAATTAATTGCGTCATTAGATAATGAATATATGAATCTATCGATAGACACGCTATCGCTATCGCGTGCGTAAGATTAAACGTGACAGCGAACTCAGGCAACTTATTCTTTCTCATGCAGTCTTACGAACAAAATATTGTAGATTCATTTATCACTTATCTAAAGTCTAAATAAAAAAAAAATGCTAGCATTCTTTTCCCGCCTAATTTAAAGTTTTTAGTTTTTTTTTTTACTAATGATGCCACTAACAAAAAGTATTTCGTCTAGTGGGGCTGATCTATATAAATTAATAACTGTGACAAATAAATTGTTTTTCTTACTTGATTGAAGAAGTCGGCAGTAACAGAACAAGAGTCGACGAGTAGAGTGTTTAATAAAATCAATCAAAGATTATTTAAAAATGGAATGAATCTCGGTTTTAAACCGATAATTGCGAAACAATTTTAAGTTCTTATATTTGTGTTGACTAATACATGAATATTGCGTGTTTCAAGAATTATTTGAGATCCTAAATAATTATATTTGGTAATTTTTAATCAATTTGGTAGTACATGATCGTGTGAAAATTATTTTTATTCAATTACTATTAATTTATCTCGTATTGCAACCTAGTAATTTTGGTTCAGCAAGCACTTTGACACGCGCAGCGTTAAATACATTTGAAATGAATGGTGCCATATCAAAATTTATTTCCATTTAAATAATACTAGTATAATTATACGAATTTAACTCATTATCATTCAAAAGGTTAAATGTATTATCAAAAATATACACCTATTTTTTTAGTCTGTATTTTTAGGATTGGAGTCGGCGTCCAGCTTTTTTTTTTACTACGAAATAGTGTTAAAGAATCATAATAATCAGAACTTCACAATAAGACTACCATGAAACCAATATGAGATATGTGAAGAGATAAAAGTTAACTTATACATAACCCTATCTTATATTATATGAACTGGCTGTTTTTCTGTTGGATAATTTTTATTCTTTTACATTTTTTCATCTCGGGAACCTATTCTTGGTCTGCGCAGTTAAGCATAGATAAAGAATTAAAGACATTTGAATTCGATTTTTGAATTTTATATCGCAATATTTTTTTTTCTTGAATTACAACCAGTCATTAATTATACAATGCCTGCAATTGATAATGTATCCTTAAAGTTTTCTGTTTTGACAAATGATTATTATAGTTCGTATTTAAGCTAAAATTGAAAAAAAAAATTACGAAAATGAGTAATATAATTCGTATAGCTTTTGACTTAAAGTAAGACGACGTATATTTTTAGAAGAGAACTGTAAATAGTTTAAATGTTTCGAATAAATTCTGGATTAAATTAATAAACATAAATAAATTCACTACACGTGTCAATCAAAGCATATTAACGGCGTTTTTAAAAACTTGTCTAAATAAAAAAAATACTTAAGGTTTATTAATTTCTTTCCATGTAATACTTTCTGATGTGATACCATGTTTCTCATCTGTATACCGTATTAATTTACATTATCGACTTTTTCACGACTAAACATGACACGTCGGACTTTAAAAGGTAATAAATCAACTTCGGCTTTATACATAAAAGACAAAAGATCACATAGTTATGCGATGAAAAATAGAATAGAGTAATAGAGGCGACATTCTATAAAGCGATAGTTAACCTATCTCTTTTTCAAGTCCCACGAAAATATTTACTACGTCATTCACTTAAACCAAACTTCCTCCACCATTCCCTATAATGTTAAATAGACTAGAAAAAATAAAATATACTAATTCCAATTTCCGCCAACTGTTCCTATTGAAATCTTAAATTGGTACCAGAATATACAAGTAAAACTATCACATAGCTTGAATACTCCAGCTGGTAACACCGAACCATAGACTAAACCTTCTGCTATCGTAGCTGACAGGCTTACTGAAGGATATGTCGATGAGGAAATATTGATATACGAAAAAAAAAATGCAAATATGCAAATCTATAAATCTCACTAGTAAAAAAAGTACATTTTAAATTAATTTGTAATTTCGTTTAATCATATTTTTTTTATCTGTTTTCAATCATAATTTGCATAGATGGAGATAATTATTAAACCATCAAAATTCACCGAAAAATGTACCTTTTATACAATTAAAACCAATATCTCCTCATTATCATCAATGAGCCTGTTGTCATTATGAATAAACAAAAAAACCGCGAAAACTATCTGTCAAAAGATGACCAAAGACAATCATAAACTTAAATTGGCACTTCTAAATTTAATTTGCAATGACTTAAGTTTTATCCACACGGACTGTAATCACATTCTACATTCGAATTTATTGTATTTTAGTTTTAATTAACTCAATCATAATCTTAAGTCGTTACAATATTATTGCTTTTAATTGGATAGTTATTAACGTATCGCTAGTGTCCGCGGTTCCCAGTCTATTCAAGCCTATAAACTAGATAATCTAAGGACTAGACTTATGCGAGATTCGTCCTAGGCGACATTACCATGTACTGATGTTCTATGGGCGGGGGCGGCACTATGGGCGACATCGGCAAATAATCTCCCTCCACCGGCGTCTCTTTTAATCTTATCTTTGCGAACTGTTCGCGCCCTCGTAGAATGAGATCAACAATTTCCTGGGGTAACGCTAGAGCTGCCACGGCGTCATCGTTGAATTCTATGGAGAGGTCAGTATCAAACTCGTTCAAGAACTCGTCAGGGTCTTCGAGGCATTCCACGGACTTCGAACATCGGTTCGTGGTAACGTGTTCAGTTTCGTCCAGGAACTCACAGCTCTTCGTCTCCCCCTTGGCCAGAGCACCAGAGGTGATCTTTAAATTCTTCATCTTACGTCTAACCTTGAAGCTTTTAAATATATCACGCGTGGGCGTGAAGTCAAACCTTTTCTTTTTGGTCTCGACATCTTTGTTCTCTTTGGACGTTTCTGATTTGGGCGAGTTGCCGAGGCGCGAATCGCTTTTGAGCCTTTTTCTGTTGGTTATAAAAAATATTTTGAATTTTTTTTTTAACTCTTACTAAAGAAGATTTTGAAAAAGACACGAGGAAGAGAGGCTGGGTACGCATTTAAATATACCATAATAAACAAATATGTCATATTTATCTACATGAAAATTATAAAGAAAAAAGATTTAATTGTTTGTTTGTAATGGATATACTGAAAAAACTACTGAATCAATTTTAAAAATTCTTTCACCTATAGAGTGCTACATTATTAGAGGCTATAAACAGGCTATAATATTATTTTCGAAAATTTGCTACTTAATTTTTCATATTGAGATACTTGCAGTATCTAATAATCTATTTAAACTTAGCCTACGTTAACATTTTGTCGAATTAGGTGTTATTTTTTCAGAAGCCCATATCACTGGTTTGTCAATTACAAGTTTTTTTGTTATTGTTAGTTAATAACAGTAATGACAAATTAATTAGATTACAATAGAGTCTCGATTTTCGGAATATCCAATTATGTGGACTTATTCTTCGTGGCTCTAATTAATGATTTAGTAATGGTATATTTGTATTAATTGGATAAACCTATTTATTCAATTAATACATAATTATGTAATAAATTTTTATAACATTAGTAAAACCTATTCCACAATAAAAAAAAAATATTAAAATGTCATTATTGTTTGATGTGACTTTAAAATCGATTATCCGGATTTTCGAAAACTCCTAGTTTTATTTTATTCGGATAATCAAGATTCTACTGTAATAATAATACTATTATAATAAACATAATTACCAGAGGGAGACTTTCTACAAAAGTCGATTGCTTGGGTACCTCTGTCCCATTCATGTTTCAACCGTGAAACAGTTGTTTTGCATGGCTGTGTTACGGTTTGAAGGGTGGGATATGGCGTGAATTTACTGGGTACAGAGGAATAACACCTGAGTCCTCAGGAATGGCAACGAATTGGTGGTATCATGGGCGAAACAGTATACTCTGTTATATCCATGATAGTGCTCATGTGTATAGGCGACGGTTACACCACTTTCTATCAGGTGGGCCGTCAGCTTGTTTGCCATTCTAAGTTGTATAAAAAAAAAAATAGAAAAACTAATCCACTAAGTAGTTTACGTTATGGGGTCTCTTAACTATTGTCACTGGATTAATTAGATTTAGCTCAGTGCTTCATGAAACACGAATATATCAAGCTAAAGATTCCAACAGATAGAAACTCACCGGAATACACTGAACGGCTGTTTGGTCTTGTCCAATTTTGGCAGGGTCTTGGAGGTTTGGGGCAGCAGCCGGCCCGAGCAGGCGGAGCCAGCTGAAGAGCCCGAGGAGGCTGAGGAGAGGCTGCAGCAGCGCGGAAGCGAGCCTAGCGAGCTGTGCCGCGTCACTGCGTTGCGAGGTGATGAGTGCAATTGGCAGTTCCACGACTCGCCTGGTTTCAAAAGCCTGATGGATAGATATTGTTGTTAGCAACAAAATATATTTTACATTTCATAGGAATGTGTTTTAAATTAACAAGTCACGCCATCTAGTGTTAATGTATAAAAAAAGTATTATTGTATTTTTGTAACATGGTCTGTTACTGGTATATACTTATATATACTAGCTATTATGTATGATAGGCATGTGGTCCCGGCATAGAATGAACCACTTTTTCCTTTCTCTTCTCTCGTAAGAGGTGACTAAGGGAACTTTAGGGTCGAGGAATGGGCAGCTGTGTTTCAAAACATCACTAAAGCTGAACTGCAGTTGTCAACCGGCCTGCCAAACGTGGCAACTACTGGCAAAACCCTCTAATTTAGGGAAAGGAATTGTTAGTAATGAGAACTAATAGCTCTATTGCTAGTAATATACCCTTACAGGTCACCTTCCAAGGGGAACCCCCCTAGAAACCATCAATTCTTGTCGAATTCATCATGATGTGCCCAACTGACCTGTATTCATTTTCACCTATCATCTTCTACTGGTGCCTTGGCGATTTATAATAATAGCGCGGTCGGGGCTACCATTCCATTTTCACCCATTAAAAAAAACCTTCTAATTTATGGGGAAGATCTATGTTTAACAGTAGATAGATACCGGCTGACACGATTATGATGACGTTGACTAGGTATAGTAACGCCTTTTTTGAGGGCGAAGCAATAAATTGAGTTGTGGCCATTTTGTATTGTATTTAGCTTTATGTATTATTTTTTTATCATTAATGTCACGATGACGTTGACTAGGTATAGTAACGCCTCTTTTGAGGGCGAAGCAATAAATTGAGTTGTGGCCATTTTGTATTGTATTTAGCTTTATGTATTATTTTATTTTTATCATTAATGTCATCTCGTTTTTTTGTATATGTATGTTGTAATTTATGTGTTGTAAGTGAGTAATGCAAATAAATTATCTATCTATGTAATGGTAAGTGGATGTTACCCGGCGGGCAGACGCGGCGGCAGCGGCGGCGGCGGCGGGCGGCGCGCGCGGCGCGTGGTGGCGTACACGCACTCCGACACCGACTCGTACGCGGGCTCCTCCTGCCACGCCGCCCGCACGACCTCCACGCCGGACGACACACCCGCCGGCACGTCCGGGATCTCCTCGTAGATGCCCGACGACACCGACACCACGGAGCGCCGGTCCGACATGCTGTGGAATATATTATCTCTTATATACCTTAAATACCGGAAAAGACTGGTTTATGATAGGCAGAAACAGAGAGTTGTGGAGAAAGATGGAGGAGGCCTTCACCCAAAGAGGGGTCCATATCCAAGAATCGAAGAAAGAATTACACTAACAATTAGTTATTAAGAAAAATTATAAATAAATTAGATACTAACAATACTGTAAATATATTAGGAATATGGAAATAAATAAAAGGCTTTATTATTATTATATACCTTAAATTATATACATAGAGTGTCTCCATACAAAAGGCTTCGAGAAAAGCGGCTCAACTTTTTCATACAATTTTGCGTGATAATTAGTTATGTTTTATTTCATAATTTTTGCATTTTTTTTAATACGTAAAGTCTTTTTATTTATTAAATAATTATATATAGATACGTCAAATACATTATATGCGTAAGTACATAGAACACTGTTAAAAAAAGGTATCAGCTAATTTGAAAAAAATTAGTCGTTTTTGAGGCTCAATACTATATATAATCTTAAAATACCTATGTATTACTGATAAACAACATAAGATTTAAGCTAGCGCCACATTCGACATGTACCTTTCACGAGTCGAAATCAGTTGCCGATATTCCGTCGACCGAAAAGTCGAGTGCCGCCAACCGAACAGGCACCGGGCGAGCAACAGCTAAAGGTTAACGTTACGATGGCAATAGATAGATAGATGCTCTTTATTGTTTCCTCCAAAAGATTACAATAGTAAACTTATTAATCGTGTAAACAAATTGTATAAAATTTTTAAAAACATTGTATCGTGGATTTTTTTTTATATAACTTAGAATGGCCAACAAGCTGACGGCCCACCTGATGGAAAGTGGTAACCGTCGCCTATAGACATGAGCAGTACCATAACAGTGTGTAGTCATAACAGAGTGTACTGTTTCGCCCATGATACTGCACTGGTGGATGGCAACCCCCATGCGTTGCCATTCCTGAGAACTCAGGTGTAATTCCTCTGTACCCAGTAAATTCACGCTATATACCACCTTTCAAACCGAAACACAGCCATGCAAATATGCTTCACGGTTGAAACACGAATGGGACAGAGGTACCTAAGCAATCGACTTTTGTACAAAGTCTCTCTCTGGTATGTATGGATGATTAGCAACCAAATATCGACGTAATGTGGCATTAGCCTAATACTGTTTGACAATCTAGTAGTAATTTAAAAATTAAATTAAACAATTAAATTTAAATATAAAATTTTATAAATGTTTAAAAAAGCATTACTTCAATTACTTATGTAGCTTTAATATATTTTTAACTGTACGAACAAAGTCGTAAAGCACAATAGACTTCAGCTGGGGGGGAAAGGATTGTTAGCAATCCAGTTTGACAGCCCCATTGCTAGCAATATACCTTATTAGGTCGACCTCTACGTGGTTCCCCCAGGAAACCATCGTGAACAATTCTTGTTGAATTCGTCACGATGGGCTAACTGACCTACTTCATCCTCACCTATCATCCTTCACTGGAGCCCCGCCGGTGTATACCGATAGCGCGGGTGGGATTACCATTCCATTATCATTCATTTAAATAAAAAATAGACTTCAGCTTTATATTAAAAAAAAAATTACTCACTTGTCATCGAAGGATGTGACAGATTTCACGTTACTATTATACAGCAGTAAAGCGGAGCGGACTATCGACGACGGGCCGAGGTCGCCGGCGCCGCTGCAGCGCGACAGCTGCCCGCTGGGTATGCGATTCGATTCCTGGTAACAGATAACATAATAAATATCACTCAGCATATTGCTCACCACCGCCACCATCCGCAAAGTAAGCAGAACTTGGAATATAACTTATAGTAATAACTTTTGTCAATATATAACATTATTACAAATTATAATAACTGTAAACCATTCGTATGTACACCGTGTGGTCCCGGCATAGAATGGACCACCCCTTCTGTATAATCCGTATTGAGTAATTATGGAAACAACAGAAATACTCTTCAGGTTGATCACTAGATGGAGTTGTTATTTTAGTATGTGTGTGTGCTACAACGCGATATTAAGATTTCTAATCTGTGTATATGTGTGCTCAGGAATATTTTTTTTTTATACAACTTAGAATGACAAATAAGCTGATAGCTCACCTGATGGAAAGTGGTAACCGTCGCCTATAGACATGAGCAGTACCATCGACATAACAGAGTATACTGTTTCGCCCATGATACCCCCATGCGTTGCCATTTCTAAGAACTTACGTGTTATTCCTCATTCCCCATGCGTTGACATTCCTGAAGACTCAGGTGTTATAGGAATAACACCTGAGTCTTCAGGAATGTCAAATGTACAGAGGGCTGTACCCAGTAAATTCACGCCATATCCCACCCTTCAAACCGAAACACAGCCATGCAAACACAACTGCTTCACGGTTGAAACACGAATGGGACAGAGGTACCATAGAGAGAGGTTTCATGTTTTCATTGCTTAGTTCAATTACAAGTATATTTTGACACTGTGGTACCTTGGACATAACGAGATCAAGGTCGTCGAGAGACACCTCGGAGGGTCCGCTGTACCAGCTGCTGCGGCGCACCTCACCTGGAAATATTGTTTATGTATTACTAGCCGTTTCCCGTAGCTTTGCCTGCCTAAATCCTTACTAATATTATAAACTAGCGGCCCGTCCCGGCTTCGCACGGGTGGACATTTTTAAAACATTTTACAAAGTAATTATTGTGACATAACGATAATAGTTGGACATATAGTATTGCCAAGTTTTTTGTAGTTATTGATATTTTCTTCAATATTGTGAAACATACTTTTGTTCTATCACCAATAGTTTCCGCAGCGCACGCGACGAAAGACATTTTATAACATTTTTTACACCTTGAGTTACGTTACTAAAGTTTTAGTAAGGACATCTAATGTTTTCTAGCAATAAATAAAGCCTACGTTACACGGGGTGAATGTAGCTTTCTAATGGTGAAAGAATTTTTGAAATCAACAAAGTAGTTTTTGAGTTTATTCATTACAAACATACACACAAAAATACAAATCTTTCCTCTTTATAATATTAGTGTAGATTTGAAAGTGAACTTGTTACTTCTCGGCACTTTAATGGCTTAAATATTTACTATAAAATTTGGTTTACAAATATATATGGGATGGGCAAGTACATAGGTTATTTCAGTCAGTCAACATATGTATATCAGTAACACGATCGAAATCGCGGGTAAAAGATGGCATGTGTATAAAGTAACCTATGTGGTAAGTCAGAATATTTTTATACTACTATGGTAACAAACAAGCATACGGCCCGTCTGATGGTAAACAGGGCTACCGTAGCCTATGGACGCCTGTAACACTAAGGATGTCACGCGCGCGTTGCCGACCTTTTAGAAACCTTAATACGTTCTTTTTGAAGAACCCCTTGCTATAGTCTCTAGGGTAAGTCTCGGCAGGAAGACCATTCAACAACCTGAGTGTTCGCGGGAGAAAGCTTCTCTGAAAGCGCACTGTGCGTGATTATTCTGGTTCTAAGGTGGTATATAGAGGATTCGAATATGATCCGAAATTTCGATCAGGATCCCGGGATCGATCCTGGGATCCCGGTATTATCTTTCAGTAATCCCGAAATCCCGGGATTAAAAACATCAGTCGGGATCGTATTCTCTAGGTATATACGCCATTAATATAGCAAATTTCATTCAAACTCATTCATTTTTACAAAATTTCACATATATAAGCAGTAAGTAGGATTTTGTTCTCCAGCTTTCTGACATCACAAAATAAATTCATATAAAAAATGATACACAATTCGAGAATCAGTTTCTGATACTTACAAATGAGACAAATGATGTTCTGTTATTTCTGAACGCACATACATTTCTTCACCACTTTAATCTCCTAATAATTTTTGTAAAAGTAAAATATATCCTAACCATACCTATTAAATTGATGTTGTCAAAATTATAAACCTCAGCTTGTGCAGTTTTTTTTTTCAATGGATGATAATGGAATGGTTACCATTACCTGCGCTAACGGTATACACTGGCGGGGTACCAGTGAGGGATGATAGGTGAGGATGAAAGGACAGGTCAGTTAGACCATCGTGATGAATACACCTGTAATTCAGCACGATGGTTTCCAAGGGGACCACGGGAAGGTCGACCTGAGAAGGTGTATTGCTAGCAATGGGGCCGACAGTCCACATTACTAACAATCCCTAACTCCCCCCCCCCCCCCCCCATAGCTTGTGCAGTAGACGCTTCTGGTGCAAGACACAAGGCTGGTACTAAAATCAGGCTCGAGTTATTTACCTATATCGGGATCGCTGCATTTCGGTGAGCGCAGGTCTCCCTCGCTCTTGCTGCGTTTTTTACCGCCTCGCGCGGGTCGACTGGCCATGAGACCTTGCTTCAGGGCGGCTGACAGATCGCCAGCCAACGGACTCGAGAACTTCAGCTCCCCGCCACCATTTGTAAAGTCACTATAAATTGAACATTGTAAATTTTTTTAGTTCCATTGTTTTTAGGATATTTTAGTTTCATCTATACTACTCTTAGTAATAGATAGTATATATATATATATATATATATATATATATATATATATATATATATATATATATATATATATATATATATATATATATATATATATATATATATATATATATATATATATATATATATAACCTTACAGACATCTCTTGTTTCCTGCAGTATCGTACTACTCTCATGCGCGCACGCCGGTTCCGGAGACTTGATACTTCACTCTGAGTGTTACAATACGACTAGAACATGGTCTATCTTATCGTAATAGGTTAGTCTAGGCCTCCACCGGTACCGTTATCGGTATCCCACTTTCGTGTAAATAAATATTTTTTTATAAACTAATAGGTAATTATAGATAAAATAATTATTTGTTACAGTAATTGCTCTAATTAAGACCAACTGAGCTTTAAATAAAAGTTATTAAACATATATGTTATTTAATTTAATTATAATATTTAAATATAATTCAATTATAGTGTATTTATTATCAAAACTACGTTTTTTTTATAAAATTAGAGATATTTCCCCCTTCACCTCACTAAGAAATAAATTTTTATTTATTTATTTAAATAATTAACAGCTTATAACAGTATAATTATGAAATTATTGAAGTTTTACATGAATAGTAAAGCCAATAATAGACTATACCCCGTAAGTACATTTATATCTCCATTGACAAACTTAGACTTTATGCGTATTTCTGTATTCTTGTTGTATCAGCCGTTAACTGTCCATTGCTGGACATAGCCTCCACCATAAGGATGATATTGCCAGTAGTTGCCACGCTTGGCAGGCGAATTGGCAACTGCAGTTTTGCTTTTGGTGATGTTTTAAGTGGGACGCTGCTGCCCATCCCTCCACCAAAACACCCTTAATCGCCTATTACGCCTAAATAAAGCTAGCAGCTTTATATTCTTAAAAGGGATGAATTAAGGAATTGCGCATTAGACTCAAACACGAACGTATGTCGACAATAAATGTGACATGCAGAAAAAAGATCTAGTATAAGTCTCTTAATAATTGTGAAGAAGGCGAAGGTGAATGGAGGATGAGATAAAAAAAAGAAAATTGGTCGTAATTAGAACAAAGTTTTATAACACAATCGAGATGAATAATGCGATGAGTGAAGCATGCGATTAGAAATACGCTGATTTCTTTAAACAAATTAAGAGTATTATAAATATAATACCTTTTATATTATTTTGAATTGCTCCGCTAATCTACAATTGCTGTTTATGATCGAGTTAATCGCAAAGCTACAGCGACCAGCCAATGACAATGTATTGTGACAAATGAATCGAATAACAGGAGAATCCAAATTGACTATTGAAATAAGATAAGGGTTTTCCGTTGACCACAAAACTATTACAGATAATAAAATAACAAACACCAATAAAATTTTTCCTTCGCCAGAATATTGGAATGTGGTAAAAATAAAGAATACTTTAATCTTAATGTATTTACGTATGTCTGATTCACCGGTACATCGGCAAATAAGTATTTCTTAGAAAAATGTTTTGTCACGCATTACGTATGACACTTTATACATATTCGATTAAAGTATAAACAACTTACAAGCATTTGTTTAAATTATGAGGAAAAGAATTTTTTTTTTAAACATTCGACACAAAAACGAGGCATGTTTTAGTTTAAAGCCTTTTTGTTTGTGGTATCACAACTCGCAAAAAATAGACTGCTTCCAATGTGGCTTTTTGAAAGCCAGTTTAATCAGACTGGTTATTAGTTGTATCAAATTACAAACCAATTGATTGACAGATCGTTTTAAAATATAAAACTTGCATATTACGAAATCCAGCCCGTGTTAGAACTAACTACGGTTCAGTCATTTGAAAAAGTATCACAAACCTAGGAATGATAAGTGCACAGGTTGGGTTCTTGTCAGCGTTGTCGCTGATCAGTCGGATATCACCGATGTGTTTCCACTCGACGACTGTGCCGAGCTTGTGGGCGCGGGACACTAGCAGCCCCGTGGACGTCACTGTGAGCACGCTGTCACAATTGAGTCCACACTTGCGGGACAGTTCGGTGGGTACCACTGTCACCGAGTACGAGTCTTTGAGCAAGCTCTCGGTGTCTGAAAATATGGCTTTATGAAGAAGCATGAAGCAATTAGGGTTATCATTTGTGTGCGTTAGTCTTGAACTTTCAGCCATTTACTTGGCCTTTTAAATATAATATCAAAATAAACGAGGCCTGCAAAGAACATGCCTTGTTTAAGATAATAACAAAGTTATTTTATAAGCAAAATATTTGAACTTTTCAAATTTTAAAATGGTAACCCTAGATTTATAGGCACTTTTCCATTAATACATTAATGTTAGTAAATATTAAATCCAAAGCATGTATAGAACAAATTAATTGCAAATTATGGATACAAAAATGCCCTGAAACATGAAAATTGGATAGCAATGGACAGTATCAAAGAAATTCATAGAATAAAGAACACTTGTATACACTGTGATTAATACTGTAACTGTGTCATAAATAATATGATATGTGAAATAAAAAAAAAAATGAATTTAGGCATACAAAAATCAAATAAAAAAAGTACTATTTTCCAAAAACGTCCTCTATTCCTCGCATTATGACAAATTGAAGTAAAAAATAATATAGTAGATAACAACTGCAAAACATAATTAATACTTAGTATTTGTTAATTTACTTACTTATTGCAAATTGTTTTTATAATGATTATCATTTCTTAAATATTTCATTAATATTGTCATTTCAAATATTGAAATAACAACATTTGATTACTATTTCATTATTTTAACATGTCATTTCATTATTTCAACATTTCGTTCATGTTATCATTTCAAATATTATGAAACAGCAATTGTCTATCTGTCAGCAATCCACAAGTTGTTTCGAAAATTAATTTACCATAAACAAGTAATCCATATTCTATTATTTTAGAGTGGATCAAAGTTTCAAAGAACAGGCAGTTAAATTGAAATAATAGAATATAGATGATAGGTTTATCTTATATACTTAATATTATAAAGAGGAGAGATTTGTTTTTTTGTATGTTTGTAACAGATGAACTCAAAAACAACTGAACTAATTAAAAAAAATCCTTCAAATAGAAAATTATTTCTTATAGGAAGCACTTACATTACTCGTGTCAGCAAACATAAGTTATATATTATCTTCAATAAATTTAAATCATCTTTGTCAAATAGTCTTGTTTTAATTTTTTTTTTTTTTTATTTTTGATCTACTTACGGGTACGTACGATCGCTATCTGATAAGAGCCCGCAAGAAACTTAACAGTTACTCTTTTAATAAATTAGAGGTCCCTATGACAACTACAATAATGTAACACAAGGTATCAAAAACTTTTAAAGCTAATTTAAAATTTTTAATTTACCTTTCTATCGACTCGTGTGAAATCGCAACGGATCGTTAGTTAATAATAAAAAATTAATAGTCATACATATTTAATATAAATACAATTAAAGGTAAAAAAATATTTAATGTAGTCATATATAAACCTTCCATATATTAATATATAATTTAATTTATATTTGTAAATCACCGTGTCTTGGTAATCTCATATGGACTCCCACGGTACAGATTCGCCTAGTGCGGGCTCCAATGTACTCGCTGTTGTAAATTTCTTGTATTTAATAAATAAATAAAATAAAATAAATAAATATATTCTATGCATTTCATAGCGTACATTATTACTAATGTTATAAATGTAAGTTTGTCTGTTTATTACATTTTGGTGCTTTAACAAATCAGCCAATTATCACGACATTCAAAATACACATAAACCTTTATTCATAAACACTAAAATCTCCTCCAAACCTTATTTTACCTATAGAAATGTTGTTCCAGTCTTCCAAATTGAGAAATTAGCGCAAAAGAAAAAGACAAAACAATTCAATAGCTAAATTACATTTATAAGAGGTTTGACGTTACATTGTTCATAAAATAAGACTTTTCCTGTCTTATTAATAGATATTATTTAGATGGGAAAAAATATAAGTTCCATTATATACTAGTCAATAAATGTATTTACATGTTTTTTTTTAATTTACCATATACTCATCAATTACGTGAACGGGGGGGGGGGGGGAGGGATTGTTAGTGATGGAGACTGAGAACCCCATTGCTAGCAATATACCCAACCAGGTCGACCTCCTCGCGGTTCCCCCTGGAAACTATCATGGTTAATTCCTGATAAATTCATCATGATGGGCTAACTGGCCTGTTTTCATTCTCATCTATCACCCTTCACTGGTGCTCCGCCAGCGTATACCGTTAGCGCAGGCGGGGTTACCATACCATTTCCACCCATAAAAAAAAAAAAAAAATTACGTGAACGAAGCTGCGAACAAAAACTCGTATGCCATAAGTTATTTTCCTGGTTATACTAAATATGGCGAGTACATAAATATAAGTAAATATGCATAACTACACACAATGGTTCGTTATAAAAGTCAGTTGTCATTCATTTTAAATGCACATATCATATTTGCATTGAATGTAGTGACATCAAGAGGCGCATTTGGTCTACTGGCAAATAAATGGAGCATTGTATTGGGCACGGTTTCACTATAGCTTGTGATTGAAATAACCTTCTTAACTATCTATAGAGGGGGGGGGGGGGGGAAGGTATTGTTAGTAATGGAGACTGAGAATTACATTGCTAGCAATATACTCAACCAGGTCGCCCTCCTCGCGGTTCCTCCTGGAAACTATCATGATTAATTCCAGATGAATTCATCATGATGGGCTAACTGGCCTGTTTTCATCCTCATCGATCACCCTTCACTGGTGCTCCGCTAGCATATCCTGTTAGCGCAGGCGGGGTTACCATTCCATTTTCATCCAATAAAAAAAAACTATCTATAGAGAAGGGAAAGGGATTGTTAGTAATTGGATTTAATAGCCAAATTGTTAGCCTACACACCTATCAGATCAATGCCTTGGAAATTATAGTAATTAATTCAATTTTTTTTTTATACAACTCAGAATAGGAAACAAGCTGACGGCCCACCTGATGGAAAGTGGTAACCATCGCCTATAGACATGAGCAGTACCATGGACATAACAGAGTATACTGTTTCGCCCATGATACCCTCCATGTGTTGCTGTTCTTGAGAACTTAGATGTTATTCCTCTGTACCCTGTAAATTCACACCATATCCCACCCTTCAAACCGAAATACAGCCATGTAAACACAACTGCTTTATGGTTGAGACACGAATGGGACAGAGGTACCCAAGCAATCGACTTTTGCACAAAGTCTCCCTCTGGTATATCTATATATGGCTCCCTTTCCCCCATGTCTGGTAATAGAGGACTTAAAATCCCATTGCTAGCAATATGCCATTGTGGTTAATTCTTGTTCAATTTATTACAATGGTCTAAGAAACCTGTTTTATCCTCACCTAACATTTTACTGATGCCCCCTAGCATATACCCATAGCACAGGCAGAGATATAATTTCATTCTAGTAAATTAAAAAAAGCATTGAGAGTAGGATTAAGGAATTGTTGGTAATGGATATTAAGGGAATAGGGCCCTTAGTCTCCATTAGTAACAATCCTTTCTAGCTAACAATATACCCTACTACGTTTATCTCCACATGCCCCCCCTGGATACCATGGTGCTGAATACTCTAAAGTCTATTAGAGCATCACTATGGGCTCTTATTATTATTATTATTGAATGATGGGCTTTTTCCAGGCAGAAAATCCTGTGACACTGCAACCTTTCCATGATCTTTCGTGCTTGCTCTTTTTTGTTAGTTCACTGCTAATTCCTATTAGTGATAGAAATTTTAAGATGTTTTTTGTATTAATGTTTTTATCTCCTCAGGATATAAAATGTATTTTCTAAAGGAGATAATATTGTTTATGTATGAGTGAGCTACAGTCACAAATTAAGTGCTAGGACATTTCTTTCTCATTGTGACAAAATCTGTTACCACTTTTTGGGCATAAGCCTAGTTGGGTTATATGCTTGTTTAGTTTGCAGTGTTCAATGAGAGCCTTTGTTAATACACACTTATTTATTTTAATAAAATTTTTTTTCTGAAAACACCTTAATCAGGTCTTTCGAGTGACGTAATCCTGGCAACAGGAGCCAGCTATTACACATGATAGGCTAACTGAACTACCTTTTAATTTTCCCCTGTCATCTTTCACTTGTGCCCCGCTGTCATATACCATTAGCGTGGGTGGTTTATAATTCCATTGTCATTCATAAAAAAGAAACTAACACATGATAATACAGTAATACCTAAAAAGTGGCAATGTTTATACAAATGGTTGAGTTTTGTTGTGATGTCTATGGTATTTATTATTCATGTTTTATAGGTGACAATTATTTGCTAATATCTTTTTTTTATACATGGCATTTCTTTTTTATAAATAAAACTGCATGAAATGAAAAAGTTAAAAGGCTTCTTTACTTTTAGTGTATGGTTTAAGTACTTTTATATATTTATTATTAAACTAGGCTATACCCATTCCATACTGTATAATTATGCTAAAGCAAATGCTATATAAACCTTTAAAAGGCATGTGCATTAGTATTGTATTGTATTTAATGTTTGTTATATGTATTATAATGCAATATGTTGTTGGTGTTCCTTTAAATAAATATATAAATACCCATAACTTTGTCCATATAACTGGGATATATTAACTGACTGAGGACATAGAATAAAAGTAGCCTATGTCCTTTTCCATTGCAAATATCATGTGTATACCAAATTTCATGACAAATAGTTGATCTGTTAAAGCAGCAAAACACACTCTCATATTTATAATATTAGTAAAGATGTTTATATTTGATAAAAAGACAGACTAAGATTATTTTTTCAAAATACTCTTTACACTTTTTATTAAGTGAGCCATTAGATTGTTCATTCCACTCCAATGTGTAATGGTTAACTAGTTTTGGAGGAATCATAAATATATGTAATATGTTGTATACACAATTTTTTTTAACTAGAAAACATATATTAGGAATTGTTTAAAAAATGGTTACACAGGTCTAAATAATATCACAGGCATTCAACAAAATTTAATTAATTGAAAGTAAATGTTAATAAGCAAGTTAATGATATAACAGTATGAATAATCATATTACCCACCGCTCATTTGGTTTTAAGTCCAAGTTACCTAACACCTAATTAATTTCACATTACCTAGAATGGCATTATGTTAAGAAACAATAATAGTAAATAAAAATAAGGTTGTCATAAAAAAAAATTAACAGGCAAATGACATATCTAGTTCTGACACACCTAAACGAACTTTGAACTTATAAAAAAATAACATGTTATTAAGTACCCACCTAATATTTTGTTAGTATTCAGAAGAGTTCGTATCTTTTCCATCCAGGTGTGAGCCTCGGTCAAAGACTGTGCCGCGAGAAGAATGCGCGGTTTTCGTGGTTCGTCAATGGAAAACACGGCGAAAGCATTAGGGCGGGTGCGAGACTTCGTACGTCGCACCACGCAGTTGGCGGGCAATTCTACTGTTCCAGCAGGTGCTCCCGCCTCACTGCAGTATACAGCCAATGAACCACCACCCGTACAAGTCGGGCTCGGCCTTAAAATGCACCATTGTCGCTTCCACGACTGTCAATAACAAACAAATCAATGAAATTGTAACTCCCTTATGTGGACTCGAAAGGCGTTTTACGATAAAATTGCACAACATACCTTGAACGGATTTGACCTAGCCGGATACTTCACTTCTAAATATCCGGACATTATAATTAAATTTGACTTTCACAATATAAACAACATGTCTTTCACAACAAATAATGAACACGAGAAGCACATGTAGCTAAATCAAATAATTTGTTTACAAAAATGTCCATAGACAAGGAACAAATAGGGTTGACTATTATTTTTTCATAGATTTGAGCGTTGAGTTTGAAAATAATCGATAGATATCCAAAACCGGTTTTCCCCATGACGTATTTTATTTTCTTTATGGTAGCAATTTTTAAGAGTAGGTATGAAATATTTATATTTACCACTATTTACTTGATAGTGTAATATATCTAATACCACTATCAAATAATTGATGTTCCAATAAATCAAATATATCTAATCACTGTAATTGAGATCAAATGGATGCGCATACTTTTAAAATGCTGACTGTAGGAAAGATTAAAATATCATAAGAACGCCACATACGAGATTACATATATTATTGAATTAAAAAAATAGTTCATTTTGAAATCCCTTTAAAATTTCTAATGTTTAATAATAATTGTGTGTATGGGAACTTATTGTGTTTATATAAGTGAAATATGGCAATACTGTTGTGTGTTACTGTCAACTGTCAATATCAACTGTGACTCGTTCATTTTATATAGTTTTGTTTGTAGTTATTCAATAAGAAATTGTTAAAATAACCAAGAAAACTATTGCGATTTTATAATGATTGGCGTAATACCAATTTTATTAACGATAGGTTTATTCGGTACTGCACAGTGCCTCAACAATCCTGTTGAAGAAGAATTAGGTAGTGGCAGGTATGTCATTGAAGGAAGAGTATACCCTCCTGAAGACCAAGAACTGCTCAATTGGCAGGTGGACACCCGTATCCATGTGAATGGAGGAGAGTATATAGGTTTCATCAGGGAAGATGGTACATTTGTGGTACATAACATACCAACAGGTTCCTACGTAGTAGAAGTTATTCACCCAGATTACATGTATGAACCAGTCCGCGTGGAAATCAATTCTAAAGGCAAGTACAGAGCTAGGAAACTGAATTACATACAGACTTCTCAAGTGATACAAGTTCAATATCCACTTCGCATGAAGGCCCTTTCGAAGTTCCGATATTTCCAAGTACGCGAGCAGTGGCGTCTGACTGACTTTTTGTTCAACCCTATGGTGATTATGATGGTTCTACCATTGTTCCTTATTATGATTCTACCAAAAATGATGAATGATCCAGAAACAAAAGAGGACTTGAAACAGATTAGTAATTTGGCAAAAATGTCTGAAATACCAGAAATGTCAGAGATGATTACTTCACTATTCAGTGGAGGCTCTTCAGCCAAAGCATCTAGTTCCAAAGCCAAACAAGTAAAGAAGAGGCAATAGTAATAATTTAGTCATTGTAATTAAGTTTTTATGATTGAATATTATGTAGGGATAGTTTTATTTATGAACAAAATAAAATGTATTGACTTTTTTTTTATTATAGAATTATATATTACATTACTGACAGTTTGAATATTCTTGTACATAACTAAATAGAAAGAAAAAAAAAACTCATTGATTAGTCATTCACTTAGCAACTGTTTAATACCTGTATGTATTTAAAGCTATAATTATGTTGTGTTGAAATAAAAAACAAAAATCACTTGAAAGTTTTTTATTTGGAAATAAATCTATTATGAGTTCATAATGAGATTTCAGTTTTCTTACAATACATACTGTGTAACAACTTAGACAAAATATTACACACAAGTACATAATAATACAAAGGTAAATAAAAAATCAGTCATTGGTAATTTTGGACGGAAACTACTTAAGTAAAGATGAGTCGGTCGCCACTCAATCCTATTGAGATTCTTATAAAATTCACACATCACTTCTTATAATGATATTAATATTATAAATTTATACACATCTTTTTTAAAAATTTATTACATAGGCAATGTTTAGACATACTATTCTATATTTTTCTTTCTAATACATTTTCTGTAAACTATTTTGATCTGATAAAAGTAATAATTTAAAAAATATAAAGTGTTATAGATATTTAAATGACATAGTAGTCATATTTACGAAAAATTCTTACATGTCTAAATACATAAAAACAATAATAAAGATTCTTTTCTTTGTATATAAAATACTCCCAATATATTTCGAGACATTTATCAATTCCTCATATTGTCTTCACACTAATAAGGCATAATGATTGACATGATTTGTAATCTTAATTCAAGTACCATTTATTTTATATTCTGATTTAAATGAAAATTAAGCTTAGAGTAATAACTAATATACATTACAATATTTACACAGAAATATATAATTAAAAGTGTACATAATAAAATTACACTTTTGCATTTTATGCTATTTTTCATCATGTAATATGTGTAAATCTATATAATTTGCATTGATATGATAGTATGAGTTTATTATCCATGATATGCACATGTTATTCCAATAAAATGATGGTAAAAAGGGAAAAATACTTAAGTAACAAAAATTAATATTAACATTAATAAGAAAGTTTTAAGGAGAAATAGATATAATATCTACAAAAAGTTTTTTTTTTTTTGTATCCTGCTGTGTCTGACCATATATAACAGGGTAGATAGTAGTGTCTCGTTTGAAAAAATAAAAATCAATAGATAGTAGAAAAATTTAAAAAAATTCTACAACATATCTATTGAACTGTTTTGTCTTTTCCTTTTCATCTAAATTCTTTGAAAAAAAAATGACAAAACAGATAATAGTTAAAATAGGTTTATAGGAATGAAATGAATGAAGTGAAAATAATGGATTATTAACATCATTAGTATGATTGTTCCTACCCATACATTATAGATATAAATTGGGTATTAAAATTAAGGAATGTTGAACTATCAGGTTTTGCATATAAGTATCATAATACGGTCTGTTCTAAACACGTAATAAACATTTGAACTAATCATGCTTACCTTCACTGTGTTTTCAATTTACTACAGTAATGTTATCACTCGTTAACATACATCACTGTAGTTTTATTAATTATTTGTAAATGATTCTAAAATACTATCTTGGAATGGAAGAAAACACTAATTAAAAAGTATTAGGAATAAACTGGAAATCTATCTCATACATGCCTATGAACATGAGGCCAATGATCTTATGCCTAAAAACAGTAATACTTAGCACAGTAAATGGTACTTTATTGATATATAAGTAGAAAACAGTATCGTTATTTTATAAAATTCATCTATAAAATAAAACAAACTACGTCTTGTACCGCAATCTCTCAGTGTGGAAGATTACAAATAGATATTGAATTTTACGTTCAATAAAATAGAGACCATTTTATTGCGCTAAAGCGTTAGATCGATAAAATTGTACCTTCAATCAAGGACGGTAAACACTGGCAGGTAAATATTTTTGTATTAGTTATTATTGATTATTACATATTGGTAACAATAGTTCTAGGAATAACTTTTTTCATTATGGTTTTACTATCAATATCAAATACATTTTCAGATGTCGAATAGATAAATACACATTATTGCTAAACGGTGGTTAGTAACAAAAACATAACATACACACTAAAATATTTAAGTTCACAACGGAGTCGATTCTGACGCGCCGTTTCTTTAAAACTGTCATTAAAATTTCAATTTTCTATCGCAGCGACATCTTTTAATATGTTACAACCAATATAAACTAATTTTATAAAAAATTTAATTCAAAATTATTATAATTTTATTTCATGATAGTCCATAAAACAGTAATTCCGCGAAATAATTAAATTAAAACATTAGAGTAAGAGACAAGTTTAGAGAAATGACAAGTAAAAATCGGCCCCCATTTATATATATATTGGCAATAGATTAATCTCTAAAACTCGCACACTAGTATTGTTAATAAAATCTTACCGCGAAATGCTAATTTCTATGCTTTATACCACATATTCTTGGTAAACATCTGTTGAGCAACAGTTAACCAACATCGAATGTTACTGGACATAATGTTTCAATCCAACTGTCTTGCTCACACAAGTTGTGTTATAAATACTTTTCGAGAACATTTGACTAAAAAACTTACTTTCATACAAAAATCATACACTAACTAATTGTTATTGAACTACATAGCAATGTGTTTACAATTGTTTACACCTCGTAGAGTGATAACTTATCAACATGTTCTCATTAAATCGGCAAATGCTGCAGTATCAGCTATATCTTTACTCTAACCTAGCAACATTTTTTTACAAGAATACAAAAAGATTGCCATAAATGTGACTTTTATGTTTTTTGTTGCGAATGGCAACCCTTCTAGGCAAATGACAAATCTATCAATAGATATAACGAAACTCCGTTATTGCATACATGAGACGGTAATATCTGACATTCTCTTCTTTCCAATGGAACATAAACGTATTTGCTGATAGGTTTGTCACTTGTCAAGAATGAAAGGTCATTTAAGTTTCGTACATACAATTAGCAGTCCAGTATTATTCTACAATTCAATTTTAATTGTGTATTAATTATTGTGTTCAAAAGAACAACCCATACAACAACCGATACAATGTTCAAGTTTTATTTTTTTATATTATTGAACATTTATCAAAATGCACAAATTAATTGCCAGTTTCTATATATTATAAATACATACACATAATAATTATGTTCTAACTGTATGTATGTGTATGCTATATATTTTGTAATGAAAACTATAATGAAAAAAAAATAGTAAAATTTTTTTATGTGCATAAAATTCATCTGATATAACAAAAAAATATATCTATCCTTTATAATAATAATTTCTTACATAATAAACTATGAACGAAACAAATTGCATAAAGATGGAGTTAGACTAATGACAGAGCTTAAAATAAGAACATAGAACCATTTCGATTAAAAGTACACTGTACAGTCACATACAAATATATGCAATACTCTTCACAATTACTTTTTAAATTTAAATACTGAAGGACTGAGGGAAGCATGAGATTGGTCAGCCAAACTCCACCTGAACGAGATTCTTGAAATGAGAAATTTTAAATTTAGAATATAGTTTCCAATATAAAATATTGCATACACAGTTATTGAGTTTCTACTACGTGACCAAGTGAGATAAGAGTTGCGGTCGTATATACCGTGTTAGAGTTACAACGACGGCCAGCAGCAGTAGAGGCACAGCGGCGACGGCTCGCGGTCCAGCATTGTATATCGCGCAGTATGGACATTGAGACGAGCCGCACACTTCGCAGATATTCAATAGATACGTAGGTAGCGCGTCGAAGATGGATTCGTTATATCGTTCTGGGAGGAACATAATATTAAAATAAGCCGAAAGTTTTAATTGAAATAAAGAAAAAATACTTGTTTAAATTTCATTTCTTTCTTTATAGCTCTTCCAGAATTTCCTTAAAAATGTGAAAAATATATATCAAAGACTGTTTACTAATTGTCTCAAATTACAAATATTTTACAATATCTACGTAAAAATATACTTGTAAGACCTTTAAGTACACAACAGTGAAAACTGTATTCAAATCGGAGTAGTAGTTTTGGCGTGATACTAAAACACACATACAAACTTTCTAAAAATTATTAAATTGCCTTCTATCACTCCTATTAAAAACCTTTGCATGATTTTTTTTCAATATCTTCCATATACAGATGTCCAGTTATAATTTTAAAGTGATAGAGGGCGTTACCTGGTGCGTAGTAGTCGTAGACACGGACAGGCAGATACCGCGACATGTTCGCGACGGGGAACCACCGCTCGATCGTGAAATTCACGCACGTCCGCTCCGGGCTCAGCTGTATGCGTAAATACACACATTACATACATATATCAAGCAATATTTATAATATTAATAGATATAATTAGAATATTATTTGAAAAATAGATATTTTTCAAGAAATATTCATGGCTGTGTACTAACATAGTCGAAGTAGAACAGCAGTTTGGAGGGCAGGAACTTGGCTCGCTGCAACGTGGGCACGCGGCGCGACAGCACGTAGGCGTCGAGCCGCTGCTGCTGGATCATGTACCCGGTCGGGATCGCCACGTCCATCACCGCCAGCCCCGACCGAGGCGACTCCTCCACCAGGGTCCAACTGTATTCAAAGTTACGTACGTTTTATAACTGGATTAATTAAGGACTTCCGGTAGTTTCGAAAGCAGTTGAGTAGTCTTGACGAAAATATATGTAAGTTTTTAATAATACATACATCTTTTTATACAATTTAGAATGGCAAACAAGCTGACGGCCCACCTGATGGAAAGTGGTAACCGTCGCCTATAGACATGAACAGTACCATGAACATAAAGTATACTGTTGCACCCATGATACGCCCCCATGCCTTGTCATTCCTGAGGACTCAGGTGTTATTCCTCTGTACCCTGTAAATTTACGCCATATCCCACCCTTCAAACCGAAACACAATTGCTTCATGGTAGAAACACGAATGGGACAGAGGTACCCAAGCAATTGACTTTTGTACAAAGTCTCCCTCCCTCCCTATATTTCATTGGGGTAGGCAGAAATAATGGAACGCCAAATGTTTCGATTCACATAGATCTCCTTTACTTCCTTCACATTCGTCAATCTTTTCATACTCGCTAACTGGTTACGAGTATTTTTAATATGGCCCTTCTTTAGCACATCACCTATTTGATCAACATACGTTCTACAATGATGACATCTACCGACAATTCTGTTTAACATTTTTTTATATTGTCGTTGTATATACAAAGGAAACACCAGCATCAGACAAAGTGTCTAAAACATGTTACAATTTTAGGGGTTCTAAATAAAAAAAAAAAATTGTATAATTATTAGTAATAGTTAGAATGCCAATTTGCTTAGGGCAGATCTAAATATCAAAGGTTAAAGCATTCCAGTGCTTCATAGCTTGAATGGTGAAAGAAGTAGATAAAGAGCCAGTGTAGTGGACAGGAGTATGAGGGAGGAGATATCTAGAAGGACAAGATGTATGTGAAGACCTGGCGCAGCTCTGGAACTCGATGTGCGACTGGTTGCGGCCGTAGTAGCGCAGCGGCTGTGCAAGCAGGTCGAAGGCGGGTACAGGCGGCTGCGTCTGGAAGCGCGCGATGTCGACGTTGTACTGCACCGACATCTGCAGGATCGCGAATCCCGCGCCACGCGCCGTCACCTTCACCGTGCCCCACGCCTCCGGGATCTGGGGAACACCGGTACACTTGTAATCTAATGTAAATTGAACTTCAAAATTGCGCGCTTAGCCTCTCATTTGGGCCATTGCGCGTATAAGCCAAGGCTAATGTACAGTCAGCCCAGCTCCGCCCAGAAGCACAGAAGTTTCCTGGGATCTTCACAGGCCTCACGGAGCGACCTCACTGCTCCCAGGATTTCTAAACGTTAATGGGCCACAGGTTCACATTCCAAGATTACCTGAGCAGCCATTTCTTCGGCGTCAAAACAGCCTCGACATAGAGGGCTGTCTGTGGCTCCTATTGTGTATAAATGTTTGTTTAAGGAAGAGGGTGGCCTATTCTATGCCGGGACCACACGGAATGTCATACCGCAGGATATTTTAGTTTGAAGACCAGGCAACCAGATGTGATCGATGGCAATTTGATCGCTATTCTATAAAAAATTTCATAAAATATATGTTACGCACTTCGACGCTCTGCATGATGGCGAGGTTGTCGTTGGCGACGTGCAGCAGCCTGGTGCCGCCGCGCAGCGCCACCGCGTCCACGGTGACGGCCAGCGAGCTCACGTCGCGGAGCCGCTTGCGGTTCGTGTACTCTATCAGCGCACGCATCGCTATGTACGTATCCTGCGAGACAACACCCAATTTAGAATAATATTAGTTGGCTATTATGTATAAAAGACGATATTGCCAGAATGGGAGTAAATGCGGAAATGACTGCGAATAGAGAAGAATAGAAGAGAAAAATATATTACGCCCACCCTAAATAATAATTGGGATAAGGGAGGATTCACAAAACATGGACAAAAAAATACACCTGTCTTTGGCGAAGCATGTGTATGGTCTGTTTATATAAGATTTCAATTTTTTTATGGGTGAAAATGGAATGGTAACCCCGCCTGCGCTAACGGGATACGCTGGCGGGGCACCAGTGAAAGATGATAGATGAGAATGAAAACAGGCCAGTTAGCCCATCATGATGAATTCATCAGGAATTAACCATGATAGTTTCCACGGAGAACTTTGAAGAGGTCGACCTGGTTGGGTATATTGCTGGCAATGGGATTCTCAGTCTCCATTACTAAAAATACCTTCCCTCCCCCCCCGATCTTCAGCTATTATCCCTCACTGATTGTTGACTACAGCTACCCTAAATCATAAAAACAATACCTGCGTGGATGCCCAGCCGCCATCCTTGAGCCTCTGTGCGTTAAGCCACATGACAATGGGCTCGTTGTTGTCCTGGTGGTCCATGCAGGCGAGGAGCGCGTACGCGGTCGCCGCGATGTTGTTCGAGTCGTACTTGTACGGCAGCCGCGGCAGCAGGAACGGCTTCTGGTTCTCCATTTTGTACGGCGGCTGAGGCACCGGCTCCTTGCCCCAGTACACTAAACCGCCTGGTGGGAATAATTGAGAGATATAAGAGAGAAACAACGAAAGACATTTTGATGCAATTTCAATGAAACTAATTGTTCGCGACATTGTAATCATTTGTATAGTTATAGCGATATTTTATAGTTAATTGTTAGCATAAGTCCTTAGTTTAATCATTTTTAAATTGTTAATTTTACATAGATTTTAAGATGTATCTATAGCTCGTAAGTCGAATAAAACATTTTTATTGTGTCTTGTTATTATTACCCACAAATAGGAATAAGAAAAGAAATTGTAAAAATAATAGAAATAAGGATAATTGTACAAATAAATAGACGCCGAAACGGTGCCACTCTGAAGAGTAACGCGTCCCTTTCACACTCGCCCCGTCCCGCTCGCACAGACTCGCTAACGCGAGTTAGTACATGTTGTCGTGCGACCGGGCGGGTATAAAGATAGGCCGCCTACCGTCGAGCGGCATGCTCTGCTCTGCTCTGCGACACAGTACACTCCCCATCCGATAAGAAATAGGACAAAAGAAAACTCTTCAGACGGTACCGGGAGCTTCAGAAAAGGAATTATTGTGTTTCTCTCCAGCCTGAACCAGCGCCCCTACAGTCCACGCTCATCGTACGGTCAAAAAACATCGTTCACTAATATAAAAGTATGTCCATTCGAATAAAAAATAATACAAGTTGGTATATAACTGACAGAGCGTAAAGTTAACAAATATAAAAGAGCACAAACGAACTGACAAGTCGCTCCTCTTTAAGCCAGTTGAAAGGACTAAAAAGTGAATGAAGCTCACCCTCGGAGCGCTGCCGCTTCTTGAGCAGCCTGAAGGCGTGCTCGGAGCTGGGCGCCTTGGAGAAGGTGAGCGCGTAGGCGACGACGGCCAGCGCGCGCGGCTCGCCCAGCTCGTCCAGCAGCTGCAGGTGCCGCTCCAGCCAGCGCACGCCGCGCTGCTGCGCCTGCACTACCTGCGCGCTCAGGCCCTGCCCGATTGCAACATGGCATTAGCACCAGTGCACGGGCAATGGCTAAGGTGATGATTAGCCCTTGGGGACTTCTCTCGTAGATTAATAAAATTAGTTATTTAAATTCATTCCCAAAATAGACTAAAGAAATAGATTGTTAGTAAAGGGATTTTTTAATACAACTTAGAATGGCAAACAAGCTGACGGCCCACCTGATGGAAAGTGGTAACCGTCGCCTATAGACAAGAGCAGTTACGTGGACATAATAGAGTATACTGTTTCGCAATGGGATTTAACAGACCCATTACTAGCAGTATACTCTATCAGGTCGACCTCGACGCGATTTCCACTCTAAACAATCCTGGTTAATAATCATCGAATCCATCACAGCGCTCTACTTTCACCTTCACTTATAATCTCTCATTGATGCCCCGCTAACGAAGTGCAGGCAAGTTGCTATTTTATTTATCACCCATTAAAACAGTAAAAAGAGTCGCTGTTGACAGAGCATAGGCTTTAATACATGAAGAAGACAGCTAGGACTGCCGTTTTAACTTTCATCCGTGACTTCGGCCATGTGACCAAGTTAAAATGTACCCTACGTTCTTCTCCATTCCATATGTTACCTGTGTACCGATTTTCATAATTGGTTAAACCATTAAATCACTAAGAGATTAAAAAGTAACAAACAAACTGACTTTCATATTTATAATATCAGTTCTATTATTTGAAACAAAGATTAATTCCAATTTTTTTTTTTTACATTATATTTACTTATAAAAAATATGTACACCAACAATATGATCACAATAATTAAACAGACTAGATACAATGCTACAAGTAAAATTAAGGCTAGGTGAACAGATCAATTATTTATTTATTTATTCATTAGTACAAATACGTGTACATGGCGGACTTAATGCTAAAAGCATTCTCTCCCAGTCAACCATAGGGAAGTGACAGAATACTCGAATGCGGTTCTAGTAATTATTGATATCCATACATACTAAAATAACATATATAAACGAATAAATATATATGAATTACAAATATACTTACACATATATGATATATACTATATTATACACGAAATTAAGAATAATATAAAGCACTCACTGCTCGGATAAAGATAAAAAGTGAGCGTGAACGCTTTTTTTGAAAGACGTTTTATTAGGGGTTTATATTTATGGCAATATATAAAAATTAAACTTAAATTTCATCCCAACCATCTGGACGAGTGGCGGTCCTCCACCGTGCATTTTTCAAGGTACTTTCTCCCACGCACAACCACTCTTTGGTATCAATTTCCAGCAGCAGTATTTCCGAACCGATACGACAACATAACCATCAAGCAAAGAGCATATTCCTTTTTAAAAGGCCGGCAGCACACCTGCAATGCCGTTGGTGTTGTGGGTGACTATGGGTGGCGGTAGTCACTTACCATCAGGTGAGCCGCATGCTCGTTTGCCCCTTGTGTTGTAAAAAAAAAACTTAAAAACACTTACCTCTCTCTGACCGATATCTTTGAGGTTTTTCACTGTCTCAAGCGTGATCACAACTTGTGCTGTGAGTGTGATGTTACGCTGCAGCAGGATGGAACCGTTGACCTGTGAAATTAGTAACAAATTAAAACACAATCAATGAATGTATTAATTTTGATTTATAATACTATTGGATATAAACAATCAGCAGATTGTCTTACAGTAGGGTCAATGATTCATATTTAAATTCTATTGAAACAGAATTTAGTAATGCATGTGTTTGCATGGCTGTGTTTCGGTTTGAAGGGTGGGATATGGCAGTGAATTTACTGGGTACAGAGGAATAACACCTGAGTCCTCAGGAATGGCAACGCATGGGGGTATCATGGGCGAAACAGTATACTCTGTTATGTCCATGGTACTGCTCATGTTTATAGGCGACGGTTACCACTTTCCATCAGGTGGGCCGTCAGCTTGTTTGCCATTCTAAGGTGTATAAAAAATACAGATATCCGACTAGTATATAACATGGCCGATCAATTGTATAGGTAACAAAACTCTACTGGTTTTACCAATCACTACTGTATTATTTATTTCAAATATTATTACAGTGGTCAGAAATATTAAGCACAAATGCTATTCACCTGTCAAACATTCAATTTGTACACATAAATACTTGCCGGTGATTTTAATGCAGTATTGTTCCTTCCGGCCAGTTTAATGATATTTTAATATATAACAAGTATTTTCTACACAAATTCATTAAAAATACATATAAGGAGCTTTAACCTACACTTGTGGGGGAGAAAGGGATTGTTAGTAATGGAGACTGAGAATCCCATTGCTAGCAATATACCCAACCAGGTCGACCTCCTCGCGGTTCCCCCTGGAAACTATCATGGTTAATTCCTGATGAATTCATCATGATGAGCTAACTGGCCTGTTTTCATTCTCATCGATCACCCTACACTGGTGCTCCGCCAGCGTATCCCGTTAGCGCAGGCGGGGTTACCATACCATTTTCACCCATAAAAAAACCTATACTTGTGTATGTAAATATAAGTAATTACGAGTACTCTTCAAACTTGTATAAAATATGAAAATATGATTTGGCTTAAAATTCCTATAGCCAAACCATAAATAAAAAAATATAATGCACGTGGAATACCTGAGTCCTCAGGAATGGCAACACACGGGGGGTATCATGGGCGAAACAGTATACTCTGTTATGTCCATGGTATTGCTCATGTCTATAGGCGACGGTTACCACTTTCATCAGGTGGGCCGTCAGCTTGTTTGCCATTCTAAGTTGTATAAAAAAAAAACCAACCTCCCTGCCGCCGGTGCTGACGGCGCTGCGGTAGAGCGGATGCGAGCGCGGTAAGGCGATGGTGTCGTTCTCGTTGCGGTCAGGCAACCACGTCACCTCGTAGAACGCGCCCTCTGGCGTCTGGTGCTGAAGCACCCATGACACCGCTTGTGACGTCACCTGTCGCCAATATAAATTACATTTAAATTTGCTCTTCCAACTGACTCCCGTAACGGACAAGGACTCCGTGTGGTCCCGGCATAGAACGGGTCACATCTTCCTTTTCCGTGAGTGTCGTAAGAGGGGACTAAAGAAACTTAATTGTCGAGGTAGCAGCGTCCCTCTTAAACCAACCCAACCCGCCCACCAGGGAAGAAAGGGATTGTTAGCAATGGAGTTTGACAGTCCCATTGCTAGCAATATGCCCTATCAGGTCGACCTCCACGGTTCCCCCTGGAAACCATCCTGAACAATTCTTGTTGAATTCGTCACGATGGGCTAACTGACCTGCTTCATACTCATCTATCATTCTTCACTGGTGCTCCGCCGGTGTATACCGATAGCGCGGGTGGGGTTAACATCCCATTATCGTCCATAAAAAAAACCCGCCCACCGAGGGTGGCAATTACTGGCAAAACACCTCTTATGGGGGAGGTTTTATGTTCAGCAGTGGACAGTTAACGGCTGATATGATGATGATGATGATTATGATATATATATATATATATATATATATATATATATATATATATATATATATATATTATTTATATATATTATTTATTTATTTAATTAAAAATGTAATACAACATATGGAAAAAGGTACTAAGTCCTGAAACGCAGGTTTTTTTATACCTACCACTGGAATTAGGGACTTCACATTATAATGTAACAATGAGTGAAATATAGATTTATTTATTATTATTTATTAAAAACAATAATCTTATCAGCAGCAGAATTCACGACGTATTAACCATATTGTTATTGATATTTGGTTATTGATATTAAAAAAAAAACAAGTTTTATCAGAGGGAGACTTTGTACAAAAGTCGATTGCTTGAGTACCTCTGTCACATTCGTGTTTCTACCGTGAAGCAGTTGTGTTTGCATGGCTGTGTTTCGGTTCGAATAGTGGGATATGGCGTGAATTTACAGGGTACAGAGGAATAACACCTGCGTCCTGAGGAATGGCATACTCTGTTATGTCCATGGTACTGCCCATGTCTATAGGTGACGGTTACCACTTTCCATCAGGTGGGCCGTCAGTTTGTTTGCCATTCTAAGTCGTTAAAAAAAAAACAAATTATGCGGAGCAAATTATTACGTCTAAATATAAGGTAGACTTACATAATAATAAGCAATGCATAATAAGCATAATAATAATAATATAAGGTAAGTACTTTACACGTTGGTTGATAAGGTGTTATACCTTTTCTATGTTATTACATAAGTTTTTAACTCTAAGGTTTCCAATTCTGAGTTGGACTTACATCCGGGTCGATGTAGATGAAATTTTCCCACTCGTTGAAGGACGCGTCTTGGAATATCTTTGCGCAGAACGACGTCAACCAAACGCTAGACGCAGACTGGTTCCTGGAAGCAAAAATAATTATTATAAAGGATCTCACAGGAAACTTTAGACCTTAGATTATATAATTATTAAAACTTAGGTTTATATAAATAGAGCATCGTGTCTCATAAACTTTTTGTGAGCTAATTGTCAATGTAGCCGATTAGAGGGGAAAGGGATTGTTAGCAATGGAGTTAGGTCGACCTCCGCGTGGTTCCCCTGGAAACCATCGTGAACAATTCTTGTTAAATTCGTCACGATAGGCCAACTGACCTGCTTCATCCTCACCTATCATTCTTCACTGGTGCTGCGCCAGCGTATCCCGATAGCACAGGCGGGGTTACCATTCCATTATCACCCTGTATGGTATAGAATATGGTAGGTCACGGTGATGGCAAGAAAACGAAGACTCTTACAATTGGATTTTATTTTCGTTAATTACAGATAAATTTATTATCTGTAATTAACGAATTAGACGTGTGGTGTCGATCGTTTCTAGGTGCAGACTGGGGCGTGGCGTCCGTTGCGCCGATTATAAGTTTAAAAACGACCGCACGCAGAGACAATGACATAGACAAACTATTTTATTAATAATTGAGTTTTGAGGCACAGAACGCGTCGCTTACAACCCATTAAAAAAAATGTAGCCAACTGGATTTTTTTATCAGTGCTCTATATACTTATGCACTCAATGTATCTTGACGTAAAGACTAACACTTTAAAAAGATGGAAAAATTATAAAACAAAATAAATACAGAAGTTATAGTCACAGATATTGACCCGTTTTTCTCGAAGCATTTGTAAGAAGACACTCTATAATCTAAGATTAAAACATAAAAGGCATATCTTAAGAAATGGTTATGAAATTGTATGAATTACATACAGTTTTATTTATACTAATATAATATTATAAAGAGGTATAGATTTGATTATTTGTAACGGATAAACTCAAAAATTTCTAAACGTTGATGGGCCACTGCCTCACATTCCAGGCAGGATTACGTGAGCAGCCGTTTCTTTGGCATCGAAACAGCCTCAACATAGAGGGCTGTCTGTGGTTCCTATTGTGTATAAATGTTTGTTTAATGGACAATGGCCCGTTATTGTCCCTATCATTATTTTGAGGTTTTTACTATCTAGATGTAATAAACGTTTTGATCTTCCTGAATTCCTCGCGCTGTACTCACCAATCACTTCTGAAGAGGCTGAACGATCCGTCCGGCTTCATGAAGGACAGCTGCCGCTGGTAGAGCACGTTCATGTGGTAGAAGGCGTCCCGCTCGAGCGTGCGGTTCCGCTGGTTGATGAGTCGCATGTACAGCGTCTGGTACATGTTCACCGCGAAACTGAACATGTTCTGCTCGGCTGAGTCCTAGAAGAAGAATATTTTTTTAATTTTAAGACGTGCAATAGGCAAATGTTGGCGCATACCTAAGCACATTGCTTTATGTTCCTTGAAAAGAAATCATAGTGAGTTACTGTTTTGCATAACTGTAAAGAACAATATGTTTTGATATGCTATATATATTATATACTGCGAGTGCCTACAGCTCGCACTCAGCAAGCCAAGGTACGCAGTCAGATTCACGCTCGCGTCACAGCCGCTCATGATTAAGGGTCACGAATTGATCCCGAAACTAATCGAGCGTTCTCGATCTAATTACACGTAAATTAAACCGGTAGTTATTACATTAAAATATTTTTACTAGTTACGTCTCGCGGCTCTGCCTGCGTGCACCGGTACATAAATATATACTTAATTTATTTAAATTTGTTCATTAGTTTTTGTGTGACAGAGTAACAAATAAACATCCGTTCTTCATTACAAACTGTTATATAGACAATAATAACTACCTCTTAACCGCGACTTCGTTCGCATGACCGGGATAAAAAGTAGTAGTAGTTCTCCATCCCATACAGTACGTGTATACCACATTTCATAGCGATTGTTTAAGCCATCAAGGCGCTATAAAATAACAAACAAATCCACTTTCACATTTATGATATTAGTAAGGATTACTCCGCCATTTATTTCTACTTTATATTATATTTTATCATCAGCGATATAATAAATAAATGGCATATGTTCTTAAATACGTATATAATAATACATAGTTTCAGTCAAAAGGTGGGTCTTAAGCTGATTTTATGTAATCATCTTACCATAGGCAGGTCCAGCAGACTGGTCGCGTTGATTGGCATCGTTGGGAACAGTGGTCCCACGACGTCGCCGACGATGGACACGCGCGCCTTGTTCGACCCGAACACGTAGTAGCGGTCGACTTCGTACGGTATGATCGGCGTTTCGGTCACGTTCACGTGCATGTATTGGAAGACGTACGCGCGGTTCGACAGGTCGAGGAGGATCGACTGGTGACGGTACTGGGGGATACCGTCCGCCTGTGTAAATAAAAATGAACGTATTATTGTAATGCAAGTATCTATGCATTTGTTATGTCCATGGTACTGCTAATGTCATCAGGCCGTTAGCTTGATTGCCACTCTAAGTTGTATAAAAAAAAATCAATCTTCAGCCATAAACTATTGTACGTACCTCGACGAGCAGGTCCTTGGTGAAGTGGTGCCTGCCCTGCAGCGTGGCTGCATGCAGCCGCACCCGCACGAGGCCGAGCCGCGTGGCCACGACGGGCACGTGTACCACGGCCGCGTCACCCGATATGATGTACACAAAGAACTGGTGCTCGCCGAACGACGTGCGCGGGTTGTATGATACCACCTTTCGACAAAGAGAAAAATCATTAAAAAAAAACATACTAAACCTCCTTAGTAACAGGGACTACTTCTTAGCAATAGTAATTATTAACTAGGTCTGGATGGGGGGAAGTATTGTTAGTAATGGAGACTGAGAATCCTATTGCTAGCAATATACTCAACTAAGTCGACCGCCTCGCGGTTCTCCCTGGAAACTATCATGGTTAATTCCTGACGAATTCATTATGATGGGCTAACTGGCTTGTTTTCATTCTCATCTATCACCCTTCACTGGTGCTCCGCCAGCGTAGCCCGTTAGCGCAGGCGGGGTTACCATACCATTTTCACCCATAAAAAAAAAAACTAGGCCTGGATAATATTGGTACCGCTCTGATTATCTGTTGTAGGATCACATCCCTAGTATATATGGAACATCACTAGAAGTAGACACTGGTTGGTTGATTTGATACTTGTGTGTTAATACATTACTATTCCATTATCACCCATTAATATATATATATATATATATATACACAAATGAATTCGTACCTATTTTTACTGTAATGCCCAGTGCTGAGTTTGTTACAATCATGGTTATGCAATAAATTTATTATTATTATAATTAATCTGCAATATATAAATTAAAACAACTCACGATTCCGTTCTCCTCGACGTGTACAAACTTGTAATCGTTGGAGGCCTCGAGTACGACGACCGCTTCGATGTTCTGCGGCTGATAGTTGAACACGACCACACGCAGCCCCACCTGTTCGCCCTGCCGGATCCGGTCTGGACCTTCCACTTTTATGAAGAACGGCAGCACGCCCACGTACTGTCGGCAAAAAAGTAGAAAATGAATAACACGATTCTAGTGTGGGGCCATACCAGCATAGAGAGAAGACAGGGATACTATTCTATTTTTATAATAAAAAGTTTCCTTTATTTAAAGAGTTTTTCACAATTAAAAGTTAGGGTAATTTACAGGGTACAGAGGAATAACACCCGAGTCCTTAGGAACGGCAACACATGGGGGGTATCATGGGTGTAACAGTATACTCTGTTATGCCCATGGTACTGCTCATGTCTATAGGCGACGGTTACCACTTTCCATCAGGTGGGCCGTCAACTTGTTTGCCATTCTAAGTTGTATAAAAAAAAGTCTCAGAGCCATATTAAATAGAGAATCTACTGTATAGAACACAAAAATTTTTTTATACAACTGAGATGGCAATCAAGCATACGACCCACCTGATGGTAACCGGTTACGGTAGCCTATGAACGCCTGCAATACTAGGGGTATTAGCACGCGTTGCCGATCCTAAAGAAACCTCTTTACCCCTTTTTTGACGAACCTCATGCTGAACAACCTTAGTCTTGATAAATAATATATTTTTAGTATATTTTAATTAAACGTCGCCAAAACCTAATTACCAGTAGTATGTATATATATATATATATATATATATACACACATACACACACTATACTACTAGCAAAATCCCTGACCTATATGTCCATTGTCAAATAGGCCTATATTTGACAATGGACAATTAACTCCGAAAACCACTTAAATAGCACATCACTGATAAATGGTTGGACAACAGTGTTACTACGGTCAGTACGACAGTTGCGTGAGCACCGATTACAATACAGTACAGGCTTCTATTTTATAACATTGTACAATACTAACCTCTAACGGTTTGTTCAGCATTCCAAGCCCTCGCGACGGCGACATACTGATCGCAGACACCATCCAGTGAGCTGGCACCTGGCAGGAAAAGAAAAACAACAATATTATCAGTTCAAATCAACCATAATGAATAATAGATTTTATATTACAGATAGAATTTATATTACAATGAATTGAAATGAATAGATAAGTGGTATATAAATGTACAAAAAGTGACAAAATATTATTGCAAATATATATGTTATTATGATGAAATTATTTTAATGTTTTGTTTAATAAGTTTTTATATTTGCACGCCTACAGTGTGGCAGAATATGATTGGAATATTTTTCTTGTAAAGTAACACCTACAAAAATGTACCCTATTCCAGCAAACAAATGATTTCAATTTCAATTGATACCATATTTTTATTCGAGTACATGGCCCTTTATTTAGAAAACAGAAAAGAGCATAGGGCAACAAAAACGAATATAGTTGCTGATAAGGAATTTGCCCAGAGGCGTCAGGTTTAATAAGGCTAACCGCCGACATTGGAACCTTCAAAAATGCTAATTTCTGGTAGAGAAACACTAATGGGAGACCTTGTGACGTGAGATTTTCGAACTATTAGTTACGTCATTGAATTGAGCGTTAATACATATCACCGAGAAACTCAATAAAGGTTCTAGAGTCGTGACTCTGTATAAGCAAACGTAGTATAAGGTGAGTTGTAAAAGTATGACCCGCTAGATGTAAACCAATGTAGAGGCCATTTCTTACGGTAGTCTACAGAGGAGGCCTATATTTAACGGTGGACAATTAAAGACTGATGTAATGATGATATCTCTGAAACAAAATTGTACATTCCCTTTTAGACCAGTCGAATATACAATTTTTTTTAAAGAAAATGACAATTTAATAATTACTATCTGCTTTGACAGATTCCCTGTTTATTTTTTTCGTAGTGACAGTCACCTGTGGCACGTCGACGGTGAAGACGTAGCGTCCGTGCGGGCCGATGTTGACGTCGCGCCACACCCACACGTTGTCGTACTGGCGCTGCACGCGGTTGAACCGGAACTTGCGGAAGTGCGTCAGCTCCATGCTGCTCTCGTGCTCGCCTGCGCACCGCAACAAATAATGTCTATATAACCACAACCAAGTTGTCCCTTTTTCTTGTTTTTATGTAATGAAGTTTATGTCATTAATAATATACATTTTATGTGTGTATGTATTGTTAATTTACATAGTCTGTATCCTTAGATTATATAGATAGAGCATCGAGCCCTTAGATCGAGGTTCAAAAACTGGTCAACTTTTTGACAGCTAATTGTCAAATTAGCTAACTAATTTTTTTATCCGTGTTCTATATACTTATACATAAAATGTATTGGGACGTATTGTTTAATAAATTAGTGTTTACGCATTAAACAAATGCAGAAATTATAAGACAAAATAAATATAGAAATTATAAAGGAATCATTCATAACTTTTTATCACACAAAACTGTATGAAAAAGTTGACCCATTTTCTCGAAGCATTTCAATAGAGACTCTCTATCTATGTTATCTAAATCTGTATCATTTTTTGAAGGAAACAATAAAGAGTTCTCATTGATTTATGTTTAAGTAAATAAAATTTTTAATTATATATATGAACAGATAGATAAGAAGCTAACAGTTGGCCTCGTCGGTGCGGTCGAGGCAGTCAGCCTGGCCGTCGCAGCGCTGCTCGTGCGAGTAGCAGCCGCCCTCCAGGCACTCGAGCTGGCCTGCGCTGCTGTTGCATACACTGGGCCGCCGCGCCACCGTCACGTCGCTGAACACCACCAGGCCCGCGTACCTGCCGCATAAATGTTAGGTTAGTGGGGTGAAAGATATCGTTACCATTCCTGAGGACTCAGGTTTTATTCCTTTGTACCCTGTAAAATATTAATCTTTATAACCTGTATCATTCGGGGGGAAAGGGATTGTTAGTAATGCAGACTAAGAATCCCATTGCTAGCAATATACCCAACCAGGTCGCCCTCCTCGCGGATCCCCCTGGAAATTATCATAGTTAATTCCTGATGAATTCATCATGATGGACTAACTGGCCTGTTTTCATTCTCATCTATCACCCTTCACTGGTGCTCCGCCAGCGTATCCCGTTAGCGCAGGCGGGGTTACCATACCATTTTCACCAAGCAAACAAAACCTTTATCATTTTATAAAGGGAACAATAAAGTTAAAAATCCATTAATTCCATTGCACTGACTCGAAGGTCCTGTTGGCGTCGATGCCGAAGGTGGAGGAGGGGAAGTAGACGAGGTCGTCTGCGTCGCCGCGGTGCGAGCGCCACGTGTACGCGAACGTGCCGTTCGTCGCCTCGTCGAAGCGCGCCATCTTCGAGATCACCTGCCCACATACACACATATATATATTTGGCCACAGCAGAATATCAGTGTTTTGCTCTTTTAAGGGCAAAGCAATAAACTGAGTTGTGACCATTTTGTGTTACTATGGCACACGCATGAAGGAATGGTAACAAAGGAGATTGTTAGATTATATATTTTGTTTTTGTATTTTTTTTATTTGTGCTTTTTTTTATTTTTATTCTTTTGTCTCTTTTGCTGTGTATTACGTGTATGTTTTTTTTTTTATTGTAATTTGTGTGCTGTAAGTAATGTAAATAAATTATCTATCTATCTATCTATATATATAAGTTACGCTGACATACACAACAACTTTTTATAAAATTAATTTTAATTTAAATTCTCATAACTGTCATATTTTTTTTTTATTTTTTAAAATACTGTACAATAACTAGGCCCAAAATGAAACATTTTTATAAGATGTAGTACTTTTTTCTAAATGTAGACGTAAACTACATTACACTATAAATATTTATAGAAACAGAGAAACAGTCGATTAAATATTTTTTAATGCAAATTAGAATGGCAAACAAGCTGATGGCTCACCTGATGGAAAGTGATAACCGTCGCCTATAGACATGAACAGTAGCATGGACATAACAGAGTATACTGTTTCGCCCATGATACCCCCCATGCGTTACCATTTCTGAGGACTCAGGTGTTATTCCCGTGTACCCTGTAAATTCACTGCCATATCCCACCCTTCAAACCAAAACACAGCCATGCGAACACAACTGCTTCACGGTAGAAATACAAATGGGACAGAGGTGCCTAAGCAAACGCGACTTTTGTACAAAGTCTCTCTCTGGTACCAAAATATGTATTGGTTATTGGCATACCTTAGCATACGTGAGTTCGTTCCCGGCCTGCATGGTGTAGAAGGCATTGTCAACGGCGGACAGCCCCACGTAGGCACCAGGCTCGCCGTACACCGCTATCTCCACACGTTCGCCAGTCCGGTGCTTGCGGTTGTTTATATACACCGTGAACTGTAGACATGAGATGTATTTCAAAAAGTGTTTACATCTATTTACGACACAAATATTTTGCATGTAGTGAAGGATATATGTGACTATGTGTAGGTGTATATGGTACATGAGGCCTATAAACTCAAAAATGGCTAAATCCAAGTCGGTCAAATGTTCAGGAAACTACAAAAAGATAATATTTTGTCAAGGACATGGAACGATATTCTATATTTTAAACCAGATTAATTTTTTTTTTTTATACAACTTAGAATGGCAAACAAGCTGACGGCCCACCTGATGGAAAGTGGTAACCGTCGCCTATAGACATGAGCAGTACCATGCCCATTTAGCCCATGATACCCCCCCATGCGTTGCCATTCCTGAAGACTCAGGTGTTATTCCTCTGTACCCAGTAAATTCACGCCATATCCCACCCTTCAAACCGAAACACAGCCATGTAAACACAACTGCTTTACGGTTGAGACACGAATGGAACAGAGGTACCCAAGCAATCGACTTTTGTACAAAGTCTCCCTCTGGTAATAATTAGTAATAATTTGAATTTTAAATAATAGAACTCCCTCTATATTTGAGTGCAGAGTTAAAAATGATTTTATGGCGTTTATATAAAATCGTAACTGGTCTGTCTGTACATGGAAGAGATATAAGAAAAACTATTACAGGAGGTCTTTATGAACGCAATAGAACCTAAAACAATTATTTTTAGAATTTTTATCTATTTGTATGTTTGTGTACGCTAATTTAAGAAACGGCTTAACCAATTCAAATGTGATTTTCACTAATGCGTTGCAGTTTGCCTCACTTAACATTTAGTGTTTGTTTTATTTAAATCGGTTCATAAATAAAAAAGTTATATCAATCTAAAGAATCACATATAAAATGCTTTAAAATAACCGATCAGTTGAATTGGCTGAAACTTTATGAAGGTAGGGTATATATCATATTTTAACTCATAAGATATTTTATATACGGATTCACGCGTGCAGCGCCGCGCGATACAGCTAGTTTGTAATATAATATGAGCATGTCGATGAAAGTGCAAGATTAAATGTACGTGTCAGCGAACACAATACGTGTATGTGGGGGGAAAGGGATTGTTAGCAATAGAGTTTGACAGCCTCATTGCTAGCAATATGTCCTCTTAGGTCGTTCTCCACGTGGTTCCACTTGGAAACCATCGTCAACAATTCTTGTTGAATTTGTCACGATGGGCTAACTGACCTATCTTTCATCCTCACCTATCACCTCTCACTGGTGTCCCGCCAGTGTACACCGATAGAGCAGGTAAAGTTACCATTCCGTTATCATCCATTAATAAAAAAAAAATCTGTGTATGCTTGCGTGCTTGTATATATGCGCGCGTGTGTGTGCGCTCGTGTATATGTGCGCGCGTGTAAGCGCGTGTATGTATGCGCGCGTGTGTGTGCGCTCGTGTATATGTATGCGCGTGCATGAATGGGCGCGCGTGACCGCGTGTATGTGTGCAGGCGTGCGTGTAGGTGTGCGTGCTCACGTTGTTCCTGGAGATGCCGTTGACGGGGAAGGTGAGCGAGTCAGCGACGACGGCGCCGCGCCGCCCGCCGCTCCACGCGAGCACGGTGGCCACGGGCGCCATCTCCGCCGACACAGACACCGCGAACGTGCGCACGCCCTCCTGCAACCGGATCACAAACACCCTCAGTACAGAATTGTTCCGACATCGCCGGATTCTTTTAATATTCAATTGTAACATAGTAAACTAACTAAACTAAATAGTAACTTATTAAGGAAACTGAGATCTCTCGCTTGTTATTTCAGTGAGATGTGCAGTATCTGTACAATTTAATGACGTAACTAATAAAGATGTTGAATTTACTAATTTAAAAGATAATAATTTCACTAATGGTCCTCCGAGCCGGATCACAAACATCGTTAATCTAACATATCAATAAGAATTGTGTATTTGTACCTGCATATTTTCCTGTGCGCTTGTGAGTATGATGCCCTTGGACATGACAACATAGTTGAATGTCTCCATATAGAAGTTACTTTGCACGTGGAAAATCACGTACTCCCCGACCTAATAGAAACGAAACGAGAAATTATTAATAACAATTAGTGTTTTTAAGAAATAAGATCAAATGTGAAATTTTAAACACGCTACCCTAGCGTCGGTAGTGGTGGTGGAGATACGGAGGTGGCGGCCGCCAGGACTGTGATGAGGGACAAGCCGCATGTCGGCCGTGGCGCGGCCTCCCAGCGCGTCCGTTAGCTGTGCGTTCAGACGCACTCCGGTGATGCCATTCAGCGTCTCACGGTAGTTCGGGTCTCGCTCCAATTCTATTTCACACATTTTACCCAATGAACAAATTATGTGGTATATAATGTTTTTTTTTAATAATCATTGTACATTAATATACACATAGTCTACTTTTTCTGTGTGGATGTCGTATAAGTTTTCTCGACGTCTATGGTATACATCATGGTGTATGTGTTCTGTGACATTGATACTCATAGTACACGATTAGATTATAAGATCTCGGATCAAATTGTTATTGAATGAGTTTGTAATATTAAGAAAAAGTATAATTGTACATTTAAATAAATACACATAATGTTAACGGAGATTTAAAAGGGAATGACGATTTAAAAGCACTTGTTAACAATTCTATTTGGGGGGAAAGGGATTGTTAGTAATGGAGGCTGAGAATCCCATTGCTATCTCTATACCCAACCAGGTCAACCTCCTCGCGGTTCCCCCTGGAAACTATCATGATTAATTCCTGATGAATTCATCATGATGGGCTAACTGGCCTGTTTTCATTCTCATCTATTACCCTTCACTGGTGCTCCGCCAGCGTATCCCGTTAGCGCAGGCGGGGTTACCATACCATTTTCACCCATAAAAAAAAACAATTCTATTTGAGTAGATAATTTGAATTTGAAGACGAAGCCCTCTAATAATAACGAGTATTGATAGTAGCGGCGGCGGTACTGACTGAGCAGCTTGTAGAGGTCGAGGCGCACGTGCCAGACGGCGTCGTGCGCCGCCACGAGTGTTGGTCGCTGCGGCTCGACGGCGCCGCCGCGGCCCTCCACGCCCACCGCCAGCGACAGCGCCACGCCCGCCGCCCGCCAGCGCGGCAGCCGCGACCCGTCGTGGTACGACACCACCATCTGCAACAATCGCACGGCCTGCCTTCACCACCTTCATCTGGCTTAGATGAGGGTAACTGTTAGTAATGGAATCGCGTAACTCCATTGCTAGTAATATATTGTCAAGGAGGCCTTTACGTGGTCCACTGTGTATACCAATAACCTAAGTAGGGTGATGAAAATGGAATACAATTCCATTTTCATCCCACTAAAAAAAAAAAGCTACATTTGGCTCTTTAGTATCAACAAACTGGTATTTACGTCGAGAGTGACTTTTAGTATGCCTCGAATTTGTTACATATTTTTTTATACACTGCCCTGCCTTCTACATAGCAATGAGTTACGTCAAGCGTTTTTTAACTGCACTCGCTGTAGTAAAGTTACCATGACATTCATAATATAAAAAAACCATGAATAAGGTAATATTACTGTTTTTTATCAATTTATATACAAGATAATAAGTCCTTTGCACATACGTACACTACATTTAAATGGGGGGAAGGGATTGTTAGTAATAAGGTCAAATAGTCCCATTACTAGCAATATACCCTATCAGGCCGATCTCCACGTGTTTCCCCTAGAAACCATCTTATCTAATTCTAGTTAAAATCGTCAGGATGGGCTAACTGACCTGCTTTCATACTCATCAATCATCTGCCACTGGTTCCTCGCCAGTGTATACCGATAGCGCAGACGTGGTAACCATACCATTATTACCCATTATAAAAAAAAGAACTACATTTGAATGTACTTAAAGAAGCATATTCACTTACGTAAACATCAAAAGGCATAGCTGGCTTGAACACCTGCGGCGAGCCACCAAGGAAGGTGACAGAGAGTGACGAGTTGTATATCCTCGCAATGCTGTACCCCTCGATGACTTCGTCGAGGAACGGATCACCCACTGACGCGGTGATGATTACTTCCACGCCGTCTAATTCTGGTACCAATTGAGCCAGTTCCGACATGGGATATTTGAAGTCATACGTGCCATTGAACTAAAACAAAGTTTTACATTAAAAAATCACAAAAATTTTAATTTTAAAACTTCGCTGTGTGGTCCAGGCATAGAATGGACCACCCTGTCTTTTCCCTTGGATGTCATAAGAGGCGACAAAGGGAACTCAATGGTCGAGATATGGGCAGCAGCAGTCTTTATTTATTTATTAAAGGACAACCAACAAAGCATACATTTATATCTATTTAAAATACATGATAATAAGGTTACATTAACATATAAAATGCTGCTTTACTTAAAGGCCGCCACGACATAAAACATAACCAAAGCCTAACTGCGGTACTGGGGGGGAAAGGGATTGTTAGTAACGGAGACTGAGAATCCCATTGCTAACAATATACCCAACCAGGTCGACCTCCTCGCGGTTCCCCCTGGAAACTATCATGATTAATTCCAGATGAATTCATCATGATGGGCTAACTGGCCTGTTTTCATCCTCATCGATCACCATTCACTGGTGCCCCACCAGTGTATCCCGTTAGCGCAGGCGGGGTTACCATTCCATTTTCATCCAATAACTGCGATACTAACCCACCTGCCAAGTGTGGCAACTACTGGCAACACACTGTTACGGGGAAGGCCTACATTCAGCAGTGGACAGTTAACGGTTGAATTAATTATTTTAAAACTAGTATATGTTGCTTGATAAGGAAGTGACTTCAAATGTGTGTGTGTGACTTCAAATGACAAACTGATTACGTAATTCGTAGATTTTTCTTCGCAAAGAATATTACAATTTCAGTAGACACAAAATCAAATTTGGAGTAACATGGAATCGAATCATATCGATTGAGAAAAGTATCAGTAACTTAATCACAAAAAGAAATTCAGTTCAGACAAACTAAGAGACTCGTTCATTTAGTGGACTACAGTTATGTTTTTTTTTTCTATTTATAGGATTACCAGCATAAGATACAGCTAAACATTTTAATACAATACACTGGCAGATTAGATCTAACTGTTCTTACATTTACAGGCGACCACAGCACGCCTTGTGTTTGATAAACATTAAAATAGAATTAAATTATTAAATGTCATTATATAAGTAAAGATATTAACAATATGAATAATAATATAATATAAATAATGAAAATTGTATTTAAATTATTATAAATTATAAATTTAATTTAGCCATGAATACAGAGTGACTATCGATGTGAATATCAAGTTCAGGCTTGGTTTTTACAATATCGTTAAAAAAAAGGTTTTTAAGGAATGAATCTCATTTCATTTCATTTAGTAGACATTTGAAAATAAAAATACTCCCATTGTCTTTCTCTTCCACTTTAAAATTGAAAAGTGACAGTATTGTAAAGAATTTAGTGTTTAAATATATATTTTTCTATATATTTCAAATTTTACAGTTTATGTAGTAAAACTATGACAGAGAAATTATTGGGCAAGACTCAAAATCTTTATGGCAAATAAGTGTTGCCGTTAAAAAAATAAATATTACTTACAAATCTCAAATACGGCAGCTGGTTGTAATTTTGGTTGTTGTAATAATTGTTGTATGAGGTTGCGTATGTGTTAAAATTCGGGTCGTTGGGGTTGTTGTGGTCGTACTGCGATGTGAACTGCAGAGGGTCCGGCTTCGGCATCCAGAACGGGTACTTCTCGTCCTAAAGGTTAAATATTATTTACTAGTCATCCGCGGCGTTACTCGCGTACATTAATATATAAAGTATCCTGTCTTAAGTTAGGACATAACCAACCCAAATATAAAATTTGCTTGGCTTTAGTATAATCTTATTTTATGTACCTAAAATTTTTTTGCTCCAGTTGACTTCCTACTGGTTTTAGAAACAGGATTTTTTTTACAAATGCTCCTTGTACTAAAGTCCTAAATGAGGACTAAGAAGGAATTTCACAAGGAAGCGAAAATCCTGAGAAATAGAGAGATAACAAGTTCTGCAGTATAAGTCTACAATACTTACTATTATTATAAATATATACAAGTGAGTATGTTTGTATGTTACCTTTTGGCATGTTAAAGACTAAAACAATTTTCATGAAATTTGGTATATACATAGCATTTGTGAAGAATGAATGTTATCAGGATGAAAATAGTTGAGTGATAAATGAATATTGATGAAATAAAAAAATAGTAAATATATATAAATATAAATATTACCTTTCCCATGGGTGTCGTAAAAGGCGACTAAAGAAATATACAAAGTCAAGGGATGGGCAGCAGTGTTCCTCTTCCTCACCAGAGGGAGACTTTGTACAAAAGTCGATTGTTTGGGTACTTGTCCCATTCGTGTATCAACCGTAAAGCAGTTGTGTTTACATGGCTGTGTTTCGGTTTGAAGGTATATGGCATGAATTTACTGGGTACAGAGAAATAACACCTGAGTCCTCGGGAATGGCACGCATGGGGGTATCATGGGCGAAACAGTATACTCTGTTATATCCATGGTACTGCTCATGTTTGTAGGCGACGGTTACCACTTTCCATTAGGTGGGCCGTCACCGTAAGGTATGCCAATAACCAATACATATTTTAGTACCAGAGAGAGACTTTGTACAAAAGTCGCGTTTGCTTAGGCACCTCTGTCCCATTTGTATTTCTACCGTGAAGCAGTTGTGTTCGCATGGCTGTGTTTCGGTTTGAAGGGTGAGATATGGCAGTGAATTTACAGGGTACACGGGAATAACACCTGAGTCCTCAGAAATGGTAACGCATGGGGGGTATCATGGGCGAAACAATATACTCTCTTATGTCCATGGTACTGCTCATGTCTATATTAGGTGACGGTTACCACTTTCCATCAGGTGGGCCGTCAGCTTGTTTGCCACTCTATGTTGTATAAAAAAAAAAACAGAAAGCTTAACTACAGTTACTAAACCGTCTGCCAAGTGTCGCACTACTGGTAAAATCCCCCCTTAAAGGTAAGGCTTAATATCCAGCAGCGAACAGTTAACAGCTAATTAATAAAATATACATACGAAGTTGAAGAGCCTGGTGCGGACGGCGGACTGGTCGTACCACCAGTCGGGCTGGTCGAGCTGGTTGGGCTGCCCGGGCCGGTACCGCGGTCTTCCAAACTCGTCCAGTCCGGCCGCGTCGTACTGACCCGTCTCGTTGTACAGGTACGGGTTCGCGTTGGGACGAACTGGGAAATAAGTGATAAGTTAAAAAAAAAGAATACAGGAATCTTCATGGTAATTTTTTTATACCACTGAAGTGGCAAACAAGCATACGGCCCATCTGAGGGTAAGTGGTTACCGTAGCCTATGAACGCCTGCAATACCAGAGGTATTACGCGCGCGTTGCCGACCCTGAAGAAACCTCTTTACCCTCCTTTTGAAGAACCCCACGCTGTAGTCTCTTGGGAAAACCTCCGCAGGGAGCTCATTCCATAACCTGAGTGTTCGTGGGAGGAAACATCTCTGAAACCGCGCAGTACGCGACCATTGACGCTGTAGGGTATGAGGATGAACTCCCTGTTGATGGCGAGCCGTACGATGGTAGAAAGTGAATGTGGGCCTATATTAATTATGTGGTGAAAAAAATTGAAAATTGTCGCAAATAAATATTTACACGTACGTATCGCTATACTTAGAAATCACAACACGTACAATGGAGAACTTACTGCACATTATGATTATGTAAATATACATACATGAATACATTAAACAAATATTACATTAATATTTATTTATTTAACTCTATATTGCATCATAAATAAAAATATACAATGACAAGTGAATAATTCAAGTGAAATACAGTAACACAAATACAGATTGAAATATACAGATAAAGGTACAAAAGGCGGTCTTATCGCTAGAGCAATCTCTTACAGACAACCTTTGGTTAAGGGAGAACAGATAGAAATGGGTAGGAGGCCTGATATATATACAAATATATATCAGAAAAACAAATATAAATATACATACATACTTATAGATTAAAAGCGGCCCGTCCCAGCTTCGCACAGGTGGACATTTTTACATTTTTATCTGTACCTACTAGCTACCTATTTCATAGATATGCCCGCCCTCACCTGCCCCTCTTCCGCACCGCTAAAATAGGTACGAATAACATGTACAAAGCGTTATTTTTTTCTATTTCTATGAATTTATTAAATTCGTAATATCTATTGAATGAAATAACCCATTTGAAGAATATGTTTAAAAATATAAACACTAAGCAATAATTATCGCTGACAATTTGCTTTAATCGAAGCATGTTTAAAATGAAATGACCGCATGAATGACACAACAACATGCTTGTACTGTCAACACTGAAAAAAGTTTCAATTTGACACAAAAATCCCCATTAACAAAATAATCCGCCATTTATTGAATTCATTTGTTACAAAAAATGTGATAAATAAAGAACCGCTCGACCGATTTTGTGCAAACTTCACATAAACCATCTACTAAATAGTCCGAACAAAGCCTAAACATTTGGTTTGGATAGGTGAGCCCGTTCTTGAGTTATAAAATTACAACGAAAAGTGGCATTAATTTTTATATATATAGATATACGATAACACAAATAAACAATGATAGATATCAAAAGTGATGATGATGAAGATGGTGATCATTCATTGATTAATGTAATTTACAAGAATTAAAAATCTAACACATCTCACCCCTGGTATACTGGGAGCCGTAGCCTGGCGGCACGCCGTACTGGCCGCGGTTGTTGAACTGCCCCTGGCGGTAGTAGTTGGGCCGGTACTGCGGTATCGGCCGGATGGTCGCCTTCAGCGTCATGTTGCCGCGGACCGGCGCGCCCGACGTGTAGTTCGCCATGATGCGCCCGTGGATGTATGGGTCCGTGTTGAAGAAGAACGCTGGCATTGTTACATTCACCTGAGTAAAGGTAATATGTTTAAACAAAGATTGCAATCGAGCTTATGGTCTTGCTGACAGTTACCTATGAATGTAGGGAGGGGGGGGGGGGATAATAACAAAATCTAGCAGCCCTTCGCAATCAATATACCCATCAGGTATAGGTCATGTAGTCCCCCCTGGAAACCATCATGTTTCATTCAACTTTTTTTTTTATTCAACTTTGAATGGCTTTGAATGGATATGGCGTGAATTTACTGGGTACAGAGGAATAACACCTGAATCCTCAGGAATAGCAATGCATGGGGGGTATCATGGGCGAAATAGTATACTCTGTTATGTCCATGGTACTGCTCATGTCTATAGGCGACGGTTACCACTTTCCATCAGGTGGGCCGTCAGCTTGTTTGCCATTCTAAGTTGTATAAAAAAATGTGTATCAAATAATTGTTTTTTGTATCCCTATTTTTTTTTCTTTTATGCCTGTGGTGTTTATCAATAATTATTAGTGAAATGTTTGTAATACATCTGTGTTGCAACAGCGTATCAAAATATCAAATATAAAAAATTGTTGATAATCTTAAATAGATAAATAATGTATCTGACTGTACTAACTTCAAACCGTGTCTGATAGTATTCTTCGACAAGGAAATGCGACTCTTCGATCTGACCAAGCGCCTCCACGCGGATTGTCCATTCGCCGAACAGCGGCTGGTCAGAGAGCTGGTAGTGAAGACTCACGGTGCCGAAGTTACTCTGTGGGTAAAGACATTTTTAATATAACTTGGAATCACTAATAAACTGACGGCTGGAAAGCGGCAAGCATCACCTATGTAAACAGCAGCCTGGACGGTATAGTATACACCTGACGTATAATATTGTTAATTGAAGTAAAGCTGCTCAGTGGTAGAAACACGTGGGATAGTGGTACCCATACAGAGAACTTTTGAATTCCCACTATTTTAAACCACTCTCAGTGGGAAAATACAAAATTCTTTTTTATTGACAGATTTCTACCTTAGAAACAAATAATAAAAAAAAAACAGACAATTAGATCTAGGTTCTAGATATTTTATTAATTAGGTTTTACATGTAACAGCATCCGCACTAGTCATTAACTAGAATAATATATATATATATATATATATATATATATATATATATATATATATATATATATATATATATATATATATATATATATACACACATAAAAAATGGGTAAGCATGATATATTTATCTTAATTCATTCTGTACTTTATACTTTTCATGGCATTATACATTTATAACACTATTTCAACGGCATAAGGTCGTAAATGGCATACACGATGATCAAACGAGCATTGTGTGTACATAGCGATAATCGTTGCACTTGAGCCCGCCCTTGTAATGACCTATTGTGTCATCAGACCACTAGGCGTGTTGACAGCCATTGTAATGTTACCAAACATTGGACACCGTTTTTAAAGTTCCTTACTAAGTATACCGATCGCGTAATAGCGCTGTTTTTACAATAATGCAACCCCTCTATAGAGAGATTGAACTGTATATTATATTTAATAACTTACTCTACTCAGCTTAATTAGTAAAAGAAATAAGTAAAAATACTTTCCAGACGGTAAAGTATTTTTATGCTCCTTTTTTCCCTATAAGCAACTTTTCCTAATTAATTTTTTTTTTTATTGAAATTGGTTCAAATGAGTTGCTTATACAGAGCGTTCACTGTAATAGTATTTCTAGACGCTCTATCTAGGTGTATATGAAACAGATTGCAGGGTGAACACAGAATTGAAGCTTGGAAGACATCATATCTTCTGTCTCTACCGTCACCGTAGCGTGTAAGTGGGATAGATGATGGATAAGTCGCTATTGTTTATTTCTATCTAAAACCGATCTGATTATATCCGGATTTTCTGTGATGTCCCGCTTCAAAATAAGTCGTGGATCGTTCTGCACAATGTTTGAGAAAGGCCATTTATCCTGGAAAGTATTATTTTATTTCGGAATCTTGGCAATGACGGTCATTGATGATTAAACCTAAAGTTTAATAAAATGTTTGACATTATTCAAAGAGTCGAATTTTATCAGGTAAGCTGAACGCACTTGTCCTTTTGTCGTTCTATGAAAAACAAAATCCCGGATGCCGAACCAACACCACACAGAGCGTTCACTGTATTTATATTACTCACAACACACAAATAATACAAGATATAGATGAGCAAAAAAAAAAAAAGAAAATAAAAAAAATACAGTAACAAAATAAATAAAAGAAGTAACAATAGATATTTTTGCACTGAATCGAAAATATTTAACATTTTCTTAGGGAAATAATTATGTAGCGTGAAAAAGAAGGCATAGTGCGAACAACCGTTGAGAGTAAACATTCTTTTTTCGGTTGATCGTGTTTATGGACCACGTTGTTTCTGTATTCGCTCAGAATGATATGGTCACATGAAATGTTTTATAATAAAGAAAAAAAATTAGCTTAATCTGATTAAAATTTTGATTGAACTTTTTTTTTAACAGTTTCTAATTGAAGCTTCTACTTAAGAAAGTTTTTTTATTAAGGCAATAATACAATTACTTCAAAAAAAAAAAAAAGAAAATCAAGTACTGTAAATACGTTCAGCTGTCTACTTATTAAGGGAGATTTTTATTGCTTTCCGACCTGTAGAATACTCTAAAGGATGCTAATGACTTCAATTTATTTATTTCAGTATATATTTATATAGATGTAACAGAAAGGGTTACATCCTTTCTGTTATAACTTGAATTAAAATGTACACTACCTGTCTAGACAGCCAGCGCTTCATGATCCGCCTGTTGGGGTCCAGTATGAACACGTCGATGGCGCGACCGAACGCCTTCAGCTCAGTGTTGATTGGTATGGCGCGGAAACGAACTGGCCACAATAATTATTAGAATAAATAAATTATTAAAATTATTTTTTTTTATACAACTTACAATGGTAAACAAGCTGACGGACCACCTGATGGAAAGTGGTAACCGTCGCCTACAAACATGAGCTGTACCATGGACATAACAGAGTGTACTGTTTCGCCCATGATGCCCCCATGTGTTGCCATTCCTGAGGACTCAGATGTTATTCCTCTGTACCCTGTAAATTCACGCCATATCCCACCCTTCAAACCAAAACACAACTATGCAAACACAGCTGCTTCAGTATATATATATATATATATATATATATATATATATAGTGAAGCAGCATATAGTGAAGAAGCAGAATATATATATATATCCGTCAGTATTCTACGACTATGACGACATATACTTGTTTTTTCTTTTTTGCAAGTAAAAAATTTGTCCAAAAGTATTTTACTTAAATAATTTTAATCCACGTACCTATCTGTCCCTGCATGTAAACAGGCTTGTCCATCTGTATGAATATTGTCATGAACCTCTTGGAGAACACCAGTTGGGATTCATTGAAGAATGCTCGCCCTCCAAACGGGTTGTCCAGGTACAGCCCTTCGATGTGCAGCTTATAATCACCAGGCACTGAATTAGGCGGTACCTAAGGTGTTAAAACAGGGTTTAGGAGCATTCAAAATTTGTTTCGAGTTTCAATCAAAAGTGTTAATCATTCAATAACATTCAACTATAATTCAAAAGTTACATTTTGATGGCAATAGCAAAAAATATTTGAAAACTTCAACCGATCAATAATTTATTGGCGTAAACTAAGGCATAGTTGTTTTAAAAGCAAAATATAAAAAAGGCACTAGAATAACGGTCGCAAAACAGACCTACGACAACAAAAAACATATTTACATCAAAAATAATCCTTAAGAAATTTATAAAAACTTATATTTGGAGCATAGCATTATATAGGTGTGTAACATGGACAATGATGCAAAAGGAAAAAAAAAAGATGTTTGAGGCATTCAAAATGTGGACATAGAGAATGGAAAGGATAAGCTGGACAGAAAAACTAATGAATGAGGAAGTCCTGAAAAGAGTTAATGAGAAAAAAAAACATAAAAACAAACAATAGAGAATAAAAGAGGCAAAATGCTGCCTTATACGACATGGCGATTTTTTTTAAGAGCATAGTAGAAGGAAAAATAGAGGGCAAAAGAGGAAGAGGAAGACCGAGGTATAACTACATGGGACAGATAAAAGAAACATTAGGTGTCATGTCATATAGGGAGGTCAAGGATATGGCCTGGGATAGAGCTGGCTGGAAAAAGATGCATGAATTAGTTGCATCGACAAGAGGAAACTCTTAAATGAAAAGAGAGACAAAATTTTTAGCAGTTTTATTTGTATAGCTTATTGTATGATTATTAGTATTGGGTTTTATATCATTTTTTTTTTATTCACTGGTGTAAGAACGCAAGAATATACTTTTTTTCTATTATTTTAATTTTACGATATCTTGAAGGGTTATATAACCTACTGTAAACGAATCATAATAGGATTTGAAGGAAATTTTTTTCATTTTCCTCATTCACATCCATATTCTATTTTCCATATCGGCTGTTAACTGTTATAAATAGGCCTCTCTCGTAAGATGGAGAGGCCTGTTTTCAACAGAGGTGCCATGCTTGGCAGGTAGATTACGACACTCTTACGACACCGACGCAAAAGGGGTGGTCCATTCCATGGCAGGAAAAAAGTTCACTTATTATCTTAGTGACCTATATTAACACGTTTACGCCGGCACGGGCCACTGGTGGCCCGCGCTAGACTGTCTCATTGGACGGCGCGTACCACCGGTGGTCTGCACTAGACTGTCTTTTATGGCGGCGCGTACCACCGTACGTATTCGATGATGAAGCGTAGCATCAATTAGAGCGCCGCCTTGCAGCAAAAAACATTAAAGTCGGCCCGGCGTGAACGTGTTAAACTAGATAGTACTTAGTGGGTATTCTTATTAACTAAAGTTGACTTTATAACATCTCTGGTTATGAAATGGAATTGTGATACAATATACTCTTCTCCATCACCACATGGACAGCTAAGTCTCATCACTTACCCTAATATTGAGTATTTCAGGTACACCCTCGTTAACCCTCTGCGCGACGTTAGCGATCTCCACACCATCCCTGGCGATGGATGCTTTAACTGTCATCTGCATTCGCGCTTGAAGAATATTTGCCGATATCTTGTATATTTGACCCGGGCGGACTATACGGGACGCCACTATGAAGTACGTACTGCAAGAAAGTTGAGAATTTTATTTGGCTATTTCTATAGGTAAACCTTATCGTAGGATGTGGGAAAGGGATTGTTAGTAATGGAGACTGAGAATCACATTGCTCGCAATATATCCAACCAGGTTAATTCCTGATGGGCTAACTGGCTTGTTTTCATTCTCATCTATCACCCTTCACTGACGCTCCGCCAGCGTATCTCATCAGCGCAGGCTGGGTTACCATTCCATTATCACCCATTAAAAAAAACCTTATCGTAGTTTCCTCTGGAAACCAACGTGATTAATTCTTGTAGAATTTATAACGATGGGCTTTTATACTATGTTAGTTATTAACTGTCCACTGCTGCACAGAGACTTCCCCCATAAGGGAGTTTTCGCCAGTAATTGCCATACTTGGCAGGCGGGTTTAACAACTGTAGTTAGACTTTGATGTTTTAAAAGGGACGCTGCTGCCTTTATCACTACCATTAAATTTCCTTAGTCGCCTACGTCGTTATTACGTCAGATACCATATGGCACAATAGGCTAACTGACCTGCTTTCATCCTCACCTAACATTTCACACTGATGCTCCGCCAGTGCATACAGACAGTGCAAACTTGGCAATTCCATTCTCACCAATAAAAAAAGACATTTTAGAATTTAACGAATTTTCAACTACATAATAAGACTTCTAGTTAACTAATCACATAAAACCATAAATCTTAATTATAGACAAATGAATACCCATATACCAAGGGGTCATATCCTATAGGAATCCATTAATACCCACACATCTTCCCAAGATTTATAGGTTCCCATGACAATAAAAGAATGAAATAACCCCAATGTAAATAAATATTTTATTAACAAAATTACTTCAAACAAAAACCAATGAGTTTCCTGCCAGTTCCCATTTGAATCTTCTTACCTAACTGCTTCCAGTAAGGTACAAATATAGTGTTAAGAATTAATGTATATAAGGGAAAAAATTTACAATATAAATTAGTTTTTATTTTTAAAGCTAAAAAACCATCAATATATACTCACGCTTCATTAATAATGACACTATCGTGTTCTAAAGGAGCGTTTTTTGCACCAGTATTGTAGCTCGGTTTTGACTCTCCGGGACCATACATATTTTGGTACGGATCATTTCCATTGTACCTTCTATTAGGGTCGTAGGGATTCCTGTTATCATACTGATTCCTGTTTTGATATCTAAAGTTTGGATCATTTTGGTTCACATCAGTTGATTGTCCTGTGTTATACGTAGGAGGTACATAGTCCTGCGCTATGCACAGATGCAATATGGTGGCTAAACTTATACATGTAAGTGAGAGCTTCATTATTCAGTCTTGATTAGCTACCTGTGTGAAGAGATATTATTTTTATGAGAAAATATTTTAATATTAAATTTCAAAGGAAAGGAGTTAAGTTTAAATGTGTTCTTACACATTATATTTTTAATCATTGCATTAATAATAATTATAAATGTTTACAAGTGAGTTTGTTTTTTACTTCTTAGGAGCCTTAACAGTTCAACCAATCCTCATGAAATTTGGTATACAAGTGTTATATAGAATGGAGAAGGACAGAGCCAAATTTTTATCTTTGTTAGTGAATAAGACCAGGATGGTTTCATGGACAAATTCAGAAATAAAAGCTAATTATACAACATAGTATACTCTGTTATGTTCATAGTAATGTTCATGTCTATAGGTGATGGTTACCACTATCCATTAAGTTAGGTTGTCAGTTTGTTTGCTAGTATTTAATTATAAATCATCAAACATAAAAATTTATAAATTACTATTTGCTTGGTATTATGTGGATTTCAGCAATAGGAAAATTAATAAAACGGATTACTTCTAGATGATGTATTAAAATACAACATACCAGAACTGTATCTGATTTGGTGCAGACAAACAATATATGTAAAAAACATTGTTTGAGCATCTTGCTTTTCTTGCTTATCTTTTTATGATCATATCCTCTTTTTAATTTTTTTATATATCTCCCAGACAGGCATTGTCTAGTTAAAATTTTATTATACTAGAAAGATAATAATGAATTTATATAAACTACCCTTTGGGTACCCAAGCTGATTCAAGATAGTTCCTTGTATATGTCTATGATAAAACTTATGTTTAGCAGTACAAAGTGTCAGATTAAAAGAATAATAATAATAATAAAAACAATTATGATCTCCCAATCTAAGTACACTCAGATAATTTGAATTGAAATTTTATTATTTACTAGTTGTATTACATAGCTTCACCCACAGGTATAATGAATAGGCTCATGAAATGAGCAAATGCAAAAATATTTTTTCAAATCTGACTGGTAGTTCCACAGGTTAGAACATTCAATCTTTTCCTCTTTATTAAATTTGTATGTAAAAACAGGAAATATGGATAAAAAATTTTGGCGTTCATTTAACTCTGTCTACTATGTCTACAGAAACCGGCGTAAGTATATGATTTATTAATTACATTATTAGTTATGATTTTAAGCCAGTCTGAGACAGGGTTATGGAATATATAATTAAAGATGTAAAGAAATGCATCAGTTCCTTTAGACTTATTGTTGCTTTGGATTGAAGCCATATTACAATATGCGACGGTTTCGCAAGCAAGATAATGAACTAGATCAAAATTAACTACAGCGTTTAATCTAGAACAAGATCGGTCTATATTTGTAACCTATCTAAACCATTATATCACTAAAATCAGTTGTAAACATTAAAATTGATAAATAATATGTACCGTTAATTAATTATTACATTTATATTTTATTATTATTAAAATATTTTCAAGTTTAAATTAAAAGATTCAAAATAGTACTTATTCGTTACATCGTAAACAAAGATTTAAATTTTATAAAAAAATATGTTTTTATATGTTTATATGGGTTTCAGTGACTGTCATTAATTGGTGATAAAAAATATATAAACTAAACGTAAATTATAAACATACATTTGTCCCATTTATTTAATTTAATAAACTTAACAACTTAACCTGAAGTTAACGCCCATGGAAACGTTTCGCTTCGTATTACACCACAAAATACACTAACATTTGAACTAAAACTTCTCGCACTAAAACTATAATTTATAATATTTAATTTAATGATAGTTTTTCATTATAAATCAAATTAATTTTGTTAAAAAGTATTGAAATAAACAAGAACGGTAACACTTATTACTCACTTCATTCGGCAAGCTTCATTTTATTCGTTGTTAGCCGAATAGCGCAGACGCACCACGCCCGGTTTGAGTAGTGTTGTGCATTATGCCCACAGATTAAAGACATGTAAATACAGTACAATTCACTATAATTGGTTAAATTAGAAGATATTTTTTTTTTTTTTTTTGTTTTGTACCTATGTTGCATATATAGCTGCACTGCTTTAACTTTTAATAATCATATAACCACCATTTGTAGTCGTGCATATAAATCGTTAGGCTTTGTAATAAGACAATAGGCCCAACTTTAAGATAAATATGTGATGGTATTATTATACTATTAATTTGTACGAAGCATTTTAGAATTCAATTCATTTACTTGAAACCCTCATGAAACAAAATATAATATTAGAGTTCAGAGAAAATTCGCACGTTTTCTATCTACTTTATGGCTACTATCCTTATTTGTACCCATCACTGTTCGTATCCGGTATAATATATATAAAAACTCTCGAGGTTAGGCGAAAGTGCAATTTGATGGATTATTATTATTTGTTGTTCAGCAACAGAACAAATAATCCCGCAACTCTCAGCCACTGTTCTTTATAGGTACCCCAACGCAGCATCCGATTATGTGCATGTCGATTATTATTGGCACAGCCGATTCGTACCTGTACAGCTCAGTTTGCTCCGACTTATCAAGCTATTTCTTTGCTCAATTCTTTAATTATTCAGAAGCCAGATATTGTTATTTTTAATAATAAACTAAATAGTTTTTCAAAATGTTGTTTAAAATCTTTACTACACGTTTTGAGAAACTGTAAGTGTAGTGAGCAATTTATAAATAAATAAATAGAATGTTTCATGAAACATGTTAGCAGTTAAAACCTACCTTTAATTTATATATTAATTTTTTTATATTAAATAATATGAAATAGATAATTAAAAGAATTCATAATTATAAGTATGGTATTTTATTGGTATCGTTGAAGGAACCCTAAGGAACCCTTTGTAAATAAAAAATATTTAAGTTCTATAGTAAATAATAATTTTTGTAACATCTTCTTATGTATAAACAATAACTAATTCTTTGTCTACGGTTATAAAAATTACATTTCAGTTTTAAAATCTAGAAGTTGCCATTAATAAAAATGTATCATTTCCATGGTCTAGATAATTTAAGAGGTTTGAAAAACTTGTTGAAATTGTAAACAAAGTTTGAAAAACTCACTCTTTAATCATAATGTGTATAATATTATTCCATAATAATATTATACCCCCCACACGGATCGTGATTATTTGATAGAATATTTTAGTTATCAATTTCAAACGACTATATAAGATTTTCAGTTTATTATAGCCAAAAATTCTAGAGAATTATACTTTTATTATTATTAACTACCTAATATGAATATTACAATATATATACTTACTGTTTCAATCTCTGTGTATATATTAGGATTAGGCATAGTAGTACTTAACTTGACCGAAAACCGATAAATTTGGGTTCGAGTCTTATCGGTTAGTTTTTCAATCATCGTTATACAATTTTTGGATAGTGAACGGTCGCGAGTTCGATTCTTGTTGTTACCAAAATTATATATAAACTCTAAGGGCTGCAGTATGCTCATTCTTTCAGTCTGTTATTCGTAAATGTGAGTAAATCAGATTTTGGTTTTTGTTCTTAGTTCAAGGGAGGATGACAAAGACAATAGGAATATAGGGAGTTTTGTAAATTGAAAATAGAATGGTATTACTGTCTGCGCTATCAGTATACGGGAGTGAGGAGGAGTACCAGTGAAGGAGGAGATTGTTAGTAATGGGGTTTCCATTACTATTAATATATCTTATCAGGTTGATCGCCACGTGGATTTCCCTGGAAACCATAGTAGTAAATTTTTAAGTAGTCATGATGGGCTAAGTGATGCGCTTTTATCCTCACCAATCATCTTTCAGTGATGACCCCTTAAAGTCAGAGGAGAGTTATTGTTAGTTATGAGAACTTTAATTTCCATTGCTAGCAATGTACCCTGTCAGGTCGACTTTCGCACGGTTCCCCTTAGAAAACAGTAATAAATTCTTCTTGAATGTCTGTTAGGTTAACTCGCCTGGTTTCATTCCTCACTGGTTATCACCAGTGTAGACAGGATTACCACTCCATTAAGACCTACTAGCTACTGATAGGTGAGGAGAGGATGAAATGGATTTAGTTGACATATCGCAACAAATTATCCAGGAATGAGTCACGATTATTTCCAGGGTTTAACGCAAGGAAGTCAACCTGATAGGTTAGGTATATTGCTAATAAAGGTACTGCTAGACCCTACAACCTCCCTTCAAATACGCCTATGCGTGAACTGTCAAAAAGACAATAAATATATTTTGTTCAAAGCGGCCGAAGCGCCCAATCTAGGGCATCAGGGAATGGCCATTCCATTTATCTATTATCACGGTTATTATGAGCATTAGCTTTATAAAAAATATTTTTTAGTCCTGGCCCCTTGTAATATTCACATGCCAAACATAACATTTAAGACGAATGCTCATTTTTAATACGTTGTCTACATAATTGCGAGGCGAGATGCTGACGTAAAGCGCCATACGCGCCCTGAAGAATACTTACGTATGAAGTCGAAACAATTGTCGGCAACACGGCGAGTTAGTAAATTTCTCGTTATATATGTATGTATATAGAGACTAGACATGTTTGCAATACTATTTGCATCTTGAAGACGATTCTTGGGAAGACCTGTCCACTCCCAAATACTCCTGACCATGGAGTCATTAATTAGGCAAATCGGTCAAGGAATTTAGATTTGTTGAAACAATATGCGTAGTTTTCTATTAATTTTAATATTGTGATGTAAAACGAATGCAGTATTCTTATGACCTATGGTGCACTCTGTGATGCACCCGGGTGCTAGGTCCAGTTCCGAAACACCGAAGGCAATAACACAAACCACAAATTGTTTCTCCAGTTTGAGAAGGCAGATCTAAATATGTAATTAATTAATTCATTAGAGATCGAATGCTTACTTCGCCTCGTTTTTGTTACCTAATAAAGAATTTATGTGAGCTATAAATTGAGGGTAAGAAACAGGATAGGTGTTGCGGGTATTGCCCTCTTGTTCTGTCAAATTTATTTGAAATCAGTAAAATCAAACAAACTCAAATAATACAAATTACATATAATTTGAATTTGGGAGATGCTTAGTGGTAATTCTCGGTGTGGAATCTTTATGCAATTAATTCAGGGCAAATAGAAACTTGATATATAATAAGGCAAGATTTTATTATCTCCCATAGAAGCCGAGTAAACTCATTACATAGAAAGTATCATGAAATACAGGCACATCAACAGGGATAACAAAATAAAAAATATTCTGATTGGTGAAATTCTAATTAATTACTGAATTCTCCACAAGATAGCAGGACCTCATAAACAAAGGAATTGATCAATAAAAAATAAATAATCACAATCAGTGATATGCTAAGTATGAGACTCGTGTGACCGGAACGGTGTACAATCGCGTAAGTACTACATTTACTGTATAACATATAATTAGATAAGACGAACAAGAGAGTCCAGTAGGGGTCGGGTTCCTCCAGGGCCTTCACTCTTCCATTGAAAACTCATGGTACGCCAGCATCCAATTTATCTTTTGACAAAAAAATCTGTACAAAATATATTAAATATATACTCTGTAATGCTAAAACTGTAACGCTACCTCTTCAATAGTTCAATCACGATTATTAAATGATTTAAAAACACAATAACTTGTTCACCGTGCAAGAACAAACATTAACCTATAGCGAGCGCAGCCCGCGCGGCCGCTACGGCGGGGAGACCTATATACAAGTCAACATTTAAACCATACTCCTCAGTCTGCGTCTAGGGTACCGCTGCTGCCTGCTGCATCTGATTTATAATTCCGTTGCGTAATTTCATACAGTCGTGTGGTCTTACGTTTCTAGTGTCGCGTGTCGCGTATCGCGTCCTTTGCTTATCGTCCGTGCGTGGCATCATAATATACATAGTTATATATAGTGTTTGCGCCGAGGCGTGTGTTAGTTCCGCTCGGCCTCGTTGCAGTCGCGCGAGATGTGGCCCGGCTTGCCGCACTCGTAGCACGTCTTGGTGCCGTCCGGGCAGTTGCGCGAGATGTGCCCGGCCTTGTTACAATTGTAGCAGGTCTGACTGGAGTTGTCACGCCCGCCCTCCGGGCAGTTTCGCGCGATGTGCCCCGTCTTGTTACAGTTATAACACGAAGGCTCATCAGGGCTCTGAGCGCATTCGCGTGCTATGTGTCCTGTGCCGTTACATCTGCGCAATCAATACAAATTATATTACTGACTATTTATATGTAACATCAATAACAATTTATACAATGTAATATCAACACAATAACTTTTACATTTACATATATGTGTAAAGTAACCGTTATAATTAGCGAGAGAATTATTTGTATTTTATACAAAAATCCACAGCTCTTAAAAAATAACTTACATGCTAAGTCTCTTATGAATACAGCCAATAACGGATTTTATTTATACAAACAAAAATTTTGATTCCAAAGCGAGGTAGGCAAGTTATCAATATGTAGATATTGCTTATTATCTCTTCTATTGATAGAAAACGGTGGCATATGGGTCAGTGGATACCCTTAGACGTGGTGTATGTCCAGTGTTATAGTAAATACAATGGCAACAATTAGAAAATGCCTCTAACAAGGATTACATTTGTTTTCATTTTATATTAGAAATAATTTTTCATTTTTTTTTGTCACAATAATTTAATGTATCGCGTGATCATTTCTATTCAACTACTATTTAGTTGTAAGCAAGATTTCAATTAAAGTTTAGCGTAGTAAGACTGTAAAAATTAAGCGACTACGAAGTTAAATTATTTAACCTCAATTTGTGCCCATGACTGGTTCGTGTGAAATTTTTGACGTCACTGCAAACTTTCATTACAATAAATAGTTGGTCGAAAAAGGTAAATCAACAAACGGACAAACAGTTATAAATTCAATTATTATATATTATTCAATAAAATAAATAAAGGTAAAAAAGGTATCAGTTCACAGGAATAGCAAATTTTGAAAACTGCAAGGATACTTACACTGTGATACGTGATCACAGTGTATCCTCTGGTATACATTTTGGTATATTCTATAATGGTTATGGTATTATTTTTTACTCTTTTTTATCCCGGACAAAGATATGGGTCAACTAGTCTAATAAAAAAAAGCTGTATGACATGCGCACATTTGAATGAAATTTGGTAGATAACATCACTTGCCACATAGGATCGTATATATTGATTCGCGCGAGCAAAGCTATGGGAAACAGCTAGTTTTTTTTTATAAATCTATGAAGGCAGTTAATCCGTTTTGTTATTAGTACTAATGCATAGGTAGGGTCAAGGTCACGATTGAATGTGCGACGCATTATGAACCAAGCGTCACCTGTACATTGTATACAGGTGTGTGCGTACAAAGGATTGTGTAGTAGTGTTAGTTTGCTGTTGTGAGGTAGGGCAGTCATGTTGGGAACATCACATTTTTGGCGCCATTTTTTTTTACTTTTTATATACTGACAACTAAGAGGTAAGAAAAAAAAATAAACATTATGGATTCTGTACTAAATAAATTATTATTATTAATGTATAAACATTGTGTATCACAATATTCATTAACTATCTTTTTCTTCGAAACCGTTCAATCAATTTGCTTAACTTGACAGATACTATAGCTTTCATATGTGAATAATAAATTAAGATTACGTTCCAAAAAAAGCAGACTTTAATTGCGGTAAAACTAATTATTATGTTTTAAAAACTTTACCGAATCGATTTCGATGAAATTTCTTTGGATCCAATATGTCAGTATATACTTTCCTAAATCGGTTTACAATTGATGGAGTTATGAGGTAACAAACATAAAAAAAATATATAACCGAATATGGCACCTCTTTATTTTTGAAGTCGTTTGAAACATTATTTATTTGCACCCGTTAGGTGCAGCAGAACGTTTGCCTAGTCAGCAAAAGTTTATATAAATGAACACGTATGGAATTAAGGTACATAAGAATATAATGTTTTATTCAGTTCCCTTTTTATTCGCTTCAGTACACATAGATGTACTCACGTAGCGGGTAATAAATGCAAATTATACCTTGATGTTGGCTTAAAGAGAATTAATAAGAAATCGGTCTTTTAAAGGGAATAAATTACTTAAGTACTCGAGTGAGACATATCTTGTTTTCTTCATAAATGGTAAATAGACGGTTTCATAGAACCAAGCATTCTAAATACGAGTTACATTGAAATTAGTTTTAACAAGAATATTGAACTATTTGCCACCACAGACATAGATAGAGGTAAATGAACCAATAAATAGTTTAATTTATATGATAATTAAGCGTGCCACTAGATTATAAACTGTTTTAATTTCAATAAATAATAATTATTAATTAAATAAAGTTGTATTGATTTACAACCAAAATTGACATGAAAAGTAAATTACCGCATATATTTGAATACATATTCGTGTTTTTTTTTTTATTATTATATGCTGTGCATCTGTCAAGTGTCTGTGTGGAAGATGCGGAATTCTGGACATACACTTACCAGAGGGAAACTTTGTACAAAAGTCGATTGCTTGGATACCTCTGTCCCATTCGTGTTTCAACCGTGAAGCAGTTGTGTTTGCATGGCTGTGTTTCGGTTTGAAGGATGGGATATGGCGTGAATTTACAGGGTACAGAGGAATAACACCCGAGTCCTCAGGAATGGCAACGTATGGGGGGTATCATGGGCGAAACAGTATACTATGTTATGTCCATGGTACTGCTCATGTCTATAGGCGACGGTTACCACTTTCCATCAGGTGGGCCGTCAGCTTGTTTGCCATTCTAAGTAGTAGAAAAAAAAAAACATACACCTAAAAAGTATTCGCCTCCATTATTCAATAATCGTGTGAAGTGCTAACGTACCTGTAGCAACGATCGGCCTCCTCCTTGCAATCCCTTGCGAAGTGACCGGTGCGGTTGCATTTGAAGCACTTCTCCCGCTGGCGGCTGAAGCCCGCGTCGCGCGTAGCCACGCCGCCCTGCGTGCACTCGCGGGCGAAGTGCCCGGTCCGATTGCACTTATAACATACACTGGAACTCATCGCTGGAACATACATACAACACTTTATCACTACAATATTATCTGATGTCAGCATAAAGTCGTCTTTGCACGAGTACCACCGCCCCACTCATATTTCTGTTGTTAAGTATCTATATTTACAGGTTTTTTTTTTAAGGATAGGATAGTCAGCTTATCATAGATAAAAAATATATTATTTAATACGTTATTTTACATATAAACTGTTTCAAACGAGATTTATTAAAGAAACATCCTCTCATAACTTAAAAAACGCAAGTTTTTCAGCTTGTCCTGAATTTACAGGCGGCAACACTATGTATATACCAAACGCATATACATTCAAATGTATTCTGTGAGAAATAAGATTGTTGAATCAAATTTGGCGCGGGGAGAAGGGATTGTTAGTAATTGGGTTTAACAACCTCACTGCTAACGATATACCTTATCGGGTCGACCTTCACGCGGTTCCCCCTGGAAACCATCGTGATTGATTTGTTGAATCCATCACGAAAGGCTTAATGACCTGCCTTTTCATCGTTACCTATCATCCCTCACTGGTGCCCCGCCAGAGTAAACCGATAGCGCAGGCGGGGTTACAATTTCATTTCACACATTAAAAAAAAAACAAAATTTGGCGTCTGTGTACCAAATATTATAATATGTTTATCAAATCTCTTGTACAAATCTGATTGCCGCGAAAATGTGCAATGTTGAATCTACCGCGCCTTAGTTCCGGTGGCGTGTTGACCCGACGCGATAAGGCGGCGCAGGCGCCAAGATCTTGGCGAATTGCGCATGATTGTCATCAATTGGCGTAACACAATGTAATGGAGCTGATAAAGGAAATTAGAAGGGAGCTGGACGCTGATGCAAAACAATTGAGAGGACGTTATATTTACAAGTGTTATTGGAATGATTCTACATGTGGTGTAGGATGGGATATGAATAAAAATACGTGTCACTATTCCTTTCCATTCCCTATAGGTTATAGCATACTATTTACGCCATAAAAAGTATTAATATGTTTACTTCGTAGCGCCATCTACCACTACCATTGGTTCCACAGAAAATCAGCGTTTAGGCGTTACGTATGAATGCCTAAACAATTTGGATAATTTCTAATTACGTTTAAGTTTATTTTTATATTTCCTTTTTCTTTATCTTTTTAATTTCTTTTGTTTTAGTTGTAATTGGTATTGATATGAGCCAAATAAACATTTCTTTCTATTTATTAGAGGGAGGGGGGGGGGGAGCGTACTGTACCGGTAAAAGACGAAGACGACGAAAAACTCCATATAGACCAAATAATACATGGTAAAGGTAAACAAATATCCTTCTAGAGTGAAGCTATCTGCTTAGATATTAGTCTAATAGGATATTAGTCACTTCTGTAGAGGTTATCATATACATACCTATTACAATATAGTTTAATAACAATAATTGCACAAAATCTTATTCCTCAAACTTCTATCATGAAGAAACCAAAGTAACAAGTATATTTGAATGAATATATAACTGCAATAAATCTTGTTTGTATGTTGAAGAGTCAACACCTGTACTAGAACTAGTGAATAGAATTAAAACAAAAAAAAAAAAACAAAAAACAAGCATACAAAAGTAAATCAGCAAGGCGCAGAGGCAGCTAGTAACATATCTATGCCAAGTTTTTTTTAGATATAAAAGAGAGTTGCCGTATAAAAAATATGTAGATATATTTTCAAGCCAGACAAGTATTATTTTGCAAATCAATTATAAATTGAGGAAAACAACTGATGATAAGACTAAAAAATAATGTTCTTATCTATAATGAATTCTGCTTCTAAACATGAAACGTCAGATTGTAACTATTTACGTCATTCTAGCCGTAGGCGCGACTTTAAGAAACGAAACTGCTTCACCTGGGGTGAAACCAAGTAATGAATGACTCTTGTAAGCGTTCATGGGATGCGGTGTCGTTTACCATGCTCGCACATTGTTAATCTTTGTAATATGAAGACATTGTACCCTTATAGCTTGTCATCGAATAAAAATAAATCAAGTTTCTATTGATTTCAATTAACATAGTATGACTGGGAAATTAACTTCTGACGGCGTAATCAATGGATCACCCATCTGCGCTTGATGTCTGCCGTCGAATTAAACAATCATAGGTTAAAACATCGCGCGAAAAATTAAGCAAGAGTTCGAGTGCTGATTGGGATGTTTTATAAAGTTAAGGTACTCAAAAAATTACATTCTGAAGACATGGACTTTGTAATAACCGCAGCAACATTTAAGTCCATACCATAAAGTTATAGATTTTAAATTGAAGTCAAGGTGATTTATTTAATATATATTTCATCTAAACTTACCTGTTTAAATTAATGCTGACAGGTAAATAAACAAATTCTTTAAATAAGTGAGCCGTATTAAATTTAATTTCCTCAAAAATTAGGTAAATATGTATGTAATTTATTATAAAAAAATATAATGTCATACAAATCACAGTAAATTTGTTTTTGATCTAGATGGTTAAAACTTATACTATATTTTTAATAATAGACAACAATTTTTTTTCAATCTCTGCCCTGTGATAAGAGGTAACAAATCGAGAGACCGATATTCCAGTATACCTACATTATTCCAAACAAGAATGATTACAGAAATTTATTTACTTGATATTACAACTTTATTACTAAGTTATGGAGCTTAGAGTATTATAAATTAATACCTACACACTACTTACAGATTTGGATATCTATAATTTACCGTAAATTAAGTATATACTATTAAGGTAGAATCTGTGCATTGGGGACAGTCATCCCCTTCTGTTCTCAGATCACTATGAATGTATTTTATTATCTTTTTGTGTTTTATCTATAGAAGATTTCAATAGCTTACTTTTTAATATATGTTATAGAGGACTAAAAAATGTGGTACAAAAGAGAGAGAAAAAAAAAAAGGAAAAATATTGAGACAATCAGTGTGATACTTGTCAATCATAAAACAATGTATTAAACTGAAAATATCACAGTGAGATGTTTGTGTGAATTTTGAAAAATAATAAACCAACATAAAACTGTAGGAAGTATCGGAATGAAGGTTACCAGCACCTGCTTACTTTCTAAATTCAAGTGCTATCTAATTGTGGGTTAGTGGGCTGATCAACTGAGTGATAACTGGACTTGTAATGGCAAAACTGTAGCACCGGCACCACAATATCAATAACATGTTACTACTTAGGGCTGCCACAATCATTAAACATAGGGTTGCCATGTTGATAACAAAAATATTACAATATAAATAATAAACTTTAATTATAATTTAACTTTGTTATCTTATGTATTTGTACAAATATGTATATCTATTCCATTAACCATATTTTGTTATGTAATTTAAAGTTTCCCTGAAAGAAATATCTTTCTAGAGATAAGCACACCCTTGTGCATTACTTCTTTGATAATATGTTACTTTTTCTATGTGTAATAAATAATAGATATAATATACATTTAAAGAAAAAATAAAAGAATTATGACAAATCATAACAGGAATAAACAAAGACACTACTGAAAGCAGTCACTTGAGAATGATGGATAGTTTTGACATGATATTATTATAGGAAACATATTAACAAAATTTATAAGGCCGAGATAAAAAAATAACCTAGTACAAAAATATTTTAATATAAAAACATAATTAAAAGACTTTTGTCATAGAAAATGGGATATTAAAAACTCATTATTGGATGATTCCTAATATAATAGATTCTACTATCAATATAATATAAAATATATTAATTTATAATATTTAATGCAATGTCATGTTGCATGCTATGCATTTCCAAAGAAAATGGTCAATTAGAACAATTAGAAAGTGCTCTTTATGCATTCATAATTCATTAGCATGCAAGGAATGAACACTTTCATGATTTTTGCTGTCACCAATGAATTTTGATTGATTTGAAGATTTTATTAATATTATGTAGGTTAGGTTAGAATAATAGCATTACAACTAACTACAAGTTGCTGATTATATTAATTCATATTAAGATAGAATTATACTTTTATATAAATCAGTGAAAAGTAAAATGGGTAAAAGCATAATATTTAATATTTTAATGTTCTGATATCATATTTTTTTAAAATTAATGTTGTTTTAAAATAGTGATGACTTTCTTATTATCCTTCTGAGCAGATAATAATTCTTTGCTCCACCAGCTATTTTCAATTCTATAATTTTATATCAACATTTGTAAGTGCAAGTATGGTGTATCCAATTATTATTATCATAAGACCAAATTGTAAATACACATAATTCACAAATAAAGATTGATTGATTCTACCATACCATAATCCACACATTTATTTCTATTAACTTCCAGCTGTTTTTCAATTAATTGCATAGGGAAAACATGTATATAACCTTCAAAATGCCTTAAACGGGGAAACCCATCAAGTATTTATTATAACATTTTTAATGTGGAAAAATATAATTTCCTTAGTAAAATTCTTTTACTAACATTACCATATTATGAGTTTATTTCAATAAAAATAATAGATAAATATGTCAGTAAGAATTGTAGAGTTTAATATGGATAAAAAAATGACATGTGGGTTCACAGATATAACCACATTGTAGTCAATTGTAATTTTATTAATATGCTCTAATGACATTTAGATTATCTGTTTGTTTGGATATAATAGATAATATTGTTACTACCTAAATTGTGAGCCTCAAATGCAAACACTTTGAATAATAAATTTATTTCCACTTTCCCACATACAGGTCACAGTACCACGATGCGTCATTGTCTTGATGCATTTGAAGAAAAAAAAAAGAGAAAACTTAAGCGCAGGGCGCACGCGACACTTGGCAATGCTCCATTTGCATCAGCCAGATATTGTCTCGTGGTTTTTAATTAAAATGTACCGACTATTCAACAGTATTTAAAGACAAAGAAACTGGAAAAACACACATTCCACAGTAAATTACCTCAACAGCTTGTGTCAGAAATAAGCGCCTGCTTGTCAAACTAACCACACGTTCAATAAACAACCTATACATGACGCGTTAACTGAAAAATAATTGACTTTCACTAAAGTACAGTGTGGATTTATTCCACAATGTTTTATAGGACGGTAAATACACAAAAACATATTTGGTACCTTAGGAACGCGGTATCGTAGTCAAACCACGTGTAGATGTACCGGTAGCGCGCGGTTTCACAATGAATGTTGCACTTTACACTTACCGTATAGTTGTAAAACTTCTCGAGCACTTATGTCACTATTGTTATGATCGTACGACGACCAAAATTATATTAATATTTAAAAATTTGTAGTAATTTACGACGCTTCGTTTGCGAGGAAGCCAGCCACCATCACTACGAACTCGTAAAAGACATTTTAAGCATAGACACACATATTTAAAAAGTTTACAAACGTGACTCAACTGGAAATAGGTTATTGACTAACTTCATATGTCGATTTGGGATCTTAACTAATCAATGTAATTTTAAATAAGTAAAAATATATTCAGCTTTTAAAAATAGTATGTGTGATTAGAAATTAATTATTTAAAAATTTCTAAAACCGTGAAAACAATTTACGTGTATGATGAAAACAGATTAAATTTGTCTATGGTATAAAGTGGATCAACCAATAGCTGTAAAGTAGTAACCAATAAAGTCAAATGTCGAAATATGGACCAATAATATATTGTTTTGATTTCTTTGATAGTTTCAATGCAGAGAACGCATGTTAAAATTATATTTATAAATTTTCTATATTTTTAAGGATTGGTAATAATAAATTTCGTTGCAGTCGTCACATTCTAATTTATCAATGTTATATAGTTTTTTATTCCCAAAGAGGGTTGACGTCAGGCAGGCGGCCGGTCGCAAAACTAAGCTAAATCCTTTTGTAATATGGATAAAACCATATTACGCCGACCCCAAATAATAATTGGGATAAGGGTAGGAAGATGATGATATAGTTTTTTCTTTTTAATTTATTTGAGGTTGACATTTCATTTTCTTATGACACTTTTGATTCCAGTGAATTTATAATTATTGAAGACTAGGCAGCATGGTCTCTGACCTTAGCCTGTTCTACAACGGAACAAACGTACTAAAAAAAATTATTACACTTTTGACATCTCTAATTTCTGATGTCAATCAAACATCATCAAAATCTACCTTTAATGGTGTTATTGTTTATCATAAAAAAGTATTTTTTGTAATAAAATTTTATTTATAACTTACTATGTCAGGCGAAAAGAGATCTGGTAGTGTAGATAAATCGGAAGATGTAGAAGAGGAAGAGTGGATTGGGCCTATGCCTTCCGAAGCTGTAAAATCTAAACCCAAGAAACGAAAAGGTTATGATTAATTTACAAACTTTTTTCTTTTATAAATTTTTTAATATTTTTTAAGTAATTTCAATTATAATATAATCCACTTATACAGTTAGCAAGATTTAAATGAAATTCTCCAAAGAAAAAATAGTTTAACAGATCAAAAGACTAAACTTGTAAACAATAATTTAATCATATTTTTTAGATAACGTTTTTATTAACAGAAGCTACTACTAAAACTATAATACTTAACAAATCTTTTGTCTTGATTACAAGCTAATTGAGTACTAAAACTTAATATCTGTATGTGATCTTTCAGTGTTAGAATTTGAATCTCTGTATTTAGAAAATTTACCATCCTCTGAGACATATGAACACAGCTATATGCACCGTGACGTGGTCACTCATGTATTGGTTACAAAAACAGACTTTGTTATCACTGCAAGTCAAGATGGACACCTTAAATTTTGGAAAAAACAGGTATGTTTTATAGTTAAAGAGTAAGGTTTAACACACTGTGACTTTTATTTAGAACCAAGGACATAACATGTCTAGAGAGAGACTTAGCACAAAAATTGTCTGTATAGTTACTTCTAGCGCACTTCTATTTCTGCCATGAAGCAGCTGTGTTTAAAGGGTAAGATATGGCAGTAATATTACAGGGTATGGAGGCATAATACCATAGTCCTCTTATTGCTTCTCTGCTTTTTGGCAAAGTGTAGTAACACCATAGTCCACTATAGTTCACGGTAATGCATGAGGGATACCTACTATGGGCATCACAGTGTATTCTGTGGTGTTCATGGTGTTGTTAAGTCTAAAGGTGGTTATAACTTACCTTGAGGTTGACTTTCAGGTACACTATCAGCTTGTTTCTCATTGCTTAAAGAAGTGGCAATGAAATCTTTAATATACATAGTTTACATCAGAACTAAATTGTAATAACACAAAACTATGTCTTACAGCTTTGTCTGTACAAAGTTTTATATGAAATGTTTTAATTTTGTTTATTTAGCATATGATTATTATATAACTTTAAATAGCTTTCCCTAAAAATTTTAATGCTATGAAAGTTCTTAAATAGCTTTTCTTTTGTAAGTTTTATAGGAACTGAAATTTATAATGTAATTTATGTTTACATGAATATTTGCAGGAGGAGGGCATTGAGTTTGTAAAGCACTTCCGTTGCCACTTGTCAACAATTAGTCATGTGTCAGCAAACAGCACCGGAACGTTACTGTGTACTGCATCCCCAGAGAAAACGGTCAAAGTCTTTGATGTTATTAATTTTGGTAAATATTAATATTTAATGTATAATGGCCAGAGAATACTGATTTAGGGAGAACAAGTGTGTTCACTCGCCTGACATAAAACCAGACTGGATATTTCCAAGTACCATTAAGCACCAATATATGACAATATTTTAATAGTTAGTATATAGAAGTTGATTTGAATTTTATTAATTTTTTGCAACTGCACAAATATTTATTGTAATAATAAATTTATAATCTCTTTCAATAGAAATTAATTTAAATGTAAATAAATGATGATAATTCACTTGACCATAAGACAGTCTGCTAATGTTCAATATTAGTACAAATAAAACATATTTGAATGTTTCACTTTGTTACTAACTTCATTTAGAGATGTTTAGTTATGTTTCTATGGTAATTTTAACAAAATTTATATTTAATTATAATATTTAATTGTCTGTGTGGTCCCAGTATAGAATTAGTCACCCCTTCCTTTTCCGTAGGTGTAGTAAGAGGCAACTAAGATCTAGGGATGGGCAGCAACATCCCTCTTAAAATATCTCTAAAACCTAACTGTGGTTGTCAATCTGCCTGCAAAGCATGGCAACTACTGGCAAAATCCCCAAGCAGAGGCTAATGTTCAGCTGTGAACAGTGAAAGGCTGATATGATAATGATATAATTTAAAGTATAAATAAATAAGTGTAAAGGTAATTAAGTATAAATAAAATATATAAAATGCTAACAGGTGTTAACACATTTACAACTTTAGTCAACAGTTGTGCAATGGAACATATTTAGTTCTTGCTGTTAAACAATATTTTTCTTTTGTTATTTCAGACATGATCAACATGATAACAATAGCCTTTGAACCATATTGTACCGAGTGGGTGCACTCTGCTGGCGACCCTATATCTGCTTTAGCTGTGTGAGTACTCTTCTTATTATTTTCTTACTATCTCTCCAGTGATGAAAGATATCAATTCATGTGAGGGCGGTAGTCACGTCCACCTACGATGTTTGATTCCAATATGCTCAACAAAACAATGCCATTTATCTTATGTTCACAACAATGTCGACGACAGTCGACAAATGTTTCTGACTAGAGGAAAGAATTGTTAGTAATGGGGACCATTAGCCGCATTGCTAGCAATATACCCACTCAGGTCGACCTTCTCGCGATTCTTTTTTGGGCTGGCATCCTACCTACGTAGACCAATAGCGCAGGCGCGGTTACCATTCTATTGCCATCAATTAAAAAAAATGTCTCTGGTCACCTAAATGAGGATTACACTCGATCAGATTGCGACTGTTTAGCACAGGGAGACTTTGTACAAAAATCGTTTACTTGGGTACCTCTGTTCCATTCGTGTTTGTACCGTGAAGCAGTTATGTTTGAATGGCTGTGTTTTCTGTTTTACTTTCGGGGACTCCCTGTATCCCAATATTAGAATCTCTTAGATTTTGGTCTATAGTATTAATGCGTTCCGTTAATGATAGTACTGCGGATTCCAAATTATCACATTGACATTTCACCATATTGTAGTCCGATGACAATGTTGATATTGTCTTGTAATTTCATTATCTTTAAATCTTCATACTGATTACTTATATACTGAACTGTGTTTTGAAGATCTTGTAGCCTTTTTTTAAGGGGTTATAGTTCTTTTTCTAACATTGGGCGAATAAGATCAGGAAGCTCCTCACGCAGCGAAGCTCGCATTTCCGATTTGATGAGTCTTCTCAATTCATCTTTAGAATGTGAATACAACGATGTTGATTGCTTTTTACGTTGGGTGACATAGCTGCTCTGAGAATCCTCGCTATCAGAAGATATTTAGGTTTCCTAAGTTCCCTTGACGTATGGGTGTGTTGGTATTATCTCCTTTAGGTTGTTTATTTCGGCATGCAGGGCATACCCAAGCCTGTTTATGTTCCTTGGTCATATTGTTGTTAAACCGTTTTTCAGAAACAATAGCGTACGATAAGTCGTAAATATCTCTACACGTATGGCATTTAAGATACAGTTTGCCCATCATGATATTAAGACATCCAGCATAAGATATTTTCTTTGATGCCATTTTAATAGTTTTGCACATGTACCGAAATATTAACGTAGTATAATCAAACTACAAATAAAAAATAAAAAAATCTATCTATCTATGTATTTATAAATAATAATTAAATATATTTTTCAGATCAGAAAGGAACACAAACAAAATCCACATATTTGACGGGACGCAAGCGTCGGGCACGCCTCTCTACACGTTCGAAACACTCCACCAACACTCAGTGTGTATCATAAAGTACAACCCTGTATACGAGACAGCCGTGTCCGTGGACAAAGCAGGCATAGTGGAGTACTGGACGGGCCCAAAATACGAATACAAGTTTCCCAAGAATGTCAAGTTCGAATCCAAACTGGACACGGATCTGTTTGACTTTGTGAAGAATAAAACTTACCCGACTGCGCTGGACTTCTCGCCCGATGGCAAGAAAATGGCGTCAATCAGTTTGGATAGAAAGGTAGGTTTTCAATTATTATTTGCTTTTTTATAAACAAAAAATTATATCTTCCCTCATTTTTTTTATTGCACAAAAGTGGCAAACAAGTATACAGCCTCTCTGATGGTAAACGGTCACTGTAGCTATGGACGCCTGTAGCACTAAGGGTGTTACGTGCGCGTTGCTGTTGCTGATCCTGAAGAAACCTTAATATAGCCTTTTTGAAGAATCCCATACTGTAGTCTCTAGGTAAAACCTCGGCAGGGAGCTCATTCATAGCCTGAGCGTTTGTGGGAGAAAATATTTCTGGAACCAGACTAATTTCAATTTAGAGGAATAATAGATATTACAATTCTATGGAATTTAAGTGTGTATTTTCCTCTAAATACTTCTTATAGTGCCGCTGTAAACATTGAAGTGAATCGGCTTACAGAATTTGTCCTTGTCTCTTGCTAGTTTAAATAATTCGGTTGCCTTCACAATGATCTAATTTCAGATATTACGGACTCAAGATAATAGAATAAAATTGATTGTCCTAACAGGTGCGGGTATTCCATTTTCTAACCGGCAAATTGCATAAAGTGCTGGACGAGAGTTTGCAGCGGTTCCAGGAGTTGCAGCACCAGACCCAACAGTTGCCTAATATGGAGTTTGGCAGAAGGTAACAGTCTATTTAAAAATATGAAATGTCTCTTTTTAAGTGTCATTTAAAAGAAGTTCCCCCTTTTGAATTCATGTATAATTTTTACTAGCTTATATCCGCATCTTCTTTTGCGTGATCGGGCTATGTTTACTGAGCGGGATAAAAGAAGCCTATATCCTTTTCCATCCCATATAGTACTTGTATACCAAGTTTCATAATGAGTGATTAAGATGTTAAGGCGCTATAACATAACACACAAACTCACTGTCACATTTATAATATTCTCGTCTTCATATCAGCCGTTAGCTGTCCACTGCTGAACATAAGCGTTCCCAAGAAGAGGAGTTTTTGTTTAGTTGTTGCCAGGACTTTGCAAGTAGTTGTTACGCCGTGCAGGCGAGTTGGCAACCGTAGTTATATATTTACTAGCGGCCCGGTACGTGCTTCGCTACGTATAAAGTGAAATAATAAAAAAAACAATTACATCAATATCGCTGACAATTTGCTTTAATCGAAGCACGTTCAAAATGAAATGACCGCATGAATGTCATAACAACATGCTTGTACTGTCAACTTTGAAAAAAGATTGAGTTTGACACAAAAATTCCCATTAAAAAAATGATCCGCCATTTATTGAATTCATTTGTTACAAAAAATGTGATTTAATGAAGAACCGCTCGACCGATTTTGTGCAGACTTCACATAAACCATCTACTAAATAGTTCGAACAAAGCCTAAACCTATATTACTCAGGGTGAATGTAGCTTTCTAATGGTGAAAGAATTTTTGAAATCGGCAAAGTAGTTTTTGAGTTTATTCATTATAAACATACATATACACAAAAATACAAATCTTTCTTCTTTATAATATTAGTGTAGATTATACACAACAAAAATAAAGACTCATAACGTCAACATACATCGTCCGTGTGATCCCGGCACCTCTAGATCACCTCTTCCTTTCATGTGGGTGTCGTAAGAGGCGACTAAGAAAGCGTGGGCAGTAGCGTCCCTCTCGAAACATTACTAATAGCCAAACTGCGGTCGGCGACTCGCCTGCCAAGTGTGACAACAGCAAGATCCCCCTTATGGGGGGGGGGGGAAGCTATGTTTTTTTTGATGAGTGGTATAGTAACCCCGCCTGCGCTAACGGTATACGCTGACGGAGCACCAGTGAAGGGTGATAGATGAGAATGAAAACAGGCCAGTTAGCCCATCATGATGAATTCACCAGGAATTAACCATGATAGTTTCCAGGCAGACCGCGTGGAGGTCGACCTGGCTGGGTATATTGCTAGCAATGGGATTCTTAGTCTCCATTACTAACAATCCCTTTCCCCCCAGGGGGAGCTATGTTCAGCAGTGGACAGTTAACGGCTAACAATAAAAAATAAAGATATCGTTAATTAATTCGTCATAACGTCAACATGCAGGATGGCGGCTGAGCGGGAGCTTGAGAAGTCGGAGGCGGTGCACCTGGCGAACGTGGTGTTCGACGCGAGCGGCCACTTCGTGTTGTACGCGACCATGCTGGGCGTGAAGCTCGTCAACCTGGTCACCAACCGCTGCGCCGCCATGATCGGCAAGCCGGAGAACCTGCGCCCCTTGCACCTCGCTCTCTTCCAGGTACTATTTTTTTTACAACACAGAGGGCAAACGAACATGTGGCTCACTTGATAGTAAGTGATTACCGCCGCCCATGATCACCCACAACACCAAACGGCATTGCAGGTGTGCTGCCGGCCTTTTAAAAAAGGAATGTGCTCTTTTCGTGATGGTTATAATGTATTATTATATAAGCGGTGATCTGACGAAGTAATATTCACATTTGAGAGTTTGTTCCATGAAAAACACTGACTTCAAAGGTGAGCTGCACATTAGTTTGCCCCCTGTGTAAAAAAAAAAAATTACAAATGGGCCCAATAGGTATTTAAATCGTAATTGTAACTAAATAATATGATGCTACCCACATTCAACAATGTTGCACCAAAAGTAAATTGAACATTGCAAATGAGTGTATTTATGTTTTAGATTGTACCGTCTTATGTTAAGTCAAAGGAAGTTTTTAACTAACCACTGAGATACAGGCTCGGCCTAGTTCGGTGGCTAGTAGATGTAACTAGGTGTGAATTGTTATTAAATAAAAAATTATAAATATCAATATCAAAAATTAAAATAATTAAAGATTTTTTCTTTTTCGATGGGTGAAAATGGTATGGTAACCCCGCCTGCGCTAACGGGATACGCTGGCGGAGCACCAGTGAAGGGTGATAGGTGAGAATGAAAACAGGCCAGTTAGCCCATCATGATGAATTCATCAGGAATTAACCATGATAGTTTCCAGGGGGAACCGCGAAGAGGTCGACCTGGTTGGGTATATTGCTAGCAATGGGATTCTCAGTCTCCATTACTAATAATCCCTTTCCCCCCAATAATTAAAAATTGTGGCCCACAAAAAAAAAAAAAACAGACTTCAAACGTGACAAATCTGTTATTTTGATTTAAAAACTAAACAACTGAACAGATATAAGATAAACAGATTACTTGTCCAGTTAAAAATTATACAAAGTCTCAATTCTTTTAAGATTAAATGACGATCCCTTTTATCGGAGAAATGTTACTACTCCGTACATGACTGTCTGTACCGTTGATTAATGTAAATAATTAAAAATGAATTTGACATATGTATATAATATTACGATGAAGTTGACACTGTTTATTGCAGAATTTATTTATTATAATTTATTGTTATTTATATATTTTATTTATTTATTTATTTACACTTTATTGCACCAAGTAAAAAGAGAAATAACAAATACAGTAAATATTAATGAGAAGTGATACAAAAGGCGGCCTTACCGCTAAGTTATTATTATAGTTATTGGATGGTTGTAATATTCAAGTTAATAGATAGATAGATACTGTTTATTGTTTCCTCCAAAAGATTACAATAGTAAACTTATTAATAAATATAAACAATTACAAGAAATAATTACAAGAATTAATGTAATGATTTTTGTATGTTTATCCCTTATTTCGGACACAATGTACATTGTTTTTTGAATAAATGACTAATGACTATTGATAAAAAATCTATGAGACCAATTTGAAAGTATATCCTTTCAGGAATTTTTTAAATCGGGAGAAGAGAAGAAGAAGAGAGTACCTCCTTCTTTTTAAAGTAAATTCTTAAAATGCTTAATATCCTTCCAGGGCCGAACGAACCAATCGAAAGTAGCGGCAACCCTAGAGATGGAAGGCTCTGAGAACCCAACGCTGCTGAATGTGAAGACTGATCCCACGCTATTCTGCACCGCATACAAGAAGAACCGGTTTTATATGTTCTCCCGCCGTGGTCCCGATGACGTCAAAAGTCCTGACGTGGACAGGGACGTATTCAATGAGAAGCCGTCGAAGGAAGACATCATATCAGCTACAGAGGGGCAGGGTGAGTTATCATCATAGGTGTATTTAAAGGGAGCCGTGTCAGCCGTGCCCACCCCAGAATTGTCTCGTGCCCACCCCAGATTGCGAGCGGAGCTTTTCATTATACGCAAAGGCATGTCTGAGAGTACATAATGTACTATTTTTAAGGGACATGAAAGTGAGTTTATTTGTTACCTTTTAGGGCTTTAACGGCTTAATTGATCACTATGAAATTTTGGTATAGATGTACTGTATGGATTGGATAAGGACATAAGTACGTAGGCTACTATTTGTCTTTTGCCAGCGTATACTGATAGTGTAACAGGGGGGGGTATTGGATGATAATGGAATGATAACCCCGCCTGCGCTAACGGTATACGCTGGCGGGGCACCGGTGAGGAATGATTGGTGAGGATGAATAGGCAGGTCAGCCCATCGTGATGAATACACCTGGAATTCAGCACGATGATTTTCTAGGGGTAACCACGTGGAAGTCGACCTGACAGAGTATATTACTAACTATTGGACTGGTAGTTTGCATTATTAACAAACCTCGTGCAAACGTTGTTACCGTACACTTCTCACGGATTGAAAAAAAAATAACCCTACCATTTAATATAATTCTCACACGCGAACAAAGTCGTGGGTAAAGCTAGATAGAAGAAATATAGATTTTTAATTTTCTTTGAAATATTTTTTTTTTAAGGTTCTAACATATTTCAGATTTTTATATACAGACCCCACGGTGTGTTCGTTCAACTCGCACTTGACCTGTTTTATTTTTACACTTGACACATTTAGTAAACAGCCGCGCCGTGTTTTGAACGCAAAAACCAGTTTATTCTAGTTAATTGTTAATTTTATGCAATGTTACCTATTTAGTTTGTGTTTTTTTTTGTGTCTTATTATTTGCAAGTATTCAAATCCTGTTTTAATCTTACATCACGCTTGTTTACTACTTTACACATTTTTATGAATGAGATAATTATAACATATAATGAAATATACATACTTAATATCGTATTTAAAAACATGATATCTCGTTTATAAAATGTAAAATCTTCCTCATCTTTTTTTAACATGTTTTTTTTTTTGCTGGGTGAAAATGGTATGGCAACCCCGCCTGCGCTAACAGGATACGCTGCCGGAGCACCTGTGAAGGGTGATAGATGAGAATGAAAACAGGCCAGTTAGCCCATCATGATGAATTCATCAGGAATTAACCATGATAGTTTCCAGGGAGAACCGCGAGGACGTCCACCTGGTTGGGTATATTGCTAGCAATAGGATTCTCAGTCTCCATTACTAACAATCCCTTTCCCCCCTTTTTGGACATGTTAGGAATTACTATTTAGAACAGCCTTTCCCAATGTGGGCGATAATGCCCCCTTGTAGGCGCTGCAGGCCTAAAGAGGGGCGGCAAGAGGCCCAGAAAAAAAATTATGTTGTGTAGAGGCTCGTTTAGAATTATTGTTTAATCTCCGCTAATATAGCTCACAATATTTGATTAATTTAATTTGAAGTATAATAGTGGTTTTTAAGTAGGTAAAAAAATGGGGGCGCTAAAAAATAATTTATTCTCAAAGTGGGCAGTAGACAAAATAAGTTGGGTACACCTGATCTAGAATCGCAATTCGCTTATTTTTTTTTAGTGTTTTTAGGTTATACATTAGGTTAGGAGGAAAGATGGACAATCAAAAATATAAAGATGGATGTTAGACCAAGGTCCTGCTTTAGTCCCTCGTCCATCGTATCTTTATAATCATCATAAATCAGTTATAATGGAATGGGAACCCCGCCTGCCTATCGCTGCGTGTATATCGGTATCTGTAGGCGGGGCACCAGTAAGGGATGATAGGTAAGGATGAAACCAAGTCAGTTAGCCCATTGTGATGAATTCCACTAGAATTAACCATGATAGTTTCCAGGGGGAACCGCGTGGAGGTCGACCTGATAGGGTGTATTGCTAGCAATGGGCTCATTAGACCCCATTACTAACAATCCTTTTCCCCCTGTGTAAGAGTACTCCACCAGTGAAACCTGAGTGATTAAATGTAAAATACGACAATACCTCTAATCCGGTGGGAAAGGGATTGTTAGCAATGGAGTTTGATAGCCCCATTGCTAGCAATATGCCCTATCAGGTCGACCTCCACGTGGTTCCCCCTGGAAACCATCGTCAACATTTCTTGTTAAATTCGTCACGATGGGCTAACTGACCTGCTTCATCCTCACCTATCATCCTTCACTGGTGCCCCGCCGGTGTATACCGACAGCGCGGGTGGGGTTACCATTCCATTATCACCCATTAAAAAAAATTAGCTCTAATCCGTTTAAAATCTCTTGCCTGCAGGAGTGCAGCGGGTGTATTCGGAGGCCATCATTCACACGTCGCTGGGTGATATGCACGTGCGTCTATTCGGCAAGGACGTGCCTCGCGCCGCAGAGAACTTCTGCGGGCTCGCGCGTGCCGGATATTACAACGGACACATCTTCCACCGCGTCATCAAGGGCTTCATGGTGCAGACTGGAGACCCCACTGGTTAGATTCGCTCTTCTATTATTATTTGCAACCGTTCTCAACCAAGAGTGCTACTCGTAACTGCGCAAATGTCTGTCAAATGTCAAAAATAACGTAATGTTTTTATTATAAGAATAAGCAAGATGAAGTTGGCAATGGGCTGGTGACGACCCCGTACAGTAAACATAGTGTAGGACGATCCCCCACTATGGGGGAAAGGGATTGTTAGTAATGGAGACTGAGAATCCCATTGCTAGCAATATACCCAACCAGGACGACCTCCTCGCGGTTCCCCCTGGAAACTGTCATGGTTAATTCCTGATGAATTCATCATGATGGGCTAACTGGCCTGTTCTTCATTCTCATCTATCACCCTTCACTGGTGCTCCGCCAGCGTATCCCGTTTGCGCAGGCGGGGTTGCCATACCGTTTTCACCCATCAAAAAAAAAGACCCCCCACACTATGTGGAATGAAGACTTCAAATACATTCTAAGGAGTCAGTGGACTTAGAATGGCAAACAAGCTGACGGCCCATATGATGGAAAGTGGTAACCGTCGCCTATAAACATGAACAGTACCAATATTGACATTTATAAAAATATTTACTAAATAGTTATTGAAGTCGCTGGCGGAAGACCCAAAAAAAACCAATTTTATAAAATAACTAAATTTAATCATAAAATTAATTGTTACAATAATAGGTGCCTTCAGATCGATGTGTGATCTGTAAGTGAAGTCATATCGAATCAAATACAAAGGAACTGGGTAATTTTGTTGTGGGAATTGAAGTGCTGACTCGACGCAGGTGTCTTTCTCGGTAGCGCCTTCTTGCGTCAAGCTAGGTGGTCCGATCCGTCGCCGTTGAAGGTGTGTCGTAAAACTTTACTATAACAAAATCGAGAGTTATATAATTGAAAATTGGTAAGTTATTGGAAAACTGTGATGTACCCGTGCTGATTGTAATAATTTATATGTTTTTAAATATTTGTACGCTGGAAACAGCAGGATTTGATGGCATTTTATTTACTACTGTCATCTTGTTGTACCATATTTTAACAAATAAATTTATTATTATTATTATTATTATAAATGAATGATGATGGTGAATTAATAAATGAATGGTGATGAAATAATATATGGTCGTAACGCGTGGTCGCATGTCGCAGGCACTGGCACTGGCGGCGAGAGTATATGGGGCGGCGAGTTCGCGGACGAGTTCCGTCCGCACCTGAAGCACGACCGGCCGTACACGCTGAGCATGGCCAACGCGGGGCCCAACACCAACGGCAGCCAGTTCTTCATCACCCTTGCACCCACGGTAACTGCCATGTTGTAAAAATTTGAGAATAGTGTAAAAAATGCAATTTGGGGAAAGGGGGTGAAGGATGAGGATTTTTTTAATTGCTGAAAATGGATAAATTTAAATTATTATTTTTTTAATTACTAGTAATTTCTTTCGCCGCAAACACGAGGGTTGCTAGCAATGGAGTATAGCGGTTCGATTCCTGCGCAATACAATTATTTGTATTCATAAGGATGTTTGTTTATTTTCCTTAGGGTTTATGTATATGTAATATGGATTTAAAAAAGTATTGAAAGTATTTATATAAGATACATAAATTCTTTATTTGAATCACCTTACATAAACTAACAAAACCCTTATGACGTAAATAAGTTAATTAAATTAATTAATTAAATAAATTAACTAGTGCAATAAGAGTATGATCCAATTAAATAAATATAATTTAAATAAGTCAGTTGTCTAGTAACTAGTGTCCATATTATAATCTTTGCTTAGTTTAAAAATTGGTTGGCGCTGTGCATTATGTACAGTCCAATCCATTCCAGTATTTATTATTATAATAGATTTTAGAATCAAAGCGAGACTTTGTATAAAAGTCGTTTGCTTGGGTACCACTGTCTCATTCGTATTTCTGCCGTGCTTCAGTTGTGTTTGCATAGCTGTGTTTCGGTTTCAAGGGTGGGATATGGCGTGAATTTACAGGGTACAGAAGCATAACATCCGAGTCCTCAGGAATGGCAACGCATGGTTGTATCTGTTTCGTCCATGATACTGCTCATGTCTATAGGCGACGGTTACCACTTTCCATCAGGTGGGCCGTCAGCTTGTTTGCCATTTTAAGTTGTATAAAAATTAAAAAAAAAAAAAAAACTTACATGAATGACAGAAATGTAAAGAGGTGAGTGAGATCAGTGAGTGATGATTATTGTTGGTAATAAAGAATCTATCTATTTATCATAAAAAAAAAAAAACAGATTTTAATATAAAATTTAAATATTTCAGCCATGGCTAGATAACAAGCATACGGTGTTTGGTCGCGTGATCAAAGGCATGGAAGTTGTGCAGAACATCGGCTCCGTGAAGACTAACCCGAAGACCGACAAGCCGTACGACGATATTCGGATTGTGTCGATCACGGTGAAGTGAGTGCGCATGCGCACGCCCGCCTGTATATACCGCTCTTGTAATATACTACTCTATATCTAAGTTGTTAAATAAGTTTAATAAACGAGGAAATGTTTTATTTTTTATTTCTACTCTTTAATTCTTCTCTAATAATAATTCCCTATCCCATTTCACTAATATACATTTTGCACAATTTTTTTTTTTATAAAATTAGCTGATTCAGTAAACGTTGTTCTGCCATATAATTATGGATAGGGAGACCTTAATTACATGAAATATAATCCCATATAGTAACCCCGCTTGCGCTGTCGGTATACGCTGGTAGGGCACCAGTGAGGCATAGGTGACGAAAGACGACGAATTTAACGATAAATTGGTCACAATAGTTTCTAGGGGGAACGGTGTGGAGGTCGACCTGATAGGGTATTTTTTTTATGGGTGAAAATGGTATGGTAACCCCGCCTGCGCTAACGGGATACGCTGGCGGAGTACCAGTGAAGGGTGATAGATTGAGAATGAAAACAGGTCAGTTAGCCCATCATGACGAATTCATCAGGAATTAATCATGATAGTTTCTAGGGGGAACCGCGAGGAGGTCGACCTGGTATTGTAATATACCCAATATTGCTAGCAATGGTATTCTCAGTCTCCATTACTAACAATCCCTTTCCCCCCCGATAGGTATATTGATAGCAATTGGGACTAATCTCATTACTAACAGTCCCTTCCCTCCCCGTCTTTGAAGGATGGAATATGCCTATGAAATTACAAGGTTCCGTGGCGTACCATCTTAATCCTCAGGAACGGCAACGCATAAAGCGTATATAATAGGCGACAGTTCTTACTTCAAATCAGGTGAACCGTCAGCTTATTCGCCATTCTAAGTTGCATAAAAAATAATAATAATAAAATTCATTACTTTAAACACTTTATTTTTAATAACGTGTCCGACAAAAGCATGTCTAATATCTCTTTATATCTAAATAAGACTTATTTAGACATAGATATTAGACACGCTTTTGTAGCAGGATGTCAAAACATGTATTGAAAACTTGTCTATGGCAAATTTAGCTTTTTGCGTTAAGACGCTTGTTTTTCGGCGTTTGACAAATACCTACCTAATTGCATAGATTAAAACTTGTACCTGCCCAGTTGTTATATGGCTAGTTATTTATCTGTGGTAAAAAATACACCAAAAAAAAAGATTAATGTCAAATGTAGGTACAAATAGCAACGGAATGTTATTAATTATTATTTCGGCCGTTCACTTGCCACTGCTTTTTTTAATGGATGAAAATGGAATGGTAACCCCGCCCGCGCTATCGGTATATAGGTGAGAATTAATGCAGGTCAGTTGGCCCACCATGATGAATTAGACAAGAATTAACCATGATGGTTTCCAGGGGGAACCGCGTGGAGGTCGACCTGAGAGGGTATATTGCTAGCAATGAGGCTATTAGACCTCATTACTAACAATCCCTTTGTCCCCACTGCCCACTGCTGTACGTAGGTCTCTCCCTTAGAATGTTTTGCCAGTGTTTGTCCCGTTTGGCAGGTGAGTTGATAACTGTAATTAGGGTTTGGTGGGTTTTAAAGAGAGTTATTTTTTATGGATGATAATGGAATGGTATGAGTATCCTGCGCTATCGGTCCTATCCTACTCTGACGGGGAACCAGTGACAGATGATAGGTGAGGACGAAAACAGGTCAGTTAGCTCATTGTGACGAATTCCATTAGAATTAACCACGACGGTTTCCAGGGGGAACTAACACGATAGAATAGCGTGGAGGTCGACCTAATAGGGTACATTGCTAGCAATGGGGCTATTATATCCCATTACTAACTTACTTATTCCCCTGAGTGAAAGTTTAGGATAAAAAAGAGTATATATAATTTTTTTTTATAAAAATACAGGTTGAACATAAACTACTATACATTTTTTTATACCACTGAGGTGGCAAACAAGCATATGGCCCACCTGATGGTAAGCGGTTACCGTAGCCTATGAACGCCTGCAATACTAGAGGTATTACGCGCGCGTTGCCGACCCTGAAAAAACCTCTTTACCCCCCTTTCGAAGACAGACATTGTAACAGAGCTAAATAATAATAAAAAAAAAATATATATATATATATATTATAACAATATCTTTCCTAAACTGTAGCTAGACCTAGTTTTTAGTTTAGTGGCAACAGCTGGGTGGGGTGCGGCGTCGCTGGGTCATCGGCGGTTATTCATAATATACAGTCACGATATAATTCAATTTATTAATCTATATACTATACAATACTAGGTTTGTAGAGTAGGTCCTATATAAAAAAAAGTCTAAAGTTTTATTGGATCGAAAAACGACGTAATTACTGTAAATGGTTGATATAGATAGATTTTTTTATGCAACCTAAAATAACAAGCTGACGGCCCGCCTGATGGAAAGTGGTAATTATCGCCTAGAGATATGAGCAGTGCCATGGACAGAACAGAGTATACTGTTTTGCTCATGATCGCCTTATAGTTTAAAGTATGCAAACTGAGCAAAGCATGAATGTTGAAATGGGACCAAGGAGGTTATTTTCTATAGCCAATAATATAAACTCAACACAGTCTGAAAGGAATCTGCTAAAAACAGAATCATCTAGGTTCAGTCGGTTCAGAACTGGCTTGGATATTTTTTTATAGAAAACTCGTTTTCAGCCAACTCAAGTTTTTTTATACCACTGAGGTATACAGTAGCCCACCTGATGGTAAGCAGTTACCGTACTGTACCACGGGCACGGTTAGGGTATATTGCTAGCATATATATATATATATATATATTCTTTTCATTCCTCTTGCTTGTTCGTATTTTTTTTGTTAAATGCTATTTTTATTGCTTTGTGTACAGCGCCTTGTATCTATATTGTTGCTACTTGTGAAAACCAGTTAGTGGCTTATTTTGTGATCCTAAACTGTATCTATTTGCTCTAATGTAGCTCTGGTTTTCCTGTGAATATTTTTTTTTGTATTTTTTTTTTCTGTATTTATTGAAACCATAAAAAATTACAGTTGTAGGGTAGTGTATGATAACAGCTAAATTAGTTAAAAATAACTGTGTCGTGGCTGTCAACGCCCACCTCCCCAAGGCAGAGGTGCTAGCGTTCCAGTAGAATAAATAAATCTGTTAAATAAACAAAGAAAAAGCATGTACATGTGGCACATATATATGTGCCCAACATACATATAAACATTTAATAAATAAAATTAAATAAATAATAAACATTTATTAAATAAATAAATAAACCCTAACAGATCCCATTGGTAACAATCTCTTTCCCTTTACCATTGAATGTTGAAAGTTTTTTTTAACACCGTCAACAATTTCATTATACATAATTATTCTGCACATTGACTGTTTATTTAATACATATGAATAGGTGTATGTATACAGTACGTATTGTAAATTATGCATTGTGCCTACTTCGTATTGTTTTCAAAATATTCCAAAGCGACTAGGTACTCGTATTACAGTCTGAATTTCAATTGTCTGGATTTGGCACATGATTATTGTTATAGCAAGTTAAAAGTATTGTTACTTATAATTTTAACTGACAGAAAAAAGTGCAGGTTTCCAATTGTAACGCACTTTTTCATTCTTCTTCTTGTACAGACATTGCGTGAATAAATGCTAGGGTTTTAGTGGTGTATCCATTTTTTTTTAATGGGTGAAAATGGCATGGTAACCCCGCCTGCGCCATCGCGATCAGTATACTTTTTTTTTATAGAACTTAGAATGGCAAACAAGCTGACGGCCCACCTGATGGAAAGTGGTAACCGTCGCCTATAGACATGAGCAGTACCTAACAGAGTATACTGTTTCGCCCATGATACCCCCCATGCGTTGCCATTCCTGAGAACTCAGGTGTTACTCCTCTGTATCCTGTAAATTCACTGTCATATCCCACCCTTCAAACCGAAACACAGCCATGCAAACACAACTGCTTTGCTTTGCTTAACATTGGCGGAGTACCAGTGAAAGATGATAATTGAGAATGAAAAGGCAGATCAGTTAGCCCATCGTGACGAATTCAATGATAAATTTGTCACGATAGTTTCCAGGAGCAACCGCGTGGAGGTCGACTTGATAGGGTATGTTGATAGCAATGGGGATTGACCCCCCATTAGTAATAATTTCCTTCCCCTCTGGTGTACCTGTTTAGAAGTTTATTAAACATCCTCATCTTCCGATTGCCACGAGTTCGATTTTTTTATGGATGATAATTTTTTTTATACGACTTAAAATGGCAAACAAGCTGACGGCCCACCTGATGGAAAGTGGTAACCGTCGCCTATAGACATGAGCAGTACCATGGGCATAACAGTACACACACATACTGTTTCGCCCATGATACCCCCCATGCGTTGCCACTCCTGAGGACTCAGGTGTTATTTCTCTGTACCCAGTAAATTCACGCCATATCCCACCCTTCAAACCGAAACACAGCCATGCAAACACAACTGCTTCACGGTAGAAACACGAATGGGACAGAGGTACCCAAGCAATCGACTTTTGTACAAAGTCTCCCTCTGGTAAATGTTCTAAAATCCTATCCGTCCGTGCAAAGCCGGGCCGGACCTCTAGTATAGAATATATCACGTCAACAGACGGCATTTACATTGATATCTAATAAAATTAATAAATAAAACGAACCAACGTGTTTATAAACACAGTCTGTTAAACTCGTTTCTTATAAACCATAAAACTAGCTCTTACCCGCGACTTTGCGTGACCGAAATATGTTCACTGATCGGGGTAAAAAAGTAGCCTGTATCCTTCTCCATTCCATATAGTTTATTTGCAGGTGAATTCCTCATGATTGGCTAACTGACCTACCTTTTTCATCCTCACCCATCATCCTTCACTGGTAGGTGTTCCGTGTGTTTCATTTTGAACAGGTTGTTCAAAATGACCTTTCGAAACATTGAAATAACCTAAAATAGTTTATTCTCGTCTCTTCTAAACCATAAATCACGCAATACGAAGTCTTAAAACCTAATAAGAGGTATTTGGGGGAAAGGGATTGTTAGTAATGGAGACTGAGAATCCCATTGCTAGCAATATACCCAACCAGGTCGACCACCTCGTGGTTC